TAACACCATTACACCATACGAGTTTTTGTAAATTTTCGACACGAGTTTTTCGTGTAAAAATTACTCATGTACAAAAATTCAAAAACAAAAATTTTTTAAATTATTGAATTTTTGAAGTTTTTGTTTTCATATTCTGATTTTTTCTAACACTAAATAAAAAAAAATTTTAAAATAACCCCCAACCCTTCCTTCAAATGTGTTAATTCTGTAGTATTCTCCTACTTGAATAAAACTGTAGTATTCTCCTACTCTTTTAGATACTTATATTTAAACTGTAAAAGCCGGTATAGTGTTGTATAACATATACTATATCGTCAACAACTGTAATACCCAAATTTTCAAATCATTTATTATTCCAAACCATTTAATCAAATATGCTTAGAGTAGAAAAAAGTATGACGAATTTAATTATGTGGATTTCATAAAAACTACATACATATATATTTATATAATAAAATTAATTTTTAATGATACATAAATTTTAAATATAATTGAGGTAAATAAAGAAATATGAACATAAAAATAAAACGTAATTGCATTATGAAGAAAAAAATAAAATATGAACGAAACTAAAATTATTTTGTTCCGGCTAATATTTTCATTCAACTTTTTATTAATGTTATACATAAAAAGGCATAAAATAAAAATTCGAATCAAATTGAAAAATTAATTATCAAAAATTATTCATACAATTATCTAGTTTCAGCTCGCGTTTGTTATGTATGTGAACCTAGTTGACATATTCCTTTTTTTTGTTTTGATATGCGAGTATGATTGAGTTTGTTTCGAAGGGAACAAAGAAAACCCAGAAATAATAAACCAGCAATCATATATTAGATTTATGGTGCATATTCAAAATATTTCCCAATATATATTGGAAAATATTCACCAATTCATATTATTCTTTAGAATATGCAATATAAATTAGTGAAATTTTATAAAATTTTACAATTCGAATATTTTTCATTATTCTTTTAAACATAAATATTAAGTCAATGATACGTCTGTCGTCATTACCGCAAAAAAGTGGTTAAAATGAAAAGTGAAAAGGAAAAACTACCTTTCATCAAAGTGAATGATAAAACAGCTGGATGGTCATTTTCCAGTATGGCAAAGATTTCACGATCATGTTAATCACGTCATTCGCTTGGTTTATGAATGTTTTCTTCGTTATTCATTTTCTCACATATAAAAATCACTTATGCATCAAACTTTAAAGAAATACACAAAAAAAACGAATAACAAATTTCACAAAAATATCAATGATAAAAATAATAATAAACTTGAAACACCATACGATTCACATCAACCAAAAATTTGCATAAATAAAGTGAAACAAAACACTGGAACTCTGTTCCGTATTTTTAATAAAATTCCAAAAGACATTAAAGATTTTAAATTTTTATTTTTATTCAATACTCAAAAAAAATGTTAAATTAAACATAAACTATTTATTTTGTTAGAAAAGAATTTCAGCATTTATATTTAAAAAAAAAACAAATAAATCACAAGGGAACCCTCAGAATATTTTTCTTTTAAATAAATTCAAACTTTAATCGTTTTTAAACTAACTTTAATTATTGCTCTTGTTATAAATGAATTGAAATTATATGGTTCACATAATTTAAAATTCAAAGAAACGCGTTGAAAATATTAATCAGTCTAAAATTAAAAAAAATGTATTTAATGATTTATTTATACGTTTTTAATCTTATTTTTAACTTCAAATAAGCTGCACGCCGCAGTGCTCTAAAAATTTTAAAAATTTTTATACCTTTTCGACAACGCTTTTTTTTTAATTCAAAAACTTTATGATGAAATTACAAGATAAAAAACTTACACAATTATCTTAGAAATTAAAGAGAAAAAAATCTTCAATTCTTTTAACTTAAAACTCAAATCGTAGCATATGAAGCAAAATAAAGTTTAAACATCACTTCTAAATTTACATCACGTTCAATAATTTGTTGAACAATTTTAATGATTAATAAATAGGAGATCATTTTTTCCTTAACTTACTTTTGCAGATTTGCACAATTTGTCAACTCTGATATTATATTAATATTAATTGCAATGATAATCACAACTAATTTATGGAGGAAAGAAAATAAATACAAAAAATTTATTATTTTAAGTAAAAAAACTTAAAAAAAATTATTTTTAGAAATTTTAGGGATATGAGTGTTTCTGTCACAACACTGAAATCATTTATAAATGTTGATATTATTTGTACAATTAATAATACTGAATTGAATTGGTTGCGTTAACTTAAGGAATAATTGCTATAAATGCTTTAGCTCTATAATAATAAGTTGTCTTATAATGGGATTTTCGATAATTCAGAAATACACTGAAAGTTCTAAATTAAATTTTAAAAGTTTGTGGCTTCCGAAATACAGTGAAAATGTTAAATTTACAATATATCATATTTCGAAATGCATATTAAAAGCTCTTGACATAGTACACCATTTTAAAAGGTATCGAATACGCAGCCCGTGTAGTAAAAAAAGGTGAGACCGCTTTTTTCATACAATGCAGCGTTTTCAAATGCTTTTCCCTATTAAATAATAAGGAAAAGCATTTTATTATAATTAAAAATAACGGTATTAAAACTTTTTACACATACAATACAAATAATATACAGTCTTAATAAAATGGGAGTTACCACTATTTTCGTAAATACAATTTAATTTTGTTAATTTTTTTTTTCATTAAATTTGCAACAGACAAAAATTTTCTTTGTTTGCAACACATAAAAATAATATCTACTTTAGAAATTTTCTGTTCTATTTCTAAAAATAATCAATTCTATTCTAATCTATTAATTAACGATCTATTGAATTGTACGTAGAGTACAACCAGTAAAATAATTAAAATTTGTACTAACAAGGCAAATTTTATTTAAGAATCAAAATATAGAAAATTAAAGCGTCTAAACATATAAAAAGTAGAATATATGTACATATATACTTATGGTTAGTGTGAATAAGAATACTTATTATTTGGAACTACTAATACAAGTATAATTATTAGTGGGAACTCAATTTGTATTTTCTCCATCATACCAAAGATATTATAAACAAGGAAATTCAAACAAAAAGTTTTTTTCAATTAATTTCAAGAAAAAAAAAGTATTATATGGATTAAAATCTAATTTAAGAATGGAACACATACATATTATACAAAATTTATGTACTGTGTAATGTTTGTCTGTTCTGCGCACAGCACAGTTCTAATGCAAAAGTTTTAATAATATTAATTTAATTTTTGAATGTTGTATTTATTCAATTATTTTGTGAAAATTTAAATGCGACTTTCACTTAAATTTAAAGTTTTATCAACAATTTCTTTTCCGCTCTGCTCGTAACTTGCGGAAAAGAAACTTTCAATTAAATTTTTATAAAAAAAACTACTTCACTATATTAATTTAAACATTTCATAATAAAAAAATATGCGACAAAATTTTGTAGTGATGTTTTAAAACGTCGTTTTTCCTTATTTGAAAAAAAAACATCTCTGATTTCACTACAATCTCTTGTGTTAACAAATTAAGCTTCATTTATCGCTTACTCAAAATAAAGCATTATATAAATATTCATTTTTCTGTAATATTTCATTTCTTTTAAATTCATACTTTTTACAGTTTATTTATTTTGTCCCCTCTTTTGCAATATACCATATTCAATTTTCCATATACATACATACAAATTGTATTATGCATTAAAATGAAAATGATTTAAAAAGTTCTATTGATTTACGAATTTTAGAACGAGGTATACTTAAGACGTATAAAATGTCTGTATCTATTTGTGTTAAAAAAACTACTAGGTACTTAAAAGTAATGATACCTATAAAATCAAGAACAATGGTTTATGTTCAAATTCCCACACATGTCCTATGTTGTGATATTCCACACATATTATATTTGTAAAATATATTCCGCAAATGCTTAAAATTAATTATTTATATTAAAAGAAGGGTAAGATGGTTGATCTTAGCTGAACCTTTAAAAAAATATCAAAAAATGTTTAATATAATCAAAATTTTTCTAACTGCAATCAGGAAAATATTTTAAAGTAATAAAAACGAAATTCAATTCAAGAGTTTAAATCGGAAAATATTAAAACAATGAGAATAATAAAATTAAAAAAAGTTGTAAATTATTAAAAACTAAATATTTTGATATACAATTTCTTTATTACAAGCTATTTCCTACGCATTAATTTGATATTGCATATCTTATAAATCGTTTACTTGATATTTGCCTGAGTTCCCTGTTAGCTTTTTATTGGTATCTATTAGGTTTTGTTATACTCTAATTGTACTATACACCAGGTTTTTTCATTATCAAGGCAGAGTTTTGCAATTCAGAACACATAACCGCATTATCTTTTCATATAACATGTTTAATGTGTTTTAAGTACTAAGTGTTATAATATTTTTCCACTTGCGAAGCTTTTTCAATTTTACTAGGACCAGGCGCGCAAAACATTGAAATATGCAAATGTGTAAAATGAAAGTTTCTTTATTGGCAGAACATCTATAGGATTTTTATTCATACTTCTTTCTCCAGTTTATAAATAAGTCTGGTTAAATCTTACATTACTGACAAATATATACAAGTGAAATTTTGATTTATTATGTTAATTTATTTGGAAGTACATACATAAAATTGGAAAAAAATATCTGAATTAATAATTTTCTAAACGCAATTTGATTCAATCACAAAAAAAATATTTTTCTATTTAAAATTTCTACAAGAGTCGCAGCATTAAAAATTCTAAAAAATTTTGTGATTATTTTAAGAATAAAGTTTTTTAACTTATTTTTAAATTTTAATAACGTCAGATTACAAAACTGGTAAAAATATACAACATACCGAAACTATATAGTAAACAATTACATATAAAAAAATCGACAATAGTTATCGCAAAACATATTACTAACTTATGTTGTTGAGAATGACTGTTTTCAACTGATATTTGAAATTCTCTTTTCAGAATGAAGAAATTAATTACTTTGGTAATAGCCGTTGTAGAAGTGGTGAACTCTGTAAAAGTTTCTACAGCTAATTATAACATAATTCATCATTCACCTAATAGAAGACACTTTGCTCATTCAACCGGCTCTTCAAAATATTATTTTGGACCAAAATCATTTTATAGCATTTCAACACAATACAACCCATTCGGGTAAGTTAAAACTTCAATTTTTATAATCGCAATAAGAAACAAATTTATTTCATACTAAAGCAAAAATTATAATAACAAAGTTCAGTATTTTAAAAAATAGATTTTTTGAAAAACAAAAAAAAAAACAAAAAACTGGATTCTCAGGGTTAATTTTAGGTTTATATTTAAAAATATAACCAAACAGGTACTTACTAATTTTATTTTACTTTTTGGAAATTGGATTGTCTTCAATTATTTTTCTTAGGTCTGTCTCTTGAATTACAGTATTATTTCCAGTCATATCAGGACTTATAAAGTTAAAACTACCTTCTTCGTCAATAATTTCATTATTGTTAAAATTTGTCATTATTGAAGATAAATCTTCTTTAACAAAAAAATTAATCTCTTCGGAATTACTACTTGGTTGGCATTCTTTACCATGTTTTTGGCCAGACACGATTTCTTGAATGTCTTCGGAAAGCTCTGCTTCTAACATTGGTAACTCACATTCGTCATCCTTAATAACTACTGGCTTTTGTAAATTTTGATATTCATAATCAAACAAAACGTACTTTAATCGAATCAATAACTGATACTGCATCAAAACATTAAAAGTTGTAAAGTTAAATATTTCAAGAAAATCATGTTGATCCATTAGTTTCTTCGCAACCTTGTTTGCTAAACTCAATATATTGTAAAACAATTCCAAATTAGATTTAACGAAACTAAAATTTTATTAATGTTAGTTAAATAAAATTATTTTACAAAATAAAAACAAATTATGACAATGGTTTTACCTTTCGTTATGACTAATATTTCCATTAAGGATACAGATCAATTTGTCTAATATCATGGTTAAGTATACTAAATGTTGGAAGTTCCATTCCCCTAATATACTTGGAATTTGGTAAAAGAATTTTTTTAAAAGAACATAGGCATCATAAACGAAGTCTGTTAATAAAAAATGGGAAAATTTAATCAAAAATCCAAAAAAAAATGTTGAAAATAAAAAAACAAACTTCTTTGAACACAAGTAAGGGCAACTTCGAGATTAGAAATGAAAACGTTATAATGAGACTCACGATACATCAATGATTGAATCTGATCAAATAGTATGAGATATTTCAAAGCTTTAACATCATCTAACAAAGAAATTAAATAATATTAAACAAACAACAGTTTATGTTTTTTATTTACCTGAAAGACTTCTATTAATTGTATTTCGAACACTCTTGCAAATGTCATCATATATTGCACATGTTTTTTGTTTGTCAATATTACAAGTGATACATTTTGATCCTTCTATAATTTTGCGACACATATAGCAATATATTGAATTATTAAGTTTCTGAAATTACAAAAACAATTAATTTTGTGTATCACATTTTCTGTACCCATAAATTATTACCCAAAAATCGATATCTTCAACACAAAATTTACAATTACAATTAAACTTTAAATAAGCTTGTAATTGCTTGCGTGTAGAATTGGGGTAATATTTATAGTCAGCAAGATATGATAAAGTTATTTCTTCACCTTGCCATATTTCTTTATTAGCTTTTATAAGCAAAGCTCCTGATTCTAGCAATCTAAAAACGAAAAAGTAACAATATTTTGTCAAGAAAAAATAAAAGTAAATATATTTTGCTTTTTATTTGTGAATGAGAATAATAAATTCATATATATTTTGAATAAAAGTAAAAATTTACATTGGTGTAGCGTTTGAATCACAAGAATGACGGAATTTCGTCACGACTGGATATACACCTTGCATTGTAGCAGCTGAAGTGTTATCAGATAAATTCGTGTTGAACGTATTCATACGGATATGTAATATTTCTTTGGTAGCGCGATATGCAATGTTTAACTTTTCTTCCAAAGTAAATTCGTGATCTGCATTTCCAACATTATCTATATACGCTTGATTCATAAATTTTCTTGTAACCTTAGTTGGTAATTGTATGTTTCTATAACGAATAAACCCAGTTTTAGACCGAGCTTCATAAGCATATGCCGCAATTAACTGTAGAGCTTCAATTTGTGCTTCATTTTCACTATAGTTGCAGTACTCAAAGATAGTTTGAGAAGAATTTTTCCGAGAAAAATTGGGATTGAAAACCTCACTTTGACATGGTTGAACTTCGATGTTTTGAATATTTTCAGGATGTACAAATACATAGCCGAGTTCAACCGAATTGATTTTTACTTGGTTTTGAAGCCTCAATAAAATGGAAGCTATAAAAACCTAAAAAAGAAAGAGTCAAAGTAAAGTATAGTTTTTAATATAACATTTAAAAAACTAGAATACCAGTAAATCAGCTTTTTCAAATTGAACATTTGAAAAAAAATCTTCAAGTATTGAAGTTCTTTCCACAGCATAAACAGCAAGGCGCAGTGCATACTAAAATTACAATTGACATTAATTGTTATCAAGACAAACATCATGTAGTTTGTAATTACCGTGGCCATTGAATATATCTCACTGTTATCAACTGTCTTATAACTATCAAAATTAGAGAGAACTTTTTTAATTCTAGCTTGAGGTCCAAATTTTATATTATCCATAACTAGCTCAAAAAAATCGTGGATATCAGGCGCATTTCTGCAAACAAAAAAGCATACTAAAATAATGAAAGTTTCTGCGTTATATTTATTTAAGAAATACCAGAAAAACTTTCTTTTTCGAAATCATAATAAGTATTTTATATCCTTACGTTAATCGTTGCAAAGTAATTTATTGAAATCATAATTGCTTGGAAAAATTTTTTTTTGAAATTAAATTGGTATACAACTGAAAAAAATTGGTATACAACTGAATTGTGCTGAAATACAACTGAATTTTACAGGTAAAGTAAATCATTTTTTAAAATTTGTTGTGTATTAATTAAAATTTTATCAACATTGTAAGTATAAATAACATTATAAGGATAACATTATTAGGACATAATACGAAAATACAATTGTATGCTATAATAACAATATAACAAGATCAGACAAATAAGATAATGAAAACTTCGAAATATGGTAAATAATAGATATTTTTTTTAAACCTCCAAAACTATAACTATACTTACATAAGGTAATCCTACATAAGCTACTTACGTATTCTTGCTGAAGATATAAGTCTGAATATATGATAAACTTTTGATAAAAAGCCGAAAAAGCATAGTGGCATCCATCGAGTATAGCAAACCGTTTCGTAGGCCACAACATTCATATTGGTGAATTTTCAAATCATCCTTAAGGCATTGCAATCGACAATAATATTTTTGATGGCATTTAAAACAGGTATACAAAATGGTAGTCAATTGAAAGCAATATTCGCATTGCAGAATAGGTGTATAATATTCACGGTCTAATGGTTTTTCGAATGCAATAATTTTTCCCGTTGGAATATGCCGATTTGCTAAGATTTTACCATATCGTTTTCCATCAAAATGTTTTGATCTGAAAGCAAGTATAATTTATTTTTATACCGATATTTTCATTTTTTCACTTACATAAAAGTGCAAGCAACTGATGCTGAAGAAATGTTTTCGTCTAAACTGCCTTTGTATCCTTCATAAGGAATAAACATGCTATGGTCATCGACTTCCCCTAAATATTTTGAATGCAATTTGCTTTGAAGATCTCTTTGTAAATTTTCAAATATTTTAATCTTTTCTTCAAATTGCTTAATAAAAGTTAAACGGTTACTATTTTCTGAAATTTTGTAATCATTGAGTTTAAATTTAAAAATTAAATAATATTTACTTTTTTGCATTCGTTTGCTACGTGCAGTCTTCAGTTCTCTATTATATTCTTTTCGAAAAATATTGAAAGACTGTTCAAATTTCTCATATTCTCTTGTAGAATAATAGCATTCTATCAAATAACCCAATTCGTCTAAGTAAAAGAAATTATTTTGTTGGCAAACATATACAAACATCTCATAATCATTTATGGCATTCTAAAAAGATAATCGATATTATTTTCGATTTATATTATTAAAGTTAATTTTGTTTTATACAACGCATGTACATACATAATATATTATTATGTCGAAAAATATATTTTGTACATACATATATTATGTCGAAAACATATATAGCCTACATAGTTTAAGGAAATTTAAAAATTTTGTTTAAAAAAATATTTGATATAAGACATGCAATGCCGATTAACTAAATTTACAATCTCATTGCAATTCGTTAATATTTCTGTTTTACATAATTAGAATGATTGTTAATTTATGTACATATGTATGTATATAAACATATACGTATACGCAAAAATAATCGTATAAACCATTGAAGAGCCATACGAAAAACCTGTACACGGAAAAATTTCACCGCTTGCACGATTTTTTTTTTTTTGCTAAAATTTTGATGAGTTTTCAAATTATCTTTAGGAATTAAAAGTGAATTTTAAATTACCTCGATAAAACCCTCATCCTTAAACAGTTTTGCTCGAAGTGCTATGATTTTTTTAAACTCTGGAGATTCAACGGCCGAGTTCCTAATAATCTTATGAGAATATTCCCAAAACTGGAAAGTAAAAGTTATAAATTCATTCTTATTTTAAAAGAAAGGTTTACAGAAGTAAAGTCCTTTGATTTATAAAGTTTCTCAGCTTTACAATAAAAGTCTTGATTTTCTCTCATACAGAAATTTTTAATTTCAGCTTGCGCTTGGTCAATAACCGATAACAATTCTCTGGTTTCCCTAATTCAAAAAAAAAAACAAAACTATACAGACATTCAGGACTAAGTAGTTTATTCAAACTTACAATAAATTTTCATTGCAAACTAATTCATCAAAAAGAAAAGTTTCTAACTGATCTTCATGCCTCCACATGTCATGAACAACACCAAATTTTAAATAAAGTTTATCCATATTGATATTAAGTAAAAATATACAAAATAACTTTTGAACTTGTTTCGTTTGCTTTTTAAAATTGTTTCTATTTATTAATATTGCGTTTTTAACGAACCGGGCAACTAAAGTTTAAGCTGAACAGTTTTTTGAATTTGTGCTAAAAGCAAAATGTTTCATATGTTTATAAGTGCTGCCATTTCTGATAAGTGTTTGTAGTAAAACAATTGGAAGTGAATCTATCAAGACGAAGGTATTGCCAGTTGCCGTCTTTTTTAGGATTTTATGATTTGCAAAGCGAAAAGATACTCGAATATTCGTCATAATGATATGTTCACGAACAATTAAATTTGCTAAGCAAAAATCGTTACTGTCGATATTTTCAAAATTTACAAAAAGGAAATGATATAGGTTGCATTAATAACTTAGTAAATCTAAATGGATTTTTCAAAAATTTAAAGTTTAATTGATATTTTAACATTTCTAATTTGTGAAATAAATGAAAGTACGTTTTCATTGAGTTCCGATTTATTTTATTGTGATGAGTATACCTGTAGCAGTAGTGAAAAGGAGGAAAGTGAGAACAATGGAAGCCTATCAACTAAATCCATTAAAGTTTCCAGAAGATCACTTGAAGATTCCAAAGCCTTTACCCCCACAACAATGTTCTTTTTTTTTTTTTTTTTTTTTTTTTTTTCTCTTTTAATATATCGCAACTAAGTTAATTAAACCTATCTAGCAATTTATTTTTCACGTGTAGAGAGAGTGGGAGAGCGTCCAACGACGGTAACCCCGGATTTTATAATTATATTATGGCTGCAAGATCTAAAGGTCTTCTTCTTTTTAAGCGACGTGTTGCACTACTATCTTCATCTTCAATTATTTTCCTCATTTCTATGTTTTCGTGTTGCGTTATTCTTTCGTTGTGGTTAATTGCGTATTTCCTTATTTCTTGTTCAACTGTGTTGATTTTTAAGTCTCTGTGAATAGTGGAGTTTCTGACATACCAAGGACCATCTACAATACATCGAAGCACCTTGTTCTGGATTGTCTGTATAATTTGGTAATTGCTTTTCTTAGTACATCCCCAAAGTTGGATACCATAAGTCCAAATTGGTTTAATAATTTGATTATATATTAAGAGCTTATTATGTAAGTTGAGCTCAGATTTCTTTCCGATTAACCAGTTAAATTTTCTTAGTTTCAAATTTATTTCCTCCTTCTTTTTCTTTACGTGGGTTTTCCAGCGTAATTTAGCATCTAGGGTCATTCCTAAATACTTTGCTTCATTAGCGTATGGCACTGCCACATCATTAAGCATGATACTAACAGGGTTAATGGTTCTGTTTGTAAAATTTACGTTAACGGATTTAGATTCGTTAATTTTAATACGCCATTTTTTCATCCAAGAGTTGACTAAATTTAAGTTTACTTGTAGCTTGTTTGAACATTCCTCAATTGTCTTTCCCGTAGCTAAGATTGCCGTGTCATCTGCGAAAATGGCTGTCATTGTTGAACTTATTTCTGGGATGTCTCTTGTGAAGAGGAGGTATAGCACAGGACCCAGCACACTACCTTGTGGGACCCCAGCTTCAATGTTTCTAATATCTGAATATTCGTTATTGTGCTTAACTCTAAAAGTTCTACCGGTAAGATAGGATTCTAGAATCACACACATTTCGTTCGGCAGTACCTTATTCAATTTGTATATTAAACCTTTATGCCACACCTTATCAAAGGCCTGCGCCACATCTAGGAATACTGCTGAGCAAATTTTCAGCCACATTTCCTTAAATAACACAACAATGTTCAGCCACATTTCCTTAAATAAATTGGTTTTTGTTTTTTATCATATTTCGGGGACTATGCGGCTGGTACATAATATTGTAGATAACCATGAATCAGTTTCTTACAACATTGAATTTACTAGGTAGGGGACGAGCCTACCATAAAATAAATTTGTGTTGAGGCCGAATTTAATTCCACTACGAGCTACATCCGGATTGCTTTCCATTAGCTCTACAATTTTTGTGAACAACTCCTGATTTGGTTTTGTTTTTTTAATTAAAAATTTATTCAAACACTACTTTGCTTTTTCCATAAAAAAAATAACATGTTTATTACATGCAATAGATGGCACATAGATATTATTTGTTTAAAAACAAGAAAAAATAGAATTGACCATGTCAACTCTGGGGTACCCGTATGAATTTATTATCCTATATGCGAATAAATATGCCACAGCTGACTATGAAACCTTAAGTTGTATTACCATATTAATTTATGAAAAATTTCAGTACTGCATTTTCAATGTTTTTTAAGATATGGCCAAACTACAATTGATGTAGTATAGCTGCTCCCAGAAAGAACCAAGCAATTTCAACGGCTTTTAACAAACACATTGGCTCTACTAATATATTTGCTTGTGTGAAATTTCACAACTTTTATAGTTTCTGAGATACAGACAAATAAATTTTAAAGTTGTATGGCAGCTACCCGAACTAGTGCCCCGATCATATCCAATTTAAATTGGGTTCTGGTATTTACTATAATAAAACATAAATTTGATTAGCTTAGCTCATTTAGTATTTGATTTATCGTTGGGACGGACGGACGGATGGAAGGACAGACGAACAGACAAAGCTAAATCGACTTGAAATTCGAGGCTGATCAAAGACATACACTTGACTGTATATCTCGGACTATTATTTCTTAGCGTTACAAACGGTTTTTTATTTTTCTTACCTTACTGTAGATATTTAAAAATTATAAATATTTCTCTTACCTCCTTTTCACAACATTTTCATTGAGGGTTTAAATAATGTAAATTATCAATTCAAAATAACAGCAAAGTTTAAAAAATTACTTCTAGTCACATACCATTCGCTTAGTTTTGACATTTCTCTTGTTTATATTTCTCAAAATTTTCGAACGTTCTGCAACAAAATTTTCAGTAAAAAAGTACACTATTAATATGCACCTTGATATGAAAATATCTTGTGAGATCCCATAAAAATACGTGTAAATTGCAAAGTATATCTACTAATAAGTAATTCGACTCGTTCCATTCCGTCAGTTTTCGTTTGCATCTTGCTTCCAAATTCTTAAAATATTCCATTTTTTTTTAGAAATAGATGGTAATAAGAGTTGTGTAGGCAAGAAAGAAACAAAATATTGTAAACAAACGAGTGTATCAAAAACATTGAACTAAAATAAAATTAAGTTAGGTAAAAATTTTGTTATTTTTATTTTGATAATAACAAAATTTATTTTTCATTTTATAAAATTTACGTAAAAAATTCGAACGTATGAAAGCAAAAGAGTGTGAAATTTCATGTATAAATTTACACATGCATGTACCTGGTACAGTAGATACACAGTATCAGGTAGTGACATAGAAATAAAGTAATTTATAAAGAAAAAAAAGTGTATGCATACTGATTACTTTATGAAATATAATTATTACCGATTCATGGGAAATATGTTCTAAATTTATTAAGATTGTAATAAAAATAAAAAATTGAAAGATAAGTTTATTTATTTTATTTATTAATAATTATTAATTACAAATGCTTAACACTAAATATTTAAAATATTTTCAAAAGTACATATTTACCTCTCCACATCTTTTGACAACAAATGAAAACCCAATGAAAAAAATGTCATCCCAAACACTTCAAATAATGTTTACCCATTTTTATAAAAAAAAAAAAGATTTTTTTCACAACTACTTAAATTTTTTTTAATATTATACGTCTTTTCAAAATTTATTTTTATAATTTTTCATATAAATTATAATAATTTTTTTAAACACTTTTTTCCACTTCGCTTTTATAATATGAATACATCTTTTTTGCCACCTTGTACTGGAATGCATTACAGAAATTATTGTGTCGCGTTTAAAATTCTTAATATTTTTCCCTATACTTTATATACGAGCAAATAATAAAGTGTCGCCTTTCAAAATACATTGTAAAAAAAACAGGTTGACATCTATTGCGTACTCTTTCCCTCTCTCAAAAATTCTTATGTGTATAAAAATGAAAATAAGAAGGTATACTGCTTAACTCTTTAACTAAGGGACTTTGTTGTATACAAATATTGGTGAGTGATTGCATTAGTTTGGTGTAAACGGAGAGTCGAATACTTATTAGTAGATATACTTTGGTAAATTCATCAAATGTAAACTGTCACTCTCTCTTAAGGTCCAGGCCTATATATCTATCAGCCGTGGTTTGTACTTCTTTGCAGCTGTTTGTTTATTTTTTTTCTTCCAATTTGTAGTTTTGAAATTTTTTGCAAATAGGCTTTATTCGCAGAATCTTTTTTTTAGTTTTATCGTAGTTTTATAGTTCTAAGAATATAAGATCCAAGTTGGTTAGTGGTGCAAAGATGAACTCAACCGTAATCTGATGTGCAACACACATAAATTAAAAAAAAATTAATAATTTTAATTATAAGGCCTAAACTTTATTTCAATACTGAATGCTATTTTTGATTTTAACAGGATTCCTGAATGTACCCATATATTTTGAGCGATTTTTCAAACCAGATTTTTATTGTACGCATTATATGTAACGAAAATGTTACAATTTTTTTAATACATATTGATATAATTCTCGGAAAGTCACTAAATACTTTATAAAATGGAAAAAAATGTATACACCTTTATTGTAAATCTCACTCGTAACACTGGAATTTGAAGAAATTACGAATTTCATTACGTGAATTCCGAAGTAGTAGAATCGTATTACAAAATTTGTAACAGAGTAATTATGAATTATACTCGTAATGAAAATAAAAGTCAAAATACTACTAATTAAATTTCCAAACGAAGAAAGTATTCAAGAGTGATAAATTTTATTATGTTTTTAGTTATTTGTTAAATATTTTTTATATAAGAAAGGGAAATGCAAGTATTTAGTAGAATTTATTTTATTTACATATATTATATTAAAATTTTTTTGAAGAGAGAACGAGTTCATTTTAATTAAACATAATCTTTACGAGTGTGATTTATAATTACTCAAAACTCTAAGTGCGTAACTTTTTTTGAAATTCGTAGAATTCTACGAGTAAGATTCACAATAAGGGTCAAAATACTTTTTACCTACGGGACTATGGTACATGAGATCAACAATCAATAGAAGAGACATAGAATCTTGTTCGTGAAAAAATTAACATAATAAGAAAGTTCTTAAGTAACAAAAACAAAAAGTTTCAAAGCAACCGTTGCAAGAAACAAATTAATTAAAATGTTTTAGAGATCAGTTACTTTGTTTTTTTAAAAATTATGTTTTCAGCCAATCATATACATAATTGATTTTCTGTAATGGGGCCAAAAAGTTTTTTTGTAGCTTTTGTCAATTACCACAGTTAAAATTGATGAAAATCTTCAAAAATAAAATATTAAAAAATTTATAAAAGGATGCATTTCTTAAAAAAATTTTCAACTTTTAAGGTTAATTAACTTTACAAAGTTTTCTAAAAATGTGCCGTTATTTAGCATTGGTCTATATGTTCTTTTATGCCGTTAGGCGTTTCTAAATATGTTTAATTAATACGTGTACATATTTAGAAAAATATATATACTAACAACGTTTTTTATTAAATTTCAATATGTATTTAACAACACGTTTAGTAATGACAAATAATTTGGGGCATAGACTGTTTACATGAAACCTAGTTCCAAACAAAAAATTTATTAAGTTTTACTTATTATTTTTTTTACAATTGAAAGATGCTTAGACATTTCAACTAGTTATATTTTTTATTTCAACTAAAAACTTGCTTGCACAAACACGTACTTATATCAGCCATTTCTTTATTATTTCAGACCATATGCAAATTCTATTTCTAGCCCATTTGCATCACCAACAAACGCCCAGCCATTAACGGCTCCACAACCTTCTGGTGGTATCCAATGTGCAGCTCCTCCTTTTACATGTCCTAAATCACCTTATAGAACATTCGATGGATCATGTAACAATTTGCAAAATCCAGTTTTGGGAGCTGCTATGACAAGGTAGTTCAATAGAGTTTAGAAAAAACAAAATAATTTTAATTGTATTTATGAAAAAATTTCAGATATTCAAGATTGTTATCTGCAAAATATGGTGATGGTCAATCAACACCAACACGATCTGTAACTGGAGAAGATCTCCCAAACGCTCGTTTAGTTTCGTTAGTCGTATTTGGTGAAGAGGACGTTCCAGATCCAGAGTTTACTTTGCATAATATGCAATGGGGTCAAATAATAACCCATGATATGAGTATGCAAGCTGGTGGTACGCAATCAAAAAAACATTCCACTCAATGTTGTACCGAAGACGGTCAACTTATTGGAAAAGGTGCTGCTCATAAAACTTGTTACCCTATTATAATACCTCAACATGATCCAGCACATTCACAAACAGGAACACAATGTATGGAGTTTGTAAGAACATTAACTGACAGGGACGTAAATTGTCCTGATGCAACATATCAAGCTGAACAACTAACTGTTGTAACAAGTTACATGGTATTAATTTCATTTAGTATATACATATATTTTCTAAAATTACATACATACTTACATATATACAAATCTGACTTTTTTTTGTATATACAGGATTTGTCTTTAGTTTATGGAAATTCAGTCCAACAAAATGCTGCGCTTCGTACTTTCCAAGGTGGCAGAATGATTGTGAGAATATAGCATTTAATTTCTTTCACGATACATTTATGCTTATTTTTCTGTTTATAAACAAATTTCGTTAAACAGGTTGATGAAAGAAACGGAGCTGAATGGTTACCACAAGCTGCTAATGCTACGGCTGAATGTGACGCACAGATACCAAATGAAATTTGTTATATGGCAGGTGACACTCGTGTAAATCAAAATCCCGGTTTGACTGTTTTACAGACAATACTTCTAAGAGAACATAATCGTATAGCTGATGAATTATCTAAAATTAATCCACACTATGATGATGAAACTTTATTCCAAGAAGCTCGGAAAATAAGTATTGGACAATATCAACATATTTCATATTACGAGTGGTTACCCATATTCTTAGGAACTGAGAATATGTTGAAAAATCGCTTGATATTTAAAACAGGGCCAGAAGGTGCATTTATAAATGATTATGATCCATCAATAGATCCATCAGTAATTAATTCGCATGCTACAGCTGCTTTTAGATATTTCCATTCGCAAATTGAAGGAAGATTAGAGTACTAAAAAAAAAGTTAAAAATTTGATTTGATAAAAAACTAAAATTATTTTTTATTTGGCAGCTTGATAACAGAACTAAGATCGGTTGTTGGAGCTTTGAGATTGAGCGATTGGTTTAATCGTCCTGGAATTATTGAAATCAATGATAATTTCGATGATTTAACCAGAGGACATGCAACACAACCTGAAGAGTTAACTGATATTAACTTTGACAGAGAAGTAAATAAAACACGATAAAATCTTAAATAATATACTATAACAATCTACTTTTATTTCATTCAGATTAAACACTTCTTATTCCGTGGTAATCGACCATTTGGAGCAGATTTAAGAGCAATTGATATTCAAAGAAATCGCGATCATGGATTAGCGTCTTATAATGATTTTAGAGAATTTTGTGGTCTTCCGAGAGCTTATAATTGGGATGGATATTTAGATTTGATTTCACCTAAAGTAATTTCTTTTAAAATTATATAAATCATTTATAATCCTTTAAATATTGTATATAAACCCATAGAATGTTGAAAACTTAAAATCATTGTATGCGAGTGTCGATGATGTGGATGTAACTGTTGGCGGTTCATTAGAAACTCATGTTGCTGGTGCTTTAGCTGGTCCTACATTTTTATGTATTTTAACTGAACAATTCTATAGAACAAGAGTAGGAGATAGATTCTTCTATGAACATGGAGATAAGGAGACAGGTTTTACAACAGCACAATTAGCTGAGATTCGTAAAGCAAGTATGGCACGATTGTTGTGTGATAATGGAAATCATATTTCATCAATGCAACCTGCGGCTTTCTTATTAGTGTCGAAATCGTAAGATATATTTTTATGTTAAATATTTTTCAAATTTCTATGAACAGGTATACATTGAGTTTAACTTTTTATCTCCTTTTTTTAGAAATCCTGTTATATCATGCTCAGACATACCATCTGTTGATTTAAAAATGTGGCAAAATATACCATTTGAAAAGCAATATCTTCCTTCACAATTCTATTCACCAACATCACATTAATTTTAGTGAATTTTCAGTGTTCTTAATATTAATTTAAAGACAGGAACTTTCTTTATATTATAATATATTTATTTAATTTTAATTTTGTACAGTGTTTTCTCAAAATCTAAAAAGTTTACCCTCATAAGTAATATCCAAATTGCACTAAAGTTAAATATCACAAACAGATTCTTACTTTGTTAATAATTAAATTAATAGATTTAATAATTTAAGAACAATCTAAATTTTAAAATAAAATTACACGTTTCGATCGTTCATTTATTATTCAAAACAAATTGATAGCTTTCATATTTGCAACACTGTTTTTGTTTTGAGAAAAAAAGTGTTTTAAAATAAATTCTTTGTTAAATTTATCATTGTAATTTGTTTTGCCATAAGTAAAAATTATTATAAATAATTATTAAGTTTAATTTTTCCACATACATTATGTACTTTCTTCCTGTTTAAGTTATAATCAATATAGTTAAATAAATTATATTTTTTAAATAATGTGTTTTATTTATATAAAATATTAATTCAAATCATAATTTATTTATTTAATCAATTCTAGTAAAAACTGTTAAAATTGTGAGAAATTAAAATTTTAATACGGAGTTAAGGTGGGAAAACTCTCAACAACTGCACTTACGCTTTTATCGCAAATCCCAAGTTTGTTAAATTTTGAAACTGAATCATACATAATATGTATGTATGTATTTCATCATAATTATTTTGACACACATAATATATACAGAAAAAAACCAATAATTTAGATTTGACTATGTCCCTAAATTTCAAAAATAATTCTAAGGAATAAAATATATTTTTAGTTAAATAAGAATTAATGATTCAAAAAAAAATTAGAATTTTTTTGTATTAATTTTTCTATTAAATATTAATAGAATCTTGAATAATATTGAAATTTTTAATTATTTGTATATGATTTAATCAATTGATTTAAACAATAATTAAAATTTTAGAGTTTAATTAAATTCTTTCCCAGCTTTTGAAAAATTTTCTATTTTTCTCATCAAATATACATACATACATATGTATGTACATTTTATGTATACATTTATCTTATCTTATTAACACTTTAGCTTAAAATTCCCAAATTTTCAATAAAATTAACGGAAAAGAAAAATAGATAAATATGATTGCATAATGCTTAATAAATAACCAATTTTCCCATTATTAAGTAAAAATAATTGAAAAAAAATTAAATTTGTTTTCTCATTTATTGTTATAATTTTAATAATGCACATGATGTAAGTAATTTAAGTTTAACCCTTTAAATATTAAAATTATTTAGTGTACAAAAATAGAGACATATACTTTAATTTAATACATGTAGGTACATATCAATCTTTCTAATGCATTTTTTTTAAATTCTTTTTTATTTATTCATTCCTATTAAAAAATTTTTATTGAAATAATTTTGGTTTATTTTCTTGACATATGTATATATGTATATGTAACAATTGCTTTTGTTTTGTATAAAACTAATTTTCAGTCAATAGCTACAAGAATTCTTCAAACACCTTAAGCTTCAAAGAAAATAAAAACAAGACGAGCATTAAAAAGATTTTCTACACAGATTTATCGCAGAACGAATTCAAAAAGAAACTAATCGAAATTCTAAAACTAGTTTTTGAAACTATTATTATAAATTCAAATAATGGTTTACAAATGCACATAATATTTTTAAATTACTGAAAATATAAAAATTTTTTAAAGTACATATGTATATTTATAAACGTTCCAATATTATTCAGATATGTGTTCCCAAAAAAAAAACAAAACCAGAAGATAAAGCAAGACTTTTCTATGACATTTTATAATATAGCAATAACTAAGTTTAAAAAATTTCATTTATTGAAATTAGAAATTCAAATTAAAGAAAAATATTAGTATATCGTATAAATTTATATAATTCTAAAAAATAAGATTTAGTACTTCAAGTGAAGTAGGAATCATTATTGTGGATAGTAAATTGGCAAAATTTTTATTTGCTTTTAAACATAATTCGCAAGTATTTTTCCAATTATTATGATTACAATAAATATATATGCGAAATTTTTACATTTCGTGAAGAAATCTTGGAAAATTATAAAATTTTCTATTCGATATTTTTAACCACATTTTTATTTATATATTCTATATACCCTAAATAGAAAACCTTTAAAAATAGTATAAAACCTATAGTTGTAAATGAAAATTTAAAAATTATAATAAAGCTTTTATACGTAAATATTTTTAGAAATTTTATGATTTTGTTCTTAAAAATAACAATAAGTATACAGTTTGAGTTTAGTTTGTTTCGCGATTTTCAACGAATACAACTTTTCCTTTTAAATCAATCGGTAAATTTTTAGCAAATGAATTTTAAACAAATATTCAGTTTTTTTTTTTTTTTGTAATTATTTCTAGATTTTGAATATAAAAAACTATTATTACCTTCATTCTAGCAATTATTTAAATAAAAATGAATTTTTATAACATATTGTGCTTACTTACAACAATTTTAATGACGAAAGGAATTAATTACACTTTATGGTAAATTAAACAATAATATTGGATGTCGTTCACATACAGGTTATGGCAAATAATCCTTTCAGCAATTTCAATTTCTACGAATGTATATAGAAAATTCAACCTACACATATTCAATTTTTTTTATTTAAAATATGTAATATAATTAATTAAAAAAGCCAAATTATATAAATATGTACATGTACCTACTAACATTAGTTTTACTTGTAATAAATAAGACATTTTCAAGAAATAATTTGAAAATTGAGCCTTAAATCCCAATGAAAATAGATTAACATTTTTTTTTTTCATTCAATACATCAAATTTTATACACATACTTGCAGTGCTGTTAAATTTTTAGATATTCAAGAACCAATTTTTATTCTGAAATTTTTGGAGTATTATATGATATATTTTGTAACAGCTAAGGTGATAAAAATTTTAAAGCAATCAACCGTTCGAACAACACTTCTTTTTGATGTCAGGTTTTTAACTTTTTATATTGAATATATATTTAGAAAATAAGTTCTCGCAAATTGATTACAATCAATCGTTTTGAAATAACAATTAAAATTTTAACATAATTTACCATAATTAATTATAGGTATAAATTTTAACATAATTATGTACATATGTATGTGCCAACCCGACTATCTCGATTATGTATCAAAGGCACAATTTATTTAATATTCTATATACATAAAACAAAACTAATGTTACAATTCTATACATCAAATATTCTATATGTTAATAAAACTTAATTAAAATAATCAAAATAATTATAACTATTTTACTGTTCACTTTACCCGCGCAAAAACATTAATTTTTTATAAAAATTTTTTGTTAGACTTTTAATCTTATTAACTATTTTCTAATTTAAATTTTTCATTGTTTATATTTACCAAAATATAACAAATTTAAAAGCAAAAATTAAATCTATGTATAATACATTTTGAATTGAAAATTTATATCATTAAATATTGAAAAATTTTAAAAGTATTCGAAATACATAGATTTAACACTGCAAAAAATGTTAATAATTATTATATGTATATTATAATTAAATTGTGCAAAAAACAGAAAAAATTTTAAGTGAAACATAAATTGCTTGGTATTTTATGGTTTAATATTAATTTTATACTTTTCTATAATGGTTTTAAATTTTGCTATAGTCTCGAATTTTGCGTAAAGAACCCAATACATTTTTTAATTTGAGTTGCCAAAACGAGTCGTGCATATCACATTATTAGCATGTAAAAAGTTTTTTGCGATCAGACTGCGAACTAGCATAATGTATACAGTTTGATATTACTAGTAAAGTGCTATACAGAAGATAATTTTTGTAATTCCGCAATAGAACTAATTTTAAGTGGAAAAATATACACAAGTTTGAAATTAAAGAACTTACAGCCTGATCGTGTATCTGACTTTTTTAATTCATTTTTTGTTCACTTTCAAATCCGAATTTTCAGTATTTTCTAACAAAGTCAATTTTAAATCAATTTACGCATTTTAGAAAAAAAAACGAGATACGCTACGAGTATACCAAATAATTCTTCTCACTCGAAAATTACATTATACAAGTGCATATATGATAGTTACTCACTTTCTTCTCACTTTCCGAGTAAAAAGCGAGATAGACGATCAGGCCCGAAATTCTCTCTAGAGAATTTACAAAAGGTGTCTTCTGTATAGCACTATAAATTATATACACAATGATCATTGTGATAGATTTTGAACTCTGCGAAATACAATATTAATGTATGAGATGCGTGTAACAAAAAAAGAACCTTATAGAAATTTATACCTATAACTTCAAAAATGAAATAAAAATTTAACAGAAAGGAGCGTGTAACATATACATACAAACATATGTAAATCAATTATAGCTTAAAATTTTTTAATTCTATAACTCAAAATACTTTATTTATATGCATACATACATACTTATACTCTATAAATTACATAGTCAATCATGTGATGAAAAATGGAAAAATTTTCAAACGGGCATGGCTTCTTTTGACATTGAAATAGCAAAAGATACCCTATTGACAAAAAGTGGTTACATAACTGATAATGCAGAAGTATGTACATATGTATAAAGAAATTAATATAATGTGTGTTAATGACTGCTTTTTATTAAATCCTATACATTTATTTATTTAAGCCTTTTACAAGTGTGTTTAAGCTAAATGAAAAATACAATAAAAACATAAATGATTTATTCTTGAAAAGCGAGAAACTTTTACATGGTACACAAAAAATTCTTGATGATTATTTTGGAAAGTATACTAATCAACCGAAACCAAATACCACTAACATAAAGGAGTTCTTAGATGCGTCAACAGAATGCATACCAAGAGTAATTCGATGTCCATATGAGTCTTTGAATATAAAATGTGACCCTTCCGAAAAGTATTTAATACACAGTTTCACTTTTAAATTTATTAAAAAATTATTGAAAATTTTATATTAAATATTTTACTTTTTCATTAGATATCGTTCATTCGATGGATCTTGCAACAATTTAGGCAAACCATATCAAGGAGCGGCATTTACTCATTATAGTCGCATAGATGATTTTGTAACTTTTTATGACGATAGTAAAATTTTTTGACAACAAAAAATTTTTTTAGTCAAACGGGTTTTTTCAATTTTAGATATAAGGGAAATAAGAAAATCTATAACAGGTGAGAATTTAATAAGCCCTCGTATTATAACAAATGAAATTTTATTGAAAACACATAACACCAAACAATGCTCAAAAGAAATTCCGAATATGGGATGGTTATTATTCGGGCAAGTAATTACTCATGATATTGCAGGATCTATAAATAACGTTCATGGTAAATATTTTATAACACTGATAAATTTCATGAAAAATCATGTTTTTAACTCTATATAATAATATTTCTATTTCTATTTTAAAAGTGATTATCAAAAAATATTTTTTATTACTGAATAAACTGCTTTTATTCACTAGCAAAAAATCGTTTTTTGAAATATTGAAATTTTATGTGTATATATTTCTGTACGTAACATTAATTTAAAGAACTATATTTTCCGTAAGATCACGAACTATATTTGCCTTTTTTTAGAGAAAACGGAAAGAACAAACGACCCTCCAATAAGATGTTGCACACAAGATTATAAAAATATCTTACCAAGCTCAAAAATGCATTCAAGTTGTTTACCTTTTTCAATACCTAATAATGACCAATACCATGAAAAGACTTATATGGGCTGCCACAACTATATAAGAACGAAAACAACATTATCCAACAATTGTCAATTGGAACCTGCACAGCAAGTATACATACCTCAAAATAAATTATACACAAATGCACATTACATCAATTTTAAAGTTCATGAAATGCATTGATAATTTTTTATAACACTGAAGGTTACCAGAGTTTCACATTATCCAGATCTTTCAGTAATTTATGGCAGCTCAGAAGTAAAATCGGAGAAATTACGAACGGGAGAACATGGTAAACTTTTAACAAGTGATGGAGATTTATTACCTAAAAGAAATAAATGCACTGGTGGCAAATGCTATTATAGTGGTACGTACATTTTTAAATTTTTTATTTACATTTTTTAAACCCAAATAGAAGTAATTGTACATAAATATAAGATACAGTAGCACAGTGAAGTAAAATATGAACTTTATTTCTTTATTTTATTGACTAAAGTGGAAATCAATAAACCATTGATATCAAAAGTTTAAGAAATTTTCAAAAACTATATAATATATCAATCTATTTTAGGAGATTTTCGAGCCCTGCAAGTTCCACCGTTAGGTTTTCTACATTTAATTTTCGTTAGACTTCACAATATAATTGCGGAAAATTTGAAAAATCATAAGCCTATGTGGAGTGATGAAAAAATATTTCAAGAAGCACGGCGTCTAAACATAGCTATTTATGAGAATATAATCTACATGGAATATTTGCCCATTCTTCTAGGTAAATTTTGAAGTCAATATAATACTTTAAATAATTTCAAAAATAAACCAAGATTACTTCCAGATTTAAATAAAAAAGTTTTTAACTCACATTGAATTTAAAGTATTGTTTTCCCATTATGCACAATTTATGTATACAAGTACGGACATACATAATGTATTACTTGTTAACGAACATACATATTGCATAATTTGTAAAAATTTGTATAGTAAAATTAGAATTACTCACGTTCAAATCAGAATTTCCATATTTTTAATTTTCTCAATGAGATACTCATTTTGAGATTGAATTCTTCTTCTATTTTCTTTTCATGTCGGGAAGATAATTTGTTTGATCCCAAACAAAGTGACTAATTTTGACTGATTATATTTCTTCTCACTCCAACATTATATTTTACAAATGTTATTGTACCCAATAATTAAAGATTCCGAAGTTTTTAATGTGAAACTCGAAATGAGGTCCTTTTAGAAGTTCGAAAAAGGCCGTAAGTTAATTGTTTTTGTTTTAAATCGTTATAAGTTATATATATACATACATCTTCATATATATATTAAATTATTTCTATACTAATATATAATTAAAATAATATTAAATAATCACTTTAATTTTAAATTTTAGATAATCCCTAAAAGAATTCAAAAACACGTTGATAGTTAGGCAAAAACAACTTGAATTTCAATTTACCTAAATATAATAAATTATAATTTTGTTATACTTCCTAAATAGTAAATTTTTTATAGGAGAAAATATAAAAATTGATACCGTATATAATAGTTCTACAGACGGCTCAACCTCAAATGATTTTAATACAGGAGCTTTTAGACAGCTTCATTGGTTTACTCCGAAAGCTATTGAGCTGTACAAAAACGGTTGTAATATCACGCATATTCGAAGAAAAACTAATAATAAAAAATATATTTTCTTTGTAGATGGAGTTTTATCAATACCATACGGAAAAATGATTTTTGATCCCACTGATTATTTCCAAGACAACCTTGAAGCATTGCAACGAACAATTACTGAACAACCAATTAATATGGCAAAAATTGAGGAGGAAATCGCTAACAAGCTTTTTAATCAAACTGATTTATTGTCAGTTGATATTCAAAGAGGACGGGATCACGGATTGGCGCCTTATTGGAAATACAGAGAATTGTGTGGTTTTAAACCAATTAAATCATTTGAAGATTTAAGTCCATTGATTTCAGAAGATGTAATATTTCAACTTTAAGATTAACGCATATATATGTACAACACATGTATTATTTCAAAACCTACTTATAGGATGTTTATCATTTGACCAAGATGTATAAATCTCCTTATGATATTGATCTATATGTAGGGGGTGGCCTAGAGCAAAAGAATTGTGACGATATAATTGGTCCTACTATGAAATGTCTCACAAAACTACAGTTTGAACGTTTCAAAAATGGAGATCGTTTTTTTTATACAAATAATAATCTCTCACATAGTTTACCAAAAAACTTAATTGAAGCAATAAAAAAAGTAACGTTTTCATCAGTCCTTTGTTCAACCACAAATATGGCATTTATATCAAAAAATTCGTTTCTTGTACCAAGCCCAACAAATGAAATGCTTCCGTGCTCAAAAATAAATATTCCAGATTTTATAGATGAGTTGACAAAATAACTGTTTAAAATTTTATTTCGATAAAAATTGATAAGGAATGATAGTTTATGTACATACAATATTCAAATTATGTTATTGAAAATTGTATTATATTAAATAGTATACATATTAAATTAAAAATAAGAATAAAGGCTATTAACTTATTAAAGCTCATAAATCAAAAATGGACTTTTTATCTCAACAGAAATAAAATATCGCTAACAAAAAAAATTGCAATCGATCTTTTAATCAAGAGCTCCTAAAACTTTAAAGTATTAACAATTAACATGGACATTTTTATAGATGCTTCAAATTCGATATTTTATAAAATTTGTTTTGTGCAATTTTTAGAATAAATAATAGAAGAGAAACACTTAACCTCCTCTTCCTCAGCAAATCGAGCAATTAAAACCTCAAATTCATACTTAAATTTTATTTTCTTAGAATGTATCTTACTTGTGTAGATACCAATCGTACTGTAAAATTTCCATTGACAAAAGGTTATTTTATTCAAAATAAATTTTTAAAAATTTATTAATTTTTAAAATTAAATAACTTTTGGAAAATGTTAGTCTATAAAATCGTAATATTATCAAGAAATAGAGAAAAGAAATAATGTGCCTATTTAAAACTAAAACATGAACTATATTTTATCTACTCTAAATTTCTACTTCCGAAAAACGAAATAAATTTGTTTTTTGATTTAATTAATATTCAAAATTTATAGTAGAATATTTGTGAAAGAGAATGGGGAAAATGCAACAGATGTGTAACTTTAAATCGCATTGTGTAACCTAAATCCCTGTTTTAATTGCATAATTGACTCCCAGAAATCTTCCCTTGAAATAATTTTATTCTTTAAAATGAAAGATACAAGAAAGATAATGAAAGATATAAAAAATGAATAAGTAATAAGAATAAATACACGATGCATTCTCTAAAGTTATCCTTTTGTTTTGATCATTGAACACACTTTGCAGAATGCTGCTTATTTATAAAAGTATCTATGAAAGTTTTTAATAAATTCAAATTTCGGGTTTGTTTAAAGTTTGTTATTATTTTACTACATTGTCGTACACATTAACATATGCGAATCTGAACGAAATGATAAAAAAATTTAGGATTTTAGTTTATTTATGTGTAATTCACCAAATTATCTAACTGCTGAGAACTGCCAAGAAAATAAGAACTTTTGATAAAAAAAATTAAATAAACTTTAACTAGTTAATAATATGCGAACGATAGAATGTTGCAAAAAATTTTCAGACTTTATGTATTGCGAATGTTTCAGAATTTTAAGTATAAAAATTATTAGAATTAAAAAACACAAATAACATAATTTAGATTAATAATACGAACTTTATACATTTACATATATGCTTTTTTGGAATATACATATTCATAATAAAAACAGTTTTTTTTTAATTATTTAAAGTGCGATGCTAGGTATCTTTACTGGAATTGGGGGTAACGATTTTTAAATATTGCAACAAATGGTGTCCTAAATTTTCAGATATGTAAAATGACCAGTCCAATTTAGTACTTAATTTGTCAGCTATCAACAGATCTTCTAAGGACCCTATTGACATATTTGAAATTTCTGGAGTTCGAGATGATCTTAGAAAATCCATGATACGTCGTCGTGCAAATTGTTTATTCATAAATTCCTATTGAATAAAAAAAAAACACAAAAATTATATACTATTAGAAACAATCAATTTACTACAATAATTTTTTCAAACTCACGTCAACCAACTCATCCTTTGGTTTAAGATTAACATTAATTAATGATGAATCATCTTCATCAAATGAAGCAATTACTCTATCTATTGGCAACACATAAGTGAGTTCGTTTTTATCTAATTCTAAGATAGCTAACACCGTCGAAGTCATACAAATGGTTACGTGTTTTAATTTTTTTTCCACAACAAGAGTCGCTTCGTGGAAAAACAAAATTTGGTCAAATTTTAATACTCTAGGTAAAAGCTTCCAAATCTTTGAGTTAGCTGGGCTTTCATCAAGCTTGTTTTTAACAGGGCATCGTTGCTTTGGTTGTGTATTAAAACCAACTGTATGTAAAACTCCATGACCCGTCAATGCTACAAGTTCTGCAGCGCCACTTAATGGTTTAGTAAAAGCTCCTACAATCCCTTTTCCAACACCAGTAACAATCTGCACAGGACTTTGAGCTTCCAAGGGATGGCGAGCCAAACCCCCGACGGCTCCCAAAATATTTATTCCCAAACTAGTCAAACCTTGTGACAAACCTTCTGCGAATCCTTGCGGCCTAGTTCGCCTAATTATTTCTGTTCTTTGAAAATGTTCTTCATCAAATGTTAGCCTGTCAATATTCCTAGCAACGGAAGATGCAAGTTTTGTAACCGAATTTAGGGTACCAGCCGTAATATTTCGCAACAGCGAAACTGACCCCTGTGTGACACCCATTAGAAAACCCCAGGGCCCGCGGAAAAAACCTTCCAATGGCAGCGTTACGAAATCTCTAATTCCAGTAGTAACACAGCGGGCCAATCCGCTCGGGCTTCCGAGAATTTCTAAAGACCCGACCACCCATCCAGCTCCAAAAAGAGCTCCTTTAACAAAATTGAAAACAAAATTGTTAAAATATTATGTTCTACCAAATTATAATGCAATATTACATGAATTTAAAAAAAGAAACGCAAAGCTCACCTGAAAGATAATGCATTCCTACAATATACCCCAAACGAATTGGTAAAGTCGTAATATTTCTCCTCTCAAAAGCAGCTAACTCCAATGGACTGTGATCCAAGGCAATATAAAATCGTATGCAAGTATGCACTGAAAATAATACACTCAAAGGCTCTATGCGAAAACAGTCTAATCTGATAGGATCAGCTAAGTATGAAGCTCTATTTTTAATATCATCTGGAATAAGGATGTTTCCTTTTGATAAAATTTGCTTTGTAAGCCTATTTTTTTCGTGAAAAGTTAAATTTTCCATGGCGCATTCTGTTAAGAATTCATGCAAATCATTTATGTAAGTATCTTCGATATAAGCTCTGATTGGTTTAATTTCGCAGAATATTGAAGTTAATTCAAAAATTTCTATTTCTCTTCTAAATTGTAACTTGAGTATTATTGAACTTCTTTCTTTGTTAATATTTATTTCGGAATTTAAATCGTATATTGATGGTAGCAAAATAGATCGCATATAAACGTCTTGAGAAGATAGTACCACAGGGAAATCGTATTTACAAGAAGAAAACTGCTGGTTATCTATTTGTAAGTTAGATATCACCAATTGTAGTAATTTACTTGTGCTATCGTACTTGGCAATTAAATCATCTAAATATATCGCAAGAATTTCACATTTATTAAAATTTTGTTTGTTATCAATCCTTGAAACACTTAACGTAATCTCTTTTATAAAGAAATTTATTTCTATGACAGGATTTTCATCATTTTTTGCTTCGTGATTGCATTTACTGTATCTTAATTCTTTTGATTTTACGTTGTAAGGCGTTCTTGAAATATGTTCTGTTATTTCAAGCGATGATGTTGTTTTATTTTGGTTATAAAGCTTTGATGGGCTAAGTAAACGAGAACGCAGATCTTTCACTGAAAATTCCAGTTGCTAAAATACCAAAATATTTATATTATTTAACAAACATATAACCAACTTTCTTTACCTCTGCAATATATGAAATATATATTTTTGTAATTTTATGTTTATCACAAACAACAATTTTCACGTCCCCAAACATAGGGATGTTGAAGAATTTTTCACAGCTCATATTTGTACGAAGCGGTTTAGACCATCGAATAGGTTTCATTTCACCTGAACATTCTTCTACAAAATTTCAAACTTAATTAAAAAACAATATTTTTCGTTTTTATTGCGAAACATAAAAGATATACTTAAAACCTCTTAATAATAATCAGTTTCTAAATTTAAATTTAAGTTACTTTTATTAAAATCAAAACATTTTTTTAATATCAGATGAACAAAAACACGATTATAACTTATAAGTGCTTTTTTAATTAAAATTTTCTTACCGTTAAAAAAAGCTAAAACGATATTATATAAAATATTTCCATTGTCAGGAAAATTTAAATAACCTTCTGGAGGAGTATAATATAAAGAACTTGTACTTCTTAAAAGTTGGTGCCAACCAAAATTATAATTTTCACCTTCAGGCTTTGAAGTTGTATCATTCGAATTTTCATTCGAATCCGTTTGTGCTAACAAAAAATTTAAATCTGTCCAATTGTGAATTTCTAAAGCCGGTAGAGTGTCATTAAAAATGCTCATATAATACTGACCGTTCTTTTCTATACAATTTACTGACAAAGCAATCTATTAAGTGAATTTAAAAACATATTTAAAAAAATTTGGTAAAAATTTGATCATTAAAATTATTTTAACTTACCGATTTATAATCATTTTGAAGACTAACACATTTCCTATTAAAAGGCTTTGCTAAATTTATTGGTATTGTTATATCTTCTTTTTCCTTGGAAAACATTGTAATGCAATAAATATAACAATCCTCTTTCTTAATTTTTTTTTTTATGCTAAGATTATAAAAAGCATCAATTGCTAACCCACACAAATTTTCGCTTCCATTACTTTTGTTCATTAATATGCCATATTTTGTCGTGAGTTGTTTAACTTCTTGTCGGCTAATCTTATGATCATATTGCAAGCAAAAAGGAATAATATAAAAACTTGAGTCAGAACAATTCGACAACACAAAAGCTGGTTTTATTATTAATACTTTGCGCCCATCCTCCAAAATTGATTGTAAAATAGCTTTATGTATTATTTTACCCAAAAATAAAATTTCAACCGCATCATTGTCTTTTAACCAAATATTTTCTGTAGATTTTTTTTCCGAATGTGAGATCGTATCAAAGTGTATCGGTGGTGAACTAAGCCACCCAGTACTACAATGAATTTCAATTATAAACCCTTTGCTATTATGGAAAAATGTACACAACTCATTTGAATGTACTTCGATTGTACAATCCATTGTAATACCTTTAATTTTAATGGAGGAACTTAATGAATTAATAAAAATACCCCATGGGGATACTTCAAGTAGTAAACTGCAAGACAGTTCTGTACGCGAATCAATTTTAAATATTGGAATTGCAGGCTGTTCGCTATAATTTAATTTTCTATAAATTTTACATTCTTCTTCAGCTTTACAAGGCCAAATTTCGTCTTCTATTTTTTCTAATTCCATTAAACATTTGTCAATTGTCCATTTCTTCTCATCGTAGTAAAAAAATTGATTCCAATCAATATTTTTTAAAGATAAAGTAAATTTTTTATTGGTTTCTCCACAGTTAATTGGGAAACTGGAAAAATAAAGGATTTTCAATATGAAAAATCAGTTGTGTAAATTAAAAAATACTTTTCTTTAAATGTTATGATATGTTCTGTTTCATGAGTGGCTGGCAATTTGAGATCTAAGATACTCGCTCGTCCAGATATTTCCATTTCTGTTTTAGTAGAAGCTTCAGTAGCATATATTTTTTTTGAAAAAAAAGACCTAATTTGAAATACCGGCCAAATCATTACTAAAATTCTTAAAGGCGTGTGTGATGTAGTTTTATATTCAATAATATCTTCACTAACTATGCGAAACCAATAGCTTACAAAATCAAGCGGTCCACTAATAGGAACTTTGACTAACCAAGGTAAATTTTTATTTGCTTTTAGGGGTATATCCCCTGACCATAGTTTCGTTTTATTTGAATCAAATTTTATGCGAATAGATTTTGAGGTTTCTTTTGAAACCGAATGACAAAAGCTTGTTGAGCCATTTTCGTTTAGAAAGTATTCAGGAGATTTATTAATATATAATCCATCAAGATTTTGGTTTCGAAACTGAATTAAAAACTTTTCTTCAACCATCATAACAAATTCAACTTGACCTTTGATACTCATGATGACTTGTGTGGACGATAATTTTTTCGTTTCAATTATATATATATTTTCCCCTATTTTTGTATATTTCGTAGAATTTTCCATCTTGACATGAAAAGGCTCACTAAATTCAGATAATTTCTTTGAATTATAAAAAGTTAGCTTTGGATTATGAATGCTACTAATAAAGGAATATAAAACATATTCTTTTGCATTTATACATATTTTTTCATTTGTACTACTTTGTCCAAAAACGATTGGATGTTGAACCATATTTGCCACAACAAACCGTGTAATAATCGGGTTATACGATTGATTGACAAGTGTGATCCTTTCATTCCATTGACGAAACGACACCACCAAAGTATGAAGAACACCTTTAAATTAAATAACTTTTATATGAAAATGTAAGTACATAAAATTGTACACAAAATTCTATTATTTGTTTAAAATATACATAATAAAAAAAATAATTTGGCACAAATACCTGGATCCATGTTTATTTTTATAGCATTTGAAATAAAATTAAATAAAATAGAATTCTTTCCCACAGCGAAATAATTTTTCAAATTAGTATCTTCTATTAGAAATTGCATATTAGAAAATGCATAATCTAACACCTTGATACTTAAATCGACTTCCGAATCTAAAGTATAAATTTTGTCTGATAGAAAACTCGCTAAAAATGTTGAATTTCTTAAATTAAGTGACAAAAAAGTTTCAACAGAAGACAATTCACTCGAGAGTTTAAGGTTCTTGATTATACTAGCAGATTCACTGATTTTTGTTTGTTGATTTTGTAAGTTTAATTCAAAAAACGAAACATCTACCAAAATTTCAAATTTTGGAACATACTCTTGGTTAAAAGAAGTATCAATTTTCATACAGCCGACTAAAACTTTAGGATGCAAAGTAAAGGAATTTTCTTCCTTGACGTCAAAGTCATCTAGTTTTATCTTCAAAAAAGATGTATAAAAATAATTACATAATATACAATACAAAAAAAATTGGAAATTACTAATTTGACTTCTTCATCTTCTTCACTAGTATCAAAATACTCCCGATTTATGGAGACCAAAGGTTGCAATATAACAACTCTCCAAATATTGGCTGTTATAATCCTTTTCGGTAAATCAATTACAGTACTCTTTGTTTCAGATAATGAAAATTCTCGAAATAATAGAAATTTTTGATATAGTTCACTAAAATATTCAATTTGGCACTTGATTTCAATTGGATTAGCGACCTAAAAAAATTTTTTTTCGATTTAAACTTTTCTTTAACAGCAGTTTTAGGTACTTACTGGCATAGGGATTGGAAATATATGTAATTTACAAACTCTTCTTGGTTGAGGATATCTCCAACAAATTATACCATGATTTTTTGTAATAATGTGAATTTGATAAGGTAATGGTAATGAAGCGTCTTCATGAGTTTCCACAAATTGAAACGCCCCAGCCCTGGAAAACAGAAATTCTTTTAGTTAAAAAATCTTACATAATATTATAAATTATCTTCTATATATTATGTCTTACATGTACATAAATCATATATATTTCAAAATACCTTAAATCATCTTGATAGAATTCTTCCCTATTTTTGTTTTCATTCTTTAATAAACTTGGTAATAAAATTTTTTCTAAATTGTATTGCCTTTTTATATCACTTTGATTACCTACTATTTCTTTCCCTTTTTCAAAAAGTTTTAATAATTTTGTTGCTTGAACCACACTTTCTGCAAATGAATTTATAGCATTTAAAATGTTTTGTAGGTTTTCAATGCCTAAATCAATTTGAACAACGTTTATCTTAAGATTTCCAGATATCAACGGTAATTTAGACCATCTCTCTTCTGCTAAATTAAAATCACATGTTATAGAAAGAGGATGTAGACATATTTTATTTTCAGTTTTTATGTAAAAAGTATCTAAATTTATTTTTAACCATAGCTTTTCAGGACGATGAATAAATAACAGTTCGCTTTTAAAATTATCCAAAATAATTTCAATTTCATACTTATCGTGTTCTTCGGTTTTTAAAACTAATCGATCCAATTTGAAGAAGAATGTATCTGCGTTTGCTAAATATTTTTTAATAATCTTTAGTTTAGCGCCGTGTACTATTTCTTTATCTAATGTTCGTTTTGATGGAGAATATGTTTTAACCGACTCTTGCAGAATCACCCACATATTTGCAAGTTTTTCAATTGTTCTGTGTTGTAAATTAATTTTAATTGGTTTGGAAAACAAACATGTAATATTTCTTTTCTGCAATTTATTGTTTTGTATTTTTATTAAAAATAAGGAAGGCGGAATACCGGAAATATTTAACTTTCCTGGTGAAGTTTCAAATATGTTCACCGGGAAACTTTTCTCACTTTTTTGAACTGGCGAGAATCTGCTTAAATCAATAGTCAAATTATACAACGAAGCTTGCCAGAGTTTTTCAAATATTTTTTGTGATATCAGCATACTAGGTTGGTCAATCGTACAAGTAAAAAGAGGCTCCAAATACGTCTTGGTTTTTGATGTAAAATTATCACCTGCTTCATGATAAAATTCTATAGTAAAAATTCCAGCCAAGAATGAAATTTCATATGGAACATGTTTATGTTGATCATTGATCAATAATTTATTCGGCCACTTTAAATTACTACTTCTTTTACCCTTTTCATACGTAGAGATACCAGAATCTGTGTCACGCTCATCAACGATCTGACCAGTGAAGTTTTTTCTACCCAATTTCGTTTCGCAAGAACGTGAAAAAGGGCTCTGTTCGATCTTCTTATATGACAGTTTTTGTTTTGCCTGGGAATTAAAAATATTTTCTATTCTCATATTTGCCTTTTCATTTATGTAATGTAATTTTTCATCATACAAGGACCTGCATTTAAAAAAATTAATTTATATTTATTTTATTTATGTACTTTATTATTTACTCAATCAATTGATTTGCCATGCAACTCATATTGGAAAAAAGCCTCATTTGATCGGTTGTTATTTTAGCATTGAGATCAGTTATGCAGTTAAATTCTATAGATTGTCCAGACACGACTACTTTTTGATATACAATAATTGGTGCAAAAGTAACAGATATCGCAAAACTATCAAAAATTTCTTGTAATTCAAATGTGTTTTTAGAAAAATTTTGATGATTCCAATCAAAGGCGGGATTTGCGTTTCGTAAGTTATTTTCTTGATCCTTAAATATATTACATATTGCAAATATTCTGATTCTGTTTTTTATGTACTGACCTTGGTGAAACTCAAAAACTCAAGCCAGTTTCCAGTTGCTGCTGAAATATTGTGGAACATAAGCTCATACTGTCTGTCTTCGATAATAGAACCTCTAACATTAAGTAAACCCATTTGGGCGGCTTTATTGTACATATCTGACCTTATAGGTTTGCGTGTTAAAGGATTTTTAACATTAGGTGATAATTTAACTTCATTTACCTGTATCAATAAAAGAAATATATTCATTGGACTCAACTAAGAATGCAACTTTAATTTTAGAAATCTTACATTAAGTATAAATACACTGCAATTAGCTGCGCTATTTGTAACTGGCGCATAAATTGTAAATCCTCCCAAATCAAAGTAAATCAACGGTAGCTGAGACCCTATAAACTTTTTTTGAACGAAGTTTTCCGAATTTTTTTTGTTATGCATTTCATTATAGCTGGTAAAAAACGATATAATAGGTATAAATTCAAGTAATTTTTCTAAATTCACTGTAGTTTCAAATGCTTGAATTGAAACAATTATTTCATACAACTGGTTATTTAAATCAGCTTTTTTATGAGCACCAATTTTTCTGAAAACACTTTTTGTATCTGCGATTGTAACAGTTATATCAACAAATGGAAGCTCTGAATTTTCTGCTTTCATATTAAGTTTTAAATCATCATCCGTCTGAACTTCGTCTAGATCATTTATTTTCAAATGTCGCATAGAAAATGTTCCCAATTTACTTTTTATTTTTGTATAATCAACCTGCTTATCCAAGCTAATTATAAAATCTTCCATGTCTAATGTAATTTGAGAACGATAAGTTGAAACATGACCAATATTTAAAGCAATTTTAGTCACAGTCCATTGCATCCATGTAGACAGTATCAATTGATCAGAACAATCTATAAAATTAGTTAAAATAGTTCTTTAATTTCCTTTATACTCGTAGAAATCGTTAAACTCGCCTGGTAAAAATCTTGTAGACGAATCTGAGCAGGTATCCATTTCAAGAAATTCTTTCACTGTAGTATCATCATCAAAATCTGTAACAATTCGAAAACTTTCATTGGAACTAACCGAATCACTACTTAATATCCTTAATGAAAATAATATTCTTGTAAAAAGATCTATTTTAGACCGCAAAAAGTCTACCTAAAAAAAAAATTTTTGGTAATTAGATAATACAATTACATTTTTGAAATTAATTAAAATACTTGACCAATCTTCAGTTCAACTAGAATGGGTGATGTATCTACATGAAAGTTAAAACTTATTATATCTTTCTCAATTTTTAGATTCTCAAAAGATTTAATCAAATCAATATCACAAATTTCACTTTTTTCCATTCGTTTGGGCGAACTAGGAGCAACATTTAGATGAATCATATTTTCATTACTAACTTCTTTTTCGGTTTGGCCTTTTCTATTGACACAATCAGTACGATATTCTATTTTTGACCAATCACAATTTGTAGACTGCACATCGTCTTCTTTTGAATCATGTTCAACCAAATCGACTCTTTTTTTTGCGTTGTCTTCATAATTGCAATGGGCTTTCCTATCGCAACGCTCTTGAATTTGATCAACTGCTTTTGTAAATAAATTGTTGCTAACCGAAACTCTCTCTTTCTTGTGGGTCATGGCTACGGTTATATTAGTTTGAACTGGACTTAGTATTGGATAAATTATTCCTTCCTTTGTCTTTAGACTTACTGAAAACGAAGTAATATTACAGGTCCAAGGGAAGGATATCCGTGAATTAAACGAGTTTTTCATAGGAAAGTTTTTACTTAAATCAAAACTTTCTGAAATGCAGGACTTGCATGAAATTCTCGGAGTCCTAAAATTCAATAAAATGCAACTATGTATGTATATTTATTAATTGAAAATAACAATATACCAAATAGCTCCAATTTCATATTCATTATTACTAGCATCGTAATTTATATCACCAACAAAATAAATTGCTCCTTGATTTATATTTATATTCAACGTTGCAAATTTTAGTAAATAAAATCTGTAAAAATGCATTCATTAATTTATAGCGATAATATTAATTTCAATTAGGATATTTACACCCCACGGCAGGAAAGATACGAGCTTTCTTGTTTTATTTTAATGTTCACATTTTCAATTATTTCATCCTTTTCCGAACTTAAGTGAATAGTTTCTTCGGGGTGTGACACTTTTCTTGAACTTGATGCAATTGATTTTTTGATCGATTTACGATCTATGTTTTTTTCATTATCCAACTTTGACTCTCGATTTGGAGACAAATCTCGGTCATTGTTCATACCCTCCTCGTTATACTGCAAAAACTCTAATACAGCTCCATTTAAAAAAATGCTATAGTTTTGAAGATTTAGAAATAAAAAAGTAGAGTATTCAAAATTTTCACAATTTTTAGGAAATTGGGCAGACCACTCGATCCAACTAATACCACTGCTCGATTTATGATGCGTATCATTTTCAGTAGTTTCTAATAAAATTAATTTGCTTAAATCGCTTTTTAATATGTTTGATTTGACAGACCTTAAACGTCCCCTCGTAGATATACATTCATTAAATAAATTAAAACTTACTTCAAAAACTTTTCCAATTGTTTCTAATTCAAATAAATTCTTATGTATATCTGTTTTAATTGAGGTCTCCATTATCTGTGTTACTATATTACTATCAAAGGAAATTATTGTTTTAACTAATTTTAACGCCAAAATCAGCCTAGGTTTTGTAAATTTCAAAATGAAATCTTGTACAGAAAAATTCATCTTTAATTGTGCTATATTTTGCTGTTGCCACAAATTAGGATATAGAAGATTGCAGACTTTAACCTTGGTCGCAGGGATTAATAATATTGGATAATGTAAAGAGTTATCCCGTAGTTCAATACAAATATCTTTAATATTTACGAAAAAATTGTCATAACATGCATTCAACAATTCAATAGGTTGTTTTGGCAACTGGCAAGTTGTGTGCACCAGCAGTTCAGGATCTTGAGGTGTTATCAGTTTCCCACTAAAAAATTGGATACTCAAAGAGAGAAATGGAAGCTTTCCTAAAAAAATAAAAGCAAACATTTAAAGAAAAAACTGTGTCATAATGCAACAACGAACCTGTAAACTTCTTTGTAATCTTTTGTAATGTTTTGATTCGATTTTGATTTTTTATATACAACTCCTCTTTTGGAAAAATCTTCACTAAAAAATTTCGAATACTAAAGTTGAATATTTTAACTGGCACTTCGATCATTAAGGAATCATAATCTTCCAATATAGGAGGAGGTAACTTGGTATCTTTTTCATTAGTTTCAGGTATATAAGGTGGGTAATTGTACATGGAGATTAAATCAATTACAGTATCAATAATTTTACTAGACGTCGTGTTATAGCAAAGTGTTATTGAAGATATCAGCAACCTGTATATAATTTCATCAACATTATTTATTGAAATTTGTTCATCATATTGTTTTTTGTATTTGGTAATATTTAAACTGAAGCATGCTGCACGATTGTTTAAATATTCCTCGGTATTTTTATCTAAGTATTCTGTTATGTTCGTTATTGGATCTTTAACTTGGCTATTGTCATCAAATAATGATTCAAAAAGAAAGTTGCCTCTTAAATTACAATTGGATTTAAGCAAACATTTATCAAATGCTTCATCGCTAAAATGTCCCAAAGCTTCTATACTTATTTTCGAAATACCAATCTTAGAGCTAAACCATTCCCTCTGATCGTCAATTACAGTTTCCAAAAATATTTCATTACAGAGAAAACTTACAATCGGGTTATATCGAATTTTTTTGGTTGTGCCGACAATAGATTCGTTAACAAATTCTGATGATTTTAAAGTGAATTTAAATCTTTCTACGTATAATCCGATATCCAAAATATTTCCCATATCATGTTCCATTTTGGATTCTTCTTCTGGCTCAGAAAAAATATTAGGAAGCATATTCCATATAGTTGTTGTCCAAGAAGCATCTGCCATTAAAGGATGGAGTTCATCATTATGATCATTATTTTCTTCCATATCTTGATTCACTTTCAGAGCTCCAGTTTTAAGAGCAACAATCAAATTTAACAATCTTAATGCCATTGGAAATTGTAGGGAAGATACATTCATTTCAATTAAATTTGTAAGGGCAGCTACTCTGGTACTTTTAATACCATTAAAAGACTTCAAAATCAAACGAATTATTAAAGAACATCTAAAAAACAGTTCAAATTATTGATTCAAATCACTGATTATAAACTAATTATATCTTACTTGTACAAAATAGGTTCCTGGCACACTTCGATATGTCCCATTGAATTCCTTTTATCTAAGCATATAGTTAGGTCTGATATTTTGATAAGCTTTCTTATTAATCTATTAATAGGATGAAGATCTACAAAAGATGGATTCCAATTTTCATCCACTGAATGAAATGATAAAAGTTGCACATTCATTGAAACTACGATATCTTCTTCCACATATTTCAAAATGATATTATGGCAATTAATAGTAATATTATTAATAATTTTGCTAACTAAACCAGAGGCATTATATCCAGGCTGGGATTCTTCCAACCGTGAAGGTCTTTTTTTTCGTTCTAATTTTTGAGGAGATGACTGACTTGTAGGTGAACTTGTTGCATCTCTACCATGTGAGTCTTTTAATTTTAAAACAAACTCAATTGTGTTGATCGTAATATTTATTGGTTCAGAATTTATTTTCGTCCAAGGAACATGAATTATTAACTCATGAATGTGACCAGATAAAAACTCAAAAGGCAAATTTAATTCGTGTTCTAAAACATCTAAACGCAAATCTAAATTTTGAAAGGCCACTTCTCCCTCCCATAATGAAACCTATAATTAAGATTCGTTACAAAAAATACACTAGCGAAATATAAACAAGATTTACCTGTGCATCTTGAGGTCTAACGTTTTTAACATATTTTGCCACATAATTTAAAATTATAGGAGTTATATACGATTCCAGTCGAAACATTGCATTAATTTTTTAATGTTATGTTAACTTACATACTTTAATAAAAATACGTAAAGTTTTTGTAGTATTCTTAGTGAGAATTGTAAGAGTTCAAAACTTAAAATTTCAAAATTTAAAATTATCATTTAATAAAAATAAATAAAAATTGAAATCGTAAAATTGTTTACCTATCACATTCATTGACATTTTGTTTAAATTACATGAAGTGACCATATCTAGTAAATCGTTGTACAGTGATGACAATTCGTGTTTACAATACACAAATGTTCCAATAATTTGTGTCTGATTGATATTTTTTCCCAGAATTTCACGTTTCAAACGGGAAATTTGAAAATAGATTTAAACTAGTTTTTTGCTCAATAAACAAGACATAGGTACCAGTTCTTTTTAATTTAAAACTAAGGTACCAGTTAGATACACCTTTACGTCTTTTGACGGCAATGTTTTTAATAGAAGTTTTAAAAATTTTCAAACTTTGCAAAATTTGAGAAAACATTATAAAGTTTTTGTATGCAAAGCGTCTGGTGTAATACTCTTTCAAAAAAAATGAGAGAAAATTATGACGTTTTAATTTTCTCACTATTGAAAATTATTTAAAGTAAAATTTAGTGTTTTAAAAACATCATCTTAAAGATGTCAAAACATATATTTTTCTTAGTTATTCCAGAGTGTTTCATTTTTCAAAAAAAATTTTTCATCAACAATAATTGTTTTTACGACACTTTTTAATTAAAATTAAAAATAATATAAACAAAATGGATTCTCAAATGGTTTTATTCTAAGTTTAACACTTTTATAATCCAAAATCTAAATTTTCTGTCTTGCGTATGACCAACAAGTAATTAATTGAGTTTGAAAAATATTTTGAAATTTGACATTTATCACCTATTTATGTATTAAGTTTTTGAAATTTTCTTCAATTTTTCCGTCTGGTTTATTTTTTTTTTTGAAATGAGAATTTTTTTTCTTTTTGGGAGAATTTGCGACATTGTTTTCTTTTTTTAAAGTCTTTTCAATTTTTATACCAGACAGATCTAAATTTGTAATGTTATATTTTGTTATTTTTAAAAATCTGATAGAAAATCTGCAATCAAAATTAAACGAATTATCAAAGAACATCTAAAAACATTTCATTTTTTTTTGAAAATTTTGAAGTCAAACTTCAATTATATATCTGATTTTCATTAAATCAAGATTTAATGGTAGATTAACAGCCTAACCGTGTATCTCGCTTTGTTACTCATTTTTTATTCACTTTTAAATCAGAATTATAAGTATTTTCTAAGATTAAATTACTTAAAAACAAAGTGAAAAACTTTTGTATACAATTTAAAAAAAAACGAGATACGCAATCGGAATAATTCTTCTCACTCGAAAATTACCTTATACAAGTATATAATAATTACTTACTTTCTTTTTACTTTTCGAGTAAAATGGCGAGTTAGACGATAAAGCTGATGTCTAGGTTAGATTATACTGTTATAATCACAAAATTGTCTATATAGAATATAATTTTTAGTGCTATATTAATGACAATTTTTACGTTTACTTTTTTGAGGGGCACAAGTGAGTATTAAGTGTTTTAGTTTAAGGGATAGCTAAAAAACTAAGACAATTATGTTAAAATTTCGCCGAATTTGGTAAAAGCCCTATAGCTCCGAAACGGTTCCGGTTTGACACTATCTTCCGAACAAAAATTTTACTAATTTTCGACCATCTACCTGATAGCATATGGGTAGCGAATGTAACGTGATAACATACATACATGCATTTATATATATAAATGTTCACATTTATTTGTTAAGAGATCATTTTTCCCACAAAAAAAAAACGTCTAGACAACAGAAACTTAATTTAATAAAATAAATTTTTCTTCAAGTAATGAAAAAACTTTAAGCGTCAAAACTTCTATTACTCTCTCCAGACATATATGTACATATGTATGGACATGCAGTTTGATAAGAATCAATTTCTTTTAATTTTTACCCTTAATTTTTAATTTCCTCTCATTTAGCATTCCAAAATTTATTTTTTTTTCAATGTTATAGTATAATTTCTCGATTCATTTTGAGCAATTTGAATAATATGTATTAGCTTGATTTATTAAATATTCCAACTTATTACTTACAAATTAGTCAAAATTTGAAAAATAAAGTACATATTTTATTTTAAATACGTACATAATGTATTTTATTTTCCTACATTCTCCTATCAAAGTTACTTCAAGCATTGTTTTTAATAGTAATTTATTTTAATTAGAGTATTACATATGTACATACATATGCACATATCCGAAAATATTTCCAATTAGTCAAAGCAGGTAAGACTACCACTTCATCTTATTTCTTGTAAATAACGTTATAGACCTTTGTTAGATATGCATGTTCTTACTACATACATACATATGTATGTAGTCTTAACTGATTTCTAATAACTTTCTTTTGTAATTTTTGGAATATAACCAACTCGCAACAGTAAATGTATACTACAATTTTATTAATACAAAGATGGTATATTTGTACAATTGCAACCGCATGTCACAATTGTCTTATTCTACAATTCTTATTCTTATTGCAATTGCAATCGCAATTTTCTTCAGTTTTTTTATTTTAAATTTCGCGATCCTCGAAAGATAATTTTCTTTTCGAGGGTCTAGATATTTCAAAAAGTTTAAGCTCTACGTAATTACATAGAATGTTCTTTTGTATTCATCATACTTAACCGTAACACAATTTTGAATGAGAAGCTTTCCATTAAAACAATATTTAAACAAAACAAATGAATTTTTTACATTTAAACTGTAAGTATCTACTTATGTACATAAAAATGCATTATATCAATAGCAAACACGACAAAAATTAAAATTAAGCAATTTCATAAACACCTTGTGATCTACATTATTAAACACTAAATATTTTAATATGTGCACAGCTTTTTGTGCTTTATTTGGCCCATTGAAATAGCATTTTACCTTTAAAAAAAACACAAATTGTTTATCAAGTAAATAAGCCTTCAATAATTATTATGTAAAAAGGCAATAACGCATTACATTAATTCACACCCCCGTAACAAAATTACATTAACTCCAAAATTGCGATTTCTCAAATTTCAACCCATCAAAAACTTCAAATATTTGTTTATCAGCTGAATTAGTTGAAAATGTATCATTTTAGCATTTTAAATTCCCGAGCTATCAGAAAAATGAAACAAAAGAAACTTGTTTTTTATTTCATGCGAATTTCAAAGGGATTAATTACCTTTAATCTTACCATTAAGATTCAAACATTTCAAGTTATTATTTTTCTTGTTAATGAATTTATTTTAGATGGAAACATTTCAAGTTATTTTTCTTTTTAATTTAAAGTTTCATGAACTTTTTGTTCAAAAATTTAAAAAATTATTCAAAACATCAACTACTACTAATCAGGGTTTAGAATACAGATCAGTGGCTCGAGCTAAACAAACTTAAGATAAATTCATTAATTCATAGGTTTCACGATGAACAGATATGTATATGTTGTATGAAATTAATATTCTCATTATTTTGTGCAATTTTTCTCTCTAACAAGTTCAATTTAATTACATTTTATTATTAGTTTATATAATTACTATACTACTACAATTACATACTACTCTAGTCAACTAAAGTCTAATAATTTAACGAATAACAAACAGAAACGAATAAATCCACCTTTATGTACACTTGTAACCGGGGTGCGATAGATAAATAGTATTCTGTTATCAATGTTCCCAAAACGAATTGGGTTGCACGGTGTTTCTCCTTGTTCATATGAAAGTTATGAAAATGTACTATTTATTATAAAATTTTTTATGGAAAAGGCAAATTCTTACCCAAAAAAAATTGAGTACTAAATAAAACCAAAAAATAGTCAATTTGTATTAACAATTTTAATATGCTAAAAAAACCAAACCTTTGGAATATGCAATTTTATTGTACGAGTATATATTACATGCATAATTATGTGTGAAAGTATGATGATGTTAATGTAAAATACACATTATTTAAACTTTAGTTTTTAATATGCAACTTATAAAGAAAGCTGAATAGAGGATTCATAGAAAAACATTTGAAATATGAATAACAAACGTAAATTAAACCAAAAAAAGTTAAATTTCAAAAAGGACGTGCCCAGCAAAAAAAAAAGAAAACAGTTCGGGCCAAAGGAAATTTTGTGCATTCATGCTGTTAAAAACTAACTACATGTATGTGTTCTCGATTATCTTGTGACATTTTATATAAGACATTAATTATACATTCAAAATCAAAAAAACCTACCTTCAAAATTGCAGTAATTCTAAATCACTAGACAAATTACGAATAATATTATTGCAGAATTGTGGTATGTATTCCATACTATCATATTATGCGGTAAAAATAATATATATGAAAGAACAATAATACTAATAAGTTATATAATGCAGTACAATTAAGGTAGTTAACAATATCTTTTACTTGGAAGTTAATAAAAACCAATAATTATTTACATATGAATTTATTTTTTAGACATTAAAATAGACATCTGGTTTACGCGTATATACATTGACTCTTTCATCTAGTTTTTACTTTTCTAAAATAGATAGAGATTCACATTTATATTTTTCATATACAGATATTACATTGTGTAAATAGTATAAATATATTTACTATAATTTTTAACTATATTATACTCTTTCTTTATTTTTCTATTTATATATATATTTTTTTTGTTGAATATTTATTTTCATTTAAGTAACTTTGTTTAATCACATTCAATTGATTTTATAGTTTGTTTTGATGCAATTGCTTTTAAAACATTTGCTTCTTTTCCAAATTTTTTAATCGTTTTCTACTTGATGTTACGTCCTTAATATTGATAACAGATTTTACACTTTTACATCGTCCAAATGACTTGCTTCATAATCCGGAATGTTATTAAGGCCTGTATCTGGGTTGTTCCAATAGTAACCTGGTGGTCCCGGACTGAAGCAATACCTTACAAATATAATTAAATTATATTATTATCACTTTGTTAATAAACAAAAATATATTGTTTCTACTTCATATCAAGGGGTTCTGTATCAACTACGTAATACATAAGGTAGAAGTTGCACATTTCGTCCTCATTAGTTTTTCCAATCCTTGTAAAGCGATGCCTATTACTAACCATAGTGCAACGCGCCGCAATTTGATCTCCATAAACTAAAAAACAAAATAACTGTTATTTTTGCGAATTAATCGGTTTGATTGAAATTAATCACTTAAATTTACATATGAATATGTACGTATTTATATAAAAACATTACTTTTTGAAAAATTTCTACATGTTACTCTAATTCTACTCTATAAATTTAATATTGGTTACTACTGTTTTGCCATATACTGTTACTTTATTCAATATAAACTATACTTTATATTTAGGCTTTTTTTCAATCACACATGTATATGTACATTTTCACCCCTTCATAATTAACTTTCCAAGTTTTATTTTTACAAAATGAGAAAAATAAAAAATTACAATTGTTAAAAACCAATTCTAGGAAATATTTTGAAATTAGGTACAAAGGTATTAACAAAAATGTCTGAAAAAGTGAATATAAAAATTAAAAGAATTGTTCATAATTCATCATTTAAAGAAATGATTTTTTTAATAAATTTTAAATTTTTTCAAAGATTTACTTGAGAAATTTTTAGTTTGTATGATTAAGTTCCCATTATGCCTATTTGGGCGAGGGAATGAATTACTTTATATTGTTTATTATATTTTATAGTTATTATTGTTAATAAATTTAAAAAAAAAAAGTGACAAATTAAATTTAAAATGATACACATATATGTATGCACAATGTTAATTTTTAGCGCGATAAAGAAGAGGTAAGCTTTAGCTTTACAGTGAAATTAGTTTTTTAATAAACAGTTGGCTAAGAATGCATCGTATTTAATTATTATTTTCCTTACGATATGCTATTTCGTGTCCCTACTAAATTCCATTTTTGCCATATTTCAAAAAAATAATTATATTTTTAAATTTTAAATAAAATAAAATCGATATTGAAAAAGAATAATATTAATAGCTAATTTTCTTACGAATAGGTTCCGTATTTTCCACAGGGTAAAACATTTGGGGTGTAAGTGGATCTGTAAGAATACAAATAATTTAACGCAACATGCTCAACCAAAAATTTACTTTGTCTTCTTACCACGCTTTCCCAAAAGAGTCCATTCATCTTTTCCCGTGTTATCTTGTCTAACACGATATCCAGACACAACTTTACCTAAATTGTGTGTATGTGTGCGATAGGCTATAGGATATATTGTCTTTTTCTCAGTAATTTCACAGGCAGTTTCCATATGTTCTGTACTTGTTGGTGGTATAACACCACTCGTTCCTAATAATAATACCCCGGCTAATTTATTCAATGATTTTGTAGTATAGTCTATAACTACTCCAGAATCGTCCCTTTTATTTTCCGTTAAAAATTTTTCAACGTGAGCATAATGAACTTGTAAGACCATATATTTGATAGGTGAATCTTTACCAATCTTAAAACCGACACCATCTGGTAGGTATAGTTTTGGAGCATCTCTTGCCCAGGCATACAAAATTTGAGAATGAGATCTTGTTGAACAAGGGCTCGCTGTCTCTTCTTCTGAATTGGAAGATGCCATTTCACCACAATTCCAAACAGGATTTTCAGAACCGGGTTCCTGGCAGCCGTATATTAACATGTGATGTGCTGTATCCATGGTTGCATTGGGTTCATATGCAGTTATGTAATAACTCTTTGTAGGATCTATTTTTACTGGAGTGCAAAGATACGTTTCTGGTTTGGTTGGTTGAACATTTGGCTTTTTTTTCAATATTTAATAATATGTTTAATAAATTAAATAAAATTTTTTTACTTAAAAAGAAATTTTAAATGTTTATTTATTATTTACTTAGCAATAATCGACAATAGTAGCATAATAATTTAGTATAAATTTTTTAATTTAGTGAAATTTTCAATGATTTTTGAATGCCCAGCAAAGGAGCAAATAGAGCGTAAATTCAAAAAACCCCCCAATATGGATTAAATCTATTTTTTTTAAAGTATTAAACATGAAAACCAATAAATGTAAATTTAACTAACTCTTCATATTTTCAAACGAATTTTCATAAAAAATAAATTAAATATTTTCTGGTCTGCAAGGATTGTAAGCATTCGGGAACGGACTTTTAGTAAAGTAAAAATTTTTTCTAAATCAAAATATTTTAAGAATGATATAAATACGTTTATGTAAATATAATTATTAGAACATTTTTTAGCACTTTTCCAAAAATTTTTTGAAAAAAAGTGCTTTTTGGTTTCACTCTGTCCGTCCGTGGACACTTTTTTTGTTTACAAAACTTCTACACCCTTGAAGATAAAAAGCTGAAATTTTATATGTACATAGATCTTTACTAGAAACTTATTTCCGTAGAACAAAACCTTTACCCATCTCTCCCCCTCTAGGAGATATACCCCCACAAAACCCTAAAACTGGTCGTTTTTAACTATTTGTTGCAATGAAACCATAAGCATTTTGCAAATTTTGCAAACGCGGAAAGGCAGTGGCTTTTTTCCCCTAGCGTGGTATACTATAGTTAAACTTTAGAAAAACAAAATGGCCGTTCAAATTTACCGTTATCTAAAGGACTTTTTTTCTAAATATTTGATGTCGTTTTCCTACTAGACCCCAGCCTGTAGAAGCCTGATATTTAAGGTCTTTTAGACACCAATAAATGCTTCATTTCGTTAGAAGAAAATTTTTTTCCATCTCCACCCCCTCTCAAGTTATCGCCTCTTGAAATTTGTAAAATTTGATTTTTTGACACCTTACATTTCCAAAATCTCAAGCTTTTTCAATTTTCTATAAACGTAAAAAGCTAACGATAAATTCCATGATATTAAAAAATATAATAATTTTCCTGAACTCACAAAATTAAACCTTAAAACCATTATGTTAACCCCACTTTATATTAATTTTTGCTTTATTTCAAAGACTGCATAAATCGTTCATCCTAAATATATGCAATCCTAGAAATAGTTTCTTTTTTGAATGAAAATAATTTTAAAAGTATGGTGGATACACATAGACTGTATTTAAAAAGCAGTATTTTCACTTGCTGAAGGGAAAAATGCTACAATACAAACCAATGGTTTGGCCCAACTTTTTTTTTAATAAAAAATTCTTTCAATTCTGAATTTAAACTTTCTCACTACATTAGAATCTTAATATATGTATGTATGTACCAGCTAATTACTTTCAAAGCGGTAACCAAATTTTTTCGGTTTTTTTCGATAGCAGTATTTTTTTTTTGGTCAAAAAATTCATTCAAAAAATGAGTTTAATTAAGCATAACGATTTTGCTTTTTTTCGTTTTTTGATTATTTTGCCATAAAAAAGGGAAATTTCCTCAAATATCTAAAATAAGCTAAATTACGAATGAATTTTATTAATGAACTAAATACGTATATATGAACTTATTTAATCAAGTTTGATCCGGGGAAAAAACTTTTAGCTTTAGATTTATTTCTTACTTCATCCAATCTACATTTTTATGAAATTGTTCTTTTTGTACGAATATATAAATGCATGAATAAGAAACTCTTACAAATATGTATTTTACTTGGTTAGTATACAAATGCTACATATGTATATTTCTACTTATGTTTTGAATTCCCTACGTAGCAACATTACTTTAAAATTATACTTAATTCAAATCGAATTGAAAAAATTCAGCAGTTCTTTAGAAATTCTAGAATAATGGTACAAAAATAGTTGTTATTTGTTAATGTTTGATAAGGAAACGGTAAAACATATAATGACGGATCAATAAACTGTTTTTATTTTAGCTGATTTGATAGTTGAAATATAACAAAAAGACTAAAAAATAATCCCATTTTAGAAATTGATACAAATTTTTGGCTAAGTTATTTATGACGTAAAACATCTACATATATTTTGTATTTATGTATTTATTTAGAGCCAATCCCACATTTGATCCAATCTCATATAAATTAAGAATGAATAAATTCATAATTTAACAATAGTTAACATATGTAGATATGTATGTATAAATATGAACATACATCAATTTGAATTTTCTCTAAATTAAATTTTTAAGCAGTTTTTACTATGCGTGCGGAAAATTTAAAATATCAAATATGTGCATATTTCTATCCTATATGAGATCTTATTTCGTGAGAGATAAGTAAATGTCCATCATTATTTTCGAATGAGAATTTTTTTAATGCCGCGTTGAAATTTACACAAATAAAAAGTATATTCATAATTTAGTATTCATTCATTCATTTTTTGAAGCACGGTGACAAAATAAACTAACATATTCATATTCAAAGCCAAGAATATATCGACGAGATTAGGACATAATCATAATTTTATGGAAAGCAAAATTTTATCACATCAAAAAAAAACTATTAACATATTTAAAATGGATCTATACACGTTTAAATAGATTTAATGGATTTTATTATTTAAATATAATGTTAATAGTATTATTTAATATAGTTATTTTCTTTACAAAATCATAAAGTAGATGCCTTTTATTTTAGAAAAAATTTGAAAAATATAAAATAAAATTAGGTTTAACATAATATGTATGTAATATAAGTACGGTCTTTTATAATATAAATTTGAGAGGAACATATTTTATTGATTTATTCTAATTCTAAATGAAAACGTGGCATATTTTTTAATAGAATCAAGTCAATTGACCCAGTTTTTAAAACTTGCATCAATTTTAAGATGAAAAAATTTTTATGCTAACATTTTCTGCTTTATACTTTAATTATAAATTAAATAAACCTATACCTATTTACATATCTCAACATCTAACTTTTCCCGCGTATATTAATATAGTTAAATTGCTACATCAAGATTTTTCAATTTTTGTTAAAGTAGAAGCACACAGTTGATTCTTTTTTCTTAAATATTCTGTGTAAATTTTTTTCTTGATAATTTTAGTTTGATAGTTGATTGTTTAGGCTGATTATTCTAGAAAAAAATTTAAACGAAAAATTATTTGATGAAATTTATTTGTATATGTATATAAATCAGGCTTTTGACCTTTATTTAAACCCATTTTGTAACACTAACTATTACAAAACTCAAAATGTAAATATGTGCCGGAGCAATACTACATAAAGAAAACTACTTTTGTTCGTAAAAGGATTTGCAAGACATAAACTATACACATAGAGCAAGATTAACATTGTTATTTTGAAACGACAATTTTTCACTTTTAAAATAATATTGACCAAATTCTCAACAAGGTACTTTGACTCTTAGCTTGTTTTTTTCATTGAGAACATTAACATGTACATTCTACATCTGGTTATGAGTTGGCAATGAAAATCACTTTAACAAACCAAAACAAACACCTATCCCAGTTTTCAAAATTTAGTTTTTTTGTTTATACTTATGCATATAAATCTATTTTTAAAAACATATTTGTACATACCATTAGAAATGGAAATTTTCCGATAGAATAATTATTTTCATCCTGAATTGAATTTGTATTTGTTGATAATTGAAATCCAGTAGCAAATGTTATACAGAAAAAGTATACTAAATTTGTAAATTCCATTTTTTTGAATTTATATTAAAAAATTGTTTTATTGTGATATGCTTGAGGTTCAATTTTTTCACAGTGTTGGTTTAACACTGAGTTCATATTAAAGCTTAGATCTTATTTTAAATTGTTTGAATTCATCTACATAAAATTTTCAAAAAAAAAACACAGGTATTTGATTAAAATTTCAGAACTATTTCTAATGATTGACGTAAATCGATTTTTACAAGGCGAATTACGTACATATACATTTTAAATAAATGACAACTTAATGTTCTAGTACAAAAAAAATGTTAATTGAAATCTGTATTTTTTCAATGTGTCAAAATTTTGAAAATTTAAAAATACCTTCACTAGATGAAAGTGAAATTATTGTGACTAAGGTTTAATTTAAATCAATGTGTATCACGTTCTATTTACAACTAAATTTATACTTAGCGTAGCCCGAAAACTCTTATAAGCGTGTTTCATTTTTTATTTTCGCTATAATTTATAAATGGCATTGGGATAAATTTATATTAAAACCAAAATGTCGCAGTAATAGTACATGGAATGGTTTTTTTGTCTCAAAATTTTACACTTTAGAAACCGGTAGATCCCTTCACGAGGCAAAGAATTAAAAATAACTCGAACCTTGGCATAAATCAACGCGTATCGTGTACTCAATGCAGCACACACCTACCATTTTTTAGCTATCATAATTTAAAAGTGACACTAAAAAAATTTATGTCACTTTAATAATGTAATGGCTAAACGATTTGCCTTTCTTTGATTCTTCTTTCTTGATTTGAAATACAATTTTGAAGAGGGAGGTATATACATATATTAAATAAAAGCGGATAATCTGAAAAGTTAGCGATTATTTAAAAACACAATTATTTCTTTCATTATTGAAAGAAATTATCAGCGTTCTATTTTTTTTTCAATGTTCATGTATTATGAATGATACATTACTGATTTTAAATTTTTTTACCCGATTTTAAAAATTTTTACCTCTTGTTAGATCAAATATTGTACATATTTTAAAAACAATTTCTATTTTATATTATTCTTTGTATTGTCATAAAAACAGGGGAAAAGGAACAAAACATAGTATGAAAATTCATGTAATGACAGCAGAAGAATACGACCTGTGTGTCCATATGGAATAAAACTTATTCCTCCCAAAATAAATTTTTATCATTTTAAAATAACTTCATTAAAAGATAACTGAGTTATGTTTTTACAACAGAAAAAAATAGAATTGATATGGAATAGACATTGACAATCAATAGACAACTACCGGGCTTTTGATTTTGTTCATTTATATATACTTATGTATATGCATATATGCGAATATTGCGAAAAGACACTGGCGAACAACTAATCCGATGAAATTAATCTTAATCAAACCTATATGTACCAAAAAAAATTTCTATTTCGTTGTCTCATAGAAACTACTCTTTCCCACACTTCTAAAGTAACACCTATTATATCTTTAATTTATATAATAAAACTATGATAATTTGCTATACTATCATTGGTAAAGGATGTATTATAAGTCAGAGGTTATTTTTTTTAAATCATACTTGATATTTTAATTACAAATTATTGTAACCAAGCGTGATTTTTATAGTCTATAGGATTTATTAAAATTCATCGACAATATGCAAGGCTGTTATCTATTTCAGTTAGAGCATGAGAAAACATCAGCTCATTTTTGACGGTTTACTGTTAAACGTCAAAAATCAATCTTCGACATCTTACGAGCTTTTGGTTTTGGTTGATCTGCTGCCAGATAATAATATGTTCAGTATCTATTAAAAAAAAAAAAACATTTCAAATTGTGTTTTGACTTAAACATTAAGATTTTTTCATTTCTTTATACGATATTGTTAATATAAATAGTTCTGAAAATAATTAAGAAACAGTTTTGAGGAAAGCAAAATGAATGTACCCATTCGTCGTATTTTGAAGGTAAGAATTGTTAGTTCATAAAAAGCTTTGCATTTTGTTTATAATTTTAACCATTGTTTTTTTTTAATGCAGACTCCCAATATCTGAAAAAATGTTAGCCTTTTGAGATAATTTTTAATATCAGTGTCTGAAAAATGTGAAAAATGTCCAAAGAAGAATTCTTAAAAAAAAATAAATTTAAAGCAAAATCTGAAAACATTAAGGACCGAAATATGCATTCTGAATTTCAAAGTAACAAGGAAATTAAGGGCGAAATATTACAAAAATTTGATTTTATATTTGGAGGGAGTACTCCAAGAGCAGTTTCAACATCCACTGGTTCAATAGGTGGCGGCAATGATGATTCTGGAATTGGAAATAGCGTTGGGAGCAATTTGAAAAAAGAAAGTGACGCTGAAAAGAATATTAGCTCGTGTTCCACTTTGGATATTGATAACAAGGTTTGTTAAAAAATATTTGGATTATTTTACTCAAACAAAGGTATATACACAAATTAGGTTTTAAATAATTTTTAATTTGCTGCATGAATGCATGATATGCAATGTATTGTGTATATTCCACAATAAGTTAATATTGATATCACAGATCTTATTTTTTTTTCTCAAAGAAACAACTTTGCTGATATAGGTGTGTAAAAGCATTGTAAAAATTTTAGTAATCAATCCAATTTTTGAGTAACCAATTAAGTAAAAACATTCAAAATAGACTTTCACTTTGGATTTCTACATAAAGCTAAAGATTATTATTTTGAAATCTATTTATGTGATTGCAGACTTTCAATTATTTGTTTAAATTTTTTAAAATTAAAAATTCTGGTAATTATCATTAGAGAAAAGAGAAAAGTTTTAGACAGTTTTTATTTTTAACATTAAAAACTAATGGTATTTGAGTACAAATAACATTTTATTTTTATCTTTACTGCGCAGGACATAATATTTGAATGCTGTAAATTTTTATATATTATGTATTATAAATATGTAGACGTAAAAAACATGCTATAACACTTAAAATTCAAAATAGTTATTATAATAGTCATATCTACATTTTTCTTCCAAAATCAAAACTGAAATAAATGAGTTTTATTATACCAAATTGTAAATGTGACTAGAAATTTGTACCTGGTTTAATACACAGTGTGATTTTTAGTGGATAATTAGATAAAAATTCTTTACCTTAGAATGGAAATTTCAAAAAAAAAAATTCAAATTCAACAAAAAAAATGTCACTTACTGAATTTCCTAAAAGTATAAGTTGTTTATGCTGCTCAACATTGAGTAAGGAAAATCAATTAAGCAATAGAAACGATTTTTCCAAAAATGATTCAAACTTGATAACAGATGTTCCCAAAATATCTGTACAATCTTTGCAATTTAGGAACTCAGTAAACATATAATTTTTATTTTTATTTTGTGTTTTTTTGTGGTTTTATATTGAAAAAATATTAAATTTTTTAAAGGTGGAACTTTCAGCTACATCAGAGTTGCAAACCAAAATAAAGGAATTGAAATTAAAATTACAAAAATCGGAAAATGAACGTGAGGATTTCAAGCGCCGTTTGGAAGATTCAATGGAAGAAAAAGGTTATCTAAATATTTATATGATAACATAGATTAACGAAACTACTAAAAACATTTTAGATCGTTGCTACAGGCGTCTCGAGGTAATAAGTGCTGCTCATGAAAGTCGTATAACGGAAATGCACTGCGTGATTGCAGAATTAAGCAAAAAATTGCGTAATAAACAGGATAATATAATTTTAGAAGAAAATGAACCCGATGGAAGTGGTACGTTGACTGTTTACAAACTCAAAAAATTTTTGAAATTCAAAATTTTATCTTTCAAATAAATCAAATGTTTTAGAAATAAGTTATCAGGAAGGTTCAATTTATAATTCTGAATTAAATTTGACTAACCCGGATGCTGAATGCCAAACTGAACCTATTGAAGGAGATTTCAACAACTCATTTGGCGAGGATATTAAAGAAGACTTTCATAATGACACTGTAGCGAAAACACAAGTTGAAGTAAGTATTTATAAAACTTATACGAATTTATATAACATACATAATTTTAAGGCATTGCAAGAAGAAGTATTTCACTTAAAAGCTCAAATAGCGCTGTTAGAATCCCAATTAGCTAGTAATAACGAAGAATCAAGTCCAGAAGCACAACGAAATGAAAGAAATATTCTGTGTAAAAACGATGAAATTTTGAATGCTGAAAACGAGGAACAAAATGATTTAACAGGCGATTATATTGATGAGCCTTTACTTGAAAGAGAGGCAAATAAATTTATAGAACACCCTCTCCTCAAAGATAGAGAAAGTGAAGAATTCTATAAGACTGATGATAATGAAATCACAGGACAGATAATAGAAAAAACGCCTATAAAAGATATATTCTTAAATATTATTGAAGATAGTGCCTGCAATAATAATGGTAGTGCCATAAAACAATCTGCAACAAAATATTTAAGCAACTATAACAACATTATCAAGTCGCAAGGTAAGTTTTAAAATTGATATAGAATATAATGATGGCTTAATACTTATGTAAGAAAATATTTTAGAAATTTTAATTCCAAAAATGGCAGAACGCGTTAAGTTACGACGCACAATTGAGGAAAAACATATCACAGGATCAGATTCACTCAACACAAACGTAAGTTGTGATTTCAGTATTTCTTTCAGTAATCGTCTTAAATAATATCCAAATAGTTAAACAGAACAGAACTTGTTGAACATCTTGTATCCAGTATTACTCAAGATAATAATTCAATTAGCAATTTGGTAGAACCATCACAACTTCATACGGAATTCGAAAGATTACAACGTAGAATAGAACATTTTAAAACACGCAATTCGGTACTCTCACTCACTCTGTACGAGGTAAAGGAACACTGTGACTATCTTTATCTACTTTGCGGAAAATATGAATCAAATGCAGTTGCGTTGCAATGTGCTTTGAATTGTAGTGATAGGGCTATTGAAGCTTATGATGTTATGTTAGCCTTGTTGGAAAGCAAGTGCGTAATAAATTAAAAATCAGTATTAAAATGTACAAAATTATTTGCAAAAATATCAAAATTTATTTGTAGGCTTGCAATTCTGAAAGAAAAAACATCAGCTGCAGAAGAAAGTAGACAAGCTGTAGAAACTGTTGCAAGACATTTATTAGATAGATTAGAGAGTGAAAAAAATTTGGCAGAAAATAGTTTAGGGCCGTGGCAAAATGCGTAAATCTCTTTAGTTTTCTCCACATTGAAATAGTTAATGACCGCTGTTTTTTTTTTCAGTTTCTGTATTAACAATTCGCAACCTATTGAGCCGTGGACTGCAGAAGATGATAACAGGTTGAGAACTCATGTTTCAAAATTGAAGGGCCGGCGTTCAACTGTTCAAAATACAATTGTTAACTTAGAATCACCATTTAGTTCGTATTATGAAAAAATAAGAACAGCCATAGAAACTGATAAGGACGTGCAACCAGATAATTCCAAAATGGATTTGGAAATGGCAGTTTTGATGCAAGTAAGTTTTAAGGCTGATGGTCAATTTAAAAACTATATTTATGGTTATGAACTATATTTTAAGGAACTATTAAGTTTAAGAGAAGATATAATTGAAGCAAAACAGAAGAGAAGTGAAGCTGAAAAAGAGAAGCAAATGGCAGTGGAAAAAATATATTTGTTACAAGAAACACTTCAACAGCTTCAGACACAGCTTACGGATTCCGAAACATTATTTAATTTGACGTCTAAGGTAATTTTTTATCATGTTGAAATACTATGAATAACACATTTCAAGAAATGTTTTTAAATTCAAAGGATCGTTCTTCTTTTTCGGAGGCAGATCATGCTGCTTTAATAGAAAGACAATTAGTTGAAGCTTTAACTCGTGAATCTGAACTAAAAAACCGTATACAAAGTTTAATAGGCTCAGTGGCTGTATCAAAAAAGTATGATCAAGTACAAACCAATTTGGTTGAATTACAAAAAATCAACTTGTGAGTAGTGTTGATCCTTATTCCTTAAATTTTAAGATTATGTATTAATTTAAATTTTTTTATAGTAATCTATCTCAGTCATTAGAACAGTCGAAGAAAAAATATCAATCAAAAATCAAACGTTTAGAACAAAAGATACTTGAAATGAATTTGGAACTTGGTCAACTACATAATAAACCCAATGACATTGTTCCTGAGACAACCTTATAAAATGCTTACATTATAATTAAATTGAGCAATTTAGAAAGAAATAATCCATATCTTATTGCAGCCATATAATTTAATAAAGTTTATAATATTTCGAATATGTAATATGTTAAGTGCTTTTCTCAATTATTTGATCAAATTGAGCATAATTTACTAACCTTTCAATACAAATGTTAAACATAAAATATAATAATTTAAACGAGGGACACCTTTTTCGTAAGAAAGTAATATCGGTTTATTATTTAAAATATTCAAGTATTACACATATAGTGCTAAAATCTATGTGTCCAACTTCTTTTGCATTTAAAAGGTAATATGTATTTATAAATAGTTATTGCTTGTTATAAATGTACAAATTAAAAGAAAATATTTATTATTCTATATTATATGAAAATAAAAATACTTTATTATTAAAACTAAAAAAATTATTTTGAAAGATCATCTTTTGTGTTATCTTCCATGCTTTCGTTTTCTAAAACTTTCTCGTTCTCTTTGGCTCGATTTTCTAGAACTTTCCTCACTTCCAAAATTTCCTTTTCCAATTTAGCACATTCTTGTTCAATTTCATAATTTTTTGATACTAACATAACCCAATGGGCTTCTAATGACTTTAAGGTCTCTCCGGCTTGAGTTTGCGCTTGTTTTCGTCGCCAATTTATTTCTTGAATTTCTTTCTTTAAATCTTGTAGTCCTATTTGAGCTGAAAAATATATTTTTTAAATGAAAAAACACATCTGTGTATCTATAATTATAAGTACCCCTAGCTTGAAGAGCAGTAAAAATATCTAAGTACGATTTCCAAGCTTCACATCCATATTCCAACATTAATTCTAAATTTATAGCGCGCACTGTTTGATGCTCTAACTGAGCGTTTGAGTTTTCAATAGCTTCTTGCCAAGCAGAAACTTCACCTAATTTTCCAGCTGGAGGAGGTGGTAACTCATATCTCTTCATGCTAAGAGATTCCATAGGTTGGCGATTTTGAATACGTTCAAACTCATTTCGCATAAGTTTCGTCTCAAATACATTTAAATTTAAAGGCGGCAAGTGATCTAAATAATTTTTTGTTGGACGATATCTACGGCATTCCTCTTCAACAAGAGCTAAAGCCTAATAATTAGTTAGCGCTCTTTATATAGTTCTACCTACAGATGATTCATTTTAAAATAACTTACTGATTCTCGAACTCCAGGATCATCATAACCATGGTCAATATATGGCAGTGCATCAACGATAACTTCTCCTGCCATTATTTTAAAAACACTATTTAATTTAATACTAAAAGAAGACTGTTAAAAGTGGAAATCATATATTCTTTATTTTGTATTATTCTATGTAACTTTACAATTCAAAAATATTTAATTTTAAAAATTTAAATACTAAATTTCATGTATGTAGTTCTTTATAACTAGTGACAACAACTGTCAAAAAACAATTGCTTTTACGCTGCATTCCTTGCCATGACATTCGTAACGTTTTCGACGTTCGTTGTCATTACATTTAAGAACAAGGAATGAAATTTGAAGAAAAAAATATTTTGTTTCACAAGAATCGCCATTTTCTCTTAAATATCGGTGGACAGCGATACTTTAACCTGAGATAAATATTTTGACATCTGTAACAATTGCATTTTATTAATTTGAGTTAACTAAAATGCCTGAAGCTTCTAGCACTAATTAAATTTAACATAAGAGAGTTCATTGACTCGCCGGTTTTTAGCTGAGCTATTCTGAGTCAAACTAATTTTTCTCTTAATGATTCATCGTCCATTGCTTCGTCTGAAATGAATTTATTGTTGCATAACATATGTAGGTACTAACAATAAAATAGATTGATTGTGTCATGTAAATATATCCTTTTTTAAGAGTTCGTTAAAGTTGAATTCAATTGATAGAGAGAAAAAATCTGCAATTAAAAAGAGAATATATAATTTTATCACGAAACCCACGAACCAGTGAAGAGGTACAATATACATGATTACACAACGACTTTTGCATCGATATTTAACATAGTATGCATTTTTCCCATGCTAAGAAACTTTTTCGGCAGGGAATAAAACTTGTGGCAACCATTGATGCAAAAGTCATTGTGAAAACACAGGTACGCTGATTGCGTTGTAGTGAATTTGTTACAATGCAGAACGTCAAACAACGCCAAATATGATAATGTGAACGTATAACATTCAAAGTATAACGCGTACATTGGTATTTTAAACTTTTAATGTTCAATTATAAAGATTAGTTATTGTTAGTTATTTTGCTTTATACATTGAAAAAATTCGAACACCGACAGAAACCAGAATGTTTTATTAATTTATATTACTTAATTTTTTTGAAGATAGGAAGAATAAGTAAACACTTAAAAAATTCAAGTGTTTTTTTTATCGGGCTTAGTATTTTTGGTAACAAAATTTTTAGAAAACTATTCTATTAAGGTATATAAATGAAAAATACGTCCTAAAAATTGAAGTATACAAAGAAATATACAGCGTTAAGTAAAAAATGTGTAGTTTCAATGCATTCTTATATTATAATACAAATAATAAGTAACTATTCCTTTCGAAACGATACATATTTTATCGTTTGTATAGAAAATTTTCTAGCTCACATCACATGATGTAGTAATTTATTATTCAGGTAGATTGGATTCCACTTTTTGGAATAAAATTATGGTGAAATTTAAGGTTATGAACTGCAATCACAGTATTATTGAATAAACTACACTATGTTACGGAATGCGCCTTAGAAAATACGGGTGTAAACCACTCTTCTCAAAAGGGAATTTGGAATTTTGGATATTTTTTTGCAAATGAAAGGAATAGTCAAAATTTATCATTATTTTCCTTATTCGATTTTCATACAAATTAAACATCGTATCGATATTTGCATTGAAATTTTAGTTAATGCCTATCTCTCCAAAAAGGTCATTTTATCATTTACTGCTGTTGAAATTTTTAATGAAACGACGGTAACATCATTATAATCATATGTTTCGGGTGTTTTTAAAAAACAATAGTGTTTTGGTAGATTTTGATCTTTTGTACAGCAATGAAACCCTCGCAGTCATTTTTTCAGAAATATTTGGTAACTATTGTGATGATTCCTTCCATAATAGGTATTCATATAGGATGGAAGTAAGTATATACAAATTTTGATTGATAAAATAATTAACTATTGTAATTCTTCGTTTAGTTTCTTGCAGAAAAATCCTACGTTGGTTAAAGAAGAAGAACGAATTGATCTTCCAATAATAACGGTATAAATATTAATTATTATAGCATATTTGTAAGATATGTTGTTATTTAAGGGCTTAAAATATATGATGAAAAGGATAGAAAATCCGGATGTCTCAAAGGGTTCGGATCCTAAATGACGTTCATCTTCAATTATAGTTATATGTAATTTATTTAATATGTATACCATCTTGTTTTAAAGTAATAAAATGTTTAAATTAGTTTATAGATAAATTATAATCCATGTTTTATTTACATAATTTAGTAAATAATGTTACAGAAAAGTTATGCCAAGAAGTGATTTCAAATTATTGAGGTATTATTAATTATAAATATTTTCGTTATATTTGGGCACTCATTCATGCATGTACATATATGTATAATTTATTTTTATTACCTCTTCATAAATTTGAATCCTAAAATTAAAAAATTTTGTCTGAACTAATATATTAATTTTTCTTTAGGCCTTAAATTCTAACATATTGTTCGGAAACATAAAAGTGCAAACTTAATTTTAAAATGATGCTAAGTACTAAATTTTATCCTTAATGTGTAGAAATACGTGACGAAACTGCCAAGGTGTCAAGTTGGCCATTGAACAGAACATCACTTATCAATTTTTCTGCTATTATCCTTTGCGTTGGATTCATTGTACGAAGTTTACTAGCAACATTCATTCCAATTGCATCAAATTCATCATTATTTCGAGAAATTCCGACATTATTACTACTTTGAATATTACTTGAATTATGTGAATGCGCTGAATTTACGTTCAATATCGCATGAAGTTGTTCCTTAGATAAGGGTATACTTTGAATTGAATGTGTGACTGGAGCTTGAACATGTTCCTGTTGATGAGAATGATATGTGTTTGCAGTTTGATGATCCATTGCATTTACTGCGCCAACAGTCTATTACATATATTTTTTATTAAAAATTAAAAAAGGAAGATCAAATTCGTGATTTACTTGTATTTCAGGTTCGTTTGTTTGCAAAGAATGCACTTTCAATATTTGCACAGATTGATTTCCACTGCTTTGCTTCTCTTCTAAATTTTTTTTTAAAATAGAAAATTAAAAGGCAATCTTTTTAAGATAGCAGCAATAACTAACCTCTTTTTAATAAAAGTTCGTGTTCATCATCTATCATACTTTCTTCGTGTTCAGCATCGTTTTCATCAGTTGCCATATCTTCCTCACTATTTGTTAAAGGATCTATTTTAATTTGGTAACACGACTCTTGCTCGATACATTTCCGTTTCCTACCATTTGTTACTTTTTTTGAAGTCCCACTTTGTCCCGCTATAAACAGAAGTATGTCGTAATACCACAATTTTGGTTCATAGTTATGATTTTCACATTTTTTCCTGTATTCTCTGCGGAACGCAGATCTTAAAGAATTAACCTTTCTTACAACCATTGCCCGATCTGAATTCGGCTCTACTTCTTTAAGCTTTTCAACTAACTTATCATATGCCTAATAAAAAAAAATCAACACATCCACCTTATATTAGTATAAACTTTTAAATAATATAAATATATGTATGTACTTGATTTCTTGTGAATTGATTGTTATATTCTGGATGTCTTGTTTGCCATAAACTAAAATATTTCTATAGTTTAAAAATATTTATCTAGTGCAAAACAATTTGTTTTTACCATTCTTCGGCCTTATAAACTGCTATAAATTCTTTAATCCAATTTCTCGAATAGCTTCTCATGTCGTTCAGGGTATTCATATTTTTACTAAAAATAGTTAATTCTCCTTTTTGGAATAAAAATAACTCAGGTATTTTAATATATTATTTTACTCTTGATCCTTAATTGTAAACTTTTCTTTTAATTTTTATCATATTTGCCCTTAATATCCTCTAAACTACGTTAATTTCTTTTTAATTTTTAGATATTTAGATATTTATATTTGCAAACAACCAAACAAGGAGAGCTTCACCAGCCACCTTCTTTATATATTTGACATTAAAAATGTCAAAAATATTGCCACACTTTATCAACCCGGAGGTGGATTTCCACTTAATTCAGTATTCTTCGTTTCAAAAAACAATAAGACATTGATTGAAAATCTACCTTCATCAGCTATTTTAGCTAATTAAAATTCTTTTGAGCTTACATCTTTACATTAAAAAATATTTATTCTGCAAAGTATTGCTGTCAGCCGTGGTTTATATATACCAAAGATGCAAACATATATTAAACCATTTAACTAAAACTATAATAGCTGCTCTTAAAACTCATAAATGACATTTTATCTTAATGGAAATTTCTTCATGCAACTGCAGAACAGATTGATGACGTAATCAAAGGAACGAGTTAAAGGCAGAAAATAAATTAGTAGTGTAATAAGCACATTCTTATTAATTCCGCAACTATGATGTTGTATTAGTAAAATTCATAACATAAATGACAGTTTGATGGAATATTCCCAATGACTTTGTATACACTTTTCACCTTTTCATTACTTTACATTTGTCACTTAATTTCTATACTATTCTGCACAAAATAGTTTCTTTTATGTATGCATGAATTTTTCAAATTAGATTTTTGGCGGAGAAAAATATAAAATAGAAATATTTAAATTTTTGTATGTTTAATGTTAACGCATTCGTTAATATTATTTTTGTACCTTTTACGCAGCGTTTAATATTTGACGCAACGTTTGATATTTGTACGCAACGTTTAATATTTGACTTGGACAGCTCAAGATTAAAAAAGTGCAACTAAAAAAAATTTGTTTTGCATTAGTATATTTACTTTAAAAATTTTTGGATTTGAAATAAATTAGAGAAATTCCATAACTATAAATTCGTAGGGATATATGTAATGAAAGTGCAGATTTTGACCAGTGTATGCACAAGGAATGAATAGAATAGACGAATACAACCCAGAGACGTACTGGCAGATTGACAGTAAAGTCAATCTTCCCTTTTCCCTCTAATTGGATTTTTTATCTAAGTCTGACACCAAGCAGCGTCTGCATATTCCATTATTAGATTTAGACATATTCCATTATTTTATTAGACTTAGATTAAATCTTATCAGCTGGTATCTCCCTTATTTATTCTTTTTTTTAGTCACTTTCAAAACAGAATTCCCTGTTTTTCTAATAGATATTTCATTTGCCAATAGGATTACTCACTTTCTCAATTGGATTTTTGTGTTTCTTCTCAAATTATCAAATAAACTGAACGTCTCACTTTCAAAAACAAAATGAATAAATTTTGTATACATTTGAGAAAAAAATGAGATACGCTTTCTTCTTACTTGGCGAGTAAAATAGCAAGATATACGATCAGATCCTTAATTCTGTTGTATATTTTGTAAACAATTACTGCGTTTATATGCAGCTTGAAGCCGACTTAAAAATTTTTCAGGTCAAGTCAATCCAATAAAGTTATTAGCTTGATTTGAACATCGGCCGCATATTAGCAGATTGAAAGATTGAAAATGAAAAAATAATATGTAATGTTTGTGCGCTAATGTCAAATTTAACTCGATTTCAAGTGACATTATTTCAATCTATACCGTATTTGATTTCAGCAGATTGAAATTTGAAGTCATGTACTCGATCCAGAAATCTATTTTAGTATTTGCCGTCAGACGATATCTAATGTTAAACAGTTATCTCGTTTTTAAGGCCGCTTGAGTATTTTGAAATTGTCTCGAAACTGAACCTGCGTTTTTACTATGTCAGCTTTAACACCCAAAAATGACCTTTAGTTATTACATTTCAAGTAATTACTAACATTTCAGGTAAAGGAAGCATAATTTTTAATGGCTTCAAGTAACTAAAGTTTATACGTACATAAAATAGGTTTCAAGTACGCTTAAAGCTTCCATATAAAAGTAAGTTTTAAAAAATTATTTTACAGTTTCTCTATGTACGTCTATGATTTTAACTCCTTCAACTAAAAAAGGCTTTAGTCTTTTACGAAACTTGGTTTCCGGTGTCAAAAACTTTTAACTTGGCAAGTTGTCAAAAAGTATATATGTATTTGACGTTTTGCCGGAAAGAGGTTCTTTTTAGTCCACATATTTTTAATGGAGGACGTTTCTGCTGTGGCAGATAAATAAAATAAAAATAAAGTTTGAATTTAATTATAAAAATGGTAAAATATTTTCAAAATATTACATTAAATATAAATTAAAATAATGTATTTAAAAAAATTTGTAGTTACATATTCTTTTTTTTATAAAATTCAATTTTCATTTTACACGTGTTGAAAAATATTAATATTTTTTAATTGTCGCATTACATTAACTTATTATTTGTGCTTAATTTTTTGGCCGCAGAGTTTGTCGACGGCACGCCCGTTAGTGTCTGTATATTCAGAAAAAAATGAAGCAGTAAAAGATCGTAATGTTTGCCTTCCAGCTGTTTTTAAAGCACCGATTAGACCTGATATTGTTAATGAAATCCATCAGTTAATGCGACGCAATCGTCGTCAACCATATGCCGTGAGCGAGCAAGCAGGTTAGTAATGAATTTAGCAATATTTCACGAATTCTTAATACATGGTTTTCTTTTAGGTCATCAGACTTCTGCCGAATCTTGGGGTACTGGTCGCGCTGTGGCCCGTATTCCTCGTGTTCGTGGTGGTGGTACTCATCGTTCTGGTCAAGGTGCTTTTGGAAACATGTGTCGCGGTGGGCGAATGTTTGCCCCTACAAAACCATGGAGAAGATGGCATCGCAAGATCAATGTAAACCAAAGACGCTATGCTTTAGTGTCCGCCATTGCCGCATCTGGTGTACCAGCTCTTGTTCAATCTAAAGGTCATATTATTGATGGAGTTTCAGAATTTCCTTTAGTTGTAGCAGATGATGTTCAAAAATTGCAAAAAACAAAACAAGCTGTTATATTTTTGAGAAGAATGAAAATTTGGGCAGATATTCAAAAGGTAAAGATTAAATTAACATTAGCCTTGAAAGCAATAACTATTTCTATGGTTTACTTCCTCACAATAAAGGAATTTCTGATCGTAATTGTTATTGCTAGATTATAGAGATTTTCAAGGCGTTCCAATGAAAAGACTATTCTTTTCAGTGGGTGCAGTAAAATTTTACACCGGGCTAAAAAGGTTTTACCTAGTTTTTAAGTAGGCAATATCTTTGATAATGCATTAACTAAATTATGAGAACATCAGAAATTAAAGTTATGTTTTCTACATATTACAGTTTTCTATGAAAAAAACGAAAAATATGTACTGTTTATAAGTAATGCAAATATTTGTAAATATGGATTAAAATTAGCATCACTAATTTTTGGCAACCTAATCGTGTATCTATATTTTTCATATCTTTTTATTCATTTTCAAATTACAATTTTGTATTTCTAATATATATTTCATTTTCCTAATAACATTACCCATTTTTTTCAAATGTATTTCAAATTATCTGAACGTCTCAATTTCAAGAACAAAGTGAATAAATTTTATATAAATTTTAGAAAAAAAAAAACGGGATACGCAATGCGAAATATTTCTAACTCGATTACTTTATACATATGTGTGATATAGTTACACACTTCTTAATATTTCTTAAAGGTAATTTCATAAAGGTAAAGATAATTCGCGAAAGGAAAGCCTGAATGAAGCTAATTATAGTACTTTGTTTTAATTTTAAATAAGTTTTTATCAGAAAAGATAAAATTAGACATATTAAATAATTTCAGGTTTACAAATCACAACGTTTCCGTGCTGGGCGTGGTAAAATGCGTAATCGCCGTCGTATTCAGCGATGTGGCCCTCTAATTGTATATTCTAAAGATGAAGGTCTAAGACGAGCTTTCCGCAATATTCCTGGTATAGAAACTATGCGTGTTGAAAGGATGAATTTATTAAAACTAGCACCAGGTGGTCATGTTGGACGTTTTGTTATATGGACCGAATCAGCTTTTAAGCGTCTTAATGAATTATTTGGATCGTGGAAAGCAGCTTCGAAATTGAAAAAGGGGTATAATTTGCCGCAACCTAAAATGGCAAATACAGATTTATCACGTTTGCTTAAATCAGAAGAAATTAGAAAAGTTTTAAGAGATCCTAAAAAGAAAGTTTTCCGCCGCGTTCGTCGTCTTAATCCCTTAACCAATACACGGCAATTAATTAAATTAAACCCATATGCAGAAGTTTTGAAACGTCGTGCTATAATGGCTTCAGAGAAGAGAAAAGCTGCTAGAGCTATAGAAAATGCCAGACGACGCAATATTGAATTACCTAAATCACATTTTGCTCTTAGGTTAACAAAACAACAAGAGCTTCGTAAGAAAATGTTAGCCGCGAAATTTGAAGAAAGAAAGAAAAAATTAGCTTCAAAAAAAGCTCAAAAGGGCAAAACTCAACCTGCTGCTGCAACTCCAACAAAAAAAGCGGCACCCAAGAAGAAATAAATCCGCAATAAATAATTGTTCATTGCACGATAAATTTTATTTGCAAAAATAAATGATAAATAAATAATGCATTCATTTTTAATATGCAATTTTGTTTTTAATTTGGTAAATACATAGGAAATAGTAGACATGTAAGTACTTACCTATATATCTTCACATGTAAATCTTAGATTAATTATAAAAATTCTTTTACAAGAATTTGCAGATAAAATAGAAGATTTTCGAGATAATATATGAATCATATATATGCATTTGAAATGGAAATTTAATTTATATACAACGAGTGCGCCGCCAAGAATGCCTAAAAATGTTTTAAAATTTAAGCATTTAAAAAAAATTAAAAAATGTTTTAAAACTTTGACTAGTCAAGTTTTCTCGAACATGCTACTTTTGAAGATTTTAACTTATCGAACATGCTACTTTTGAAGATTTTAACTTATCGAACATGCTTTATTATACTAAGATCGAAGTTATTTTTAAAATCCCCTATAAGATGTAGTTATAACAAAATACTCCCGTAAAGAAGTGTTTAGTTAATATTTAAGTGCTGATTTTGTTCCTTTCACCGATTTCCTCAATTGCAAATTACTTTCACACACGTGTCTTCTCAAGCATGAAAATAACCGGTTTATTTGCAGTAGAATCAATTATTTGCACTCTTATAATTAATTTGATTTGAGCCATAGTTTTTGAGATAGAGCTCTTCAAAGGCAGAATTTTTGTTTTTTTTTTTTTTTTTTGAAATTTTCACAAAACTCGAAATTTCTTCAAAATTTTTTATTTTTGTTATTATTCTAAGATAACGTTAACCCATATAACATATTCTTCAATTTCTAAAAGTTTTTCCAGTAAAATGTGTTAAATATATTTAGAAACATGCGAAAACTGAATATTTTTAAATTTATTGTAAAACCAAAAATAAAGAACAATCAGTCGCCTGTAAAATTAGCACCCAATGATAGCTCTATGTTGTATAGTTCCGAAGTTATAAGTATTTATTAACATGCTGGAAAAGTCCGATACCTTTTTTTTCAACAGGTTGTAGCTCGAAAACAGGTATATCTGCACACCCTACAACCCATACAATTTTTTGCTGGAAATTGATCAAAGAATCATCCCTGAAATTATTTACCACCTTATGCGGTACACCGTGTAAATCATGAAACTAATCTTACCAAATCTTGTTTTTAACATTTTTGTTTGAAGTGGATTCAATATGTACAACATTTGTCACAACAAAAAAAAACAAGAAATTTTTTAATTTGTATAATTTCCCGATGCTATAGTTAATATAGAAATCTATTCCAAAATGCTGGTCCTTTAGTCCTTTGTATATTGTTGCAAAGTAAATTTTTTTAAGTTTCTCTGTGGTAGTCGTACTGCAGCGAAATGCTTGTTACTTTTTAAATGGAATACATACTCAGTTACTGCTTAATATAATAGTTCGAATGGTTGGAATAAACGAATCCCTTTATTCTATCTTTGAGATTGAAAAAAAAGTCTGTTCGCAATATTACAGCACATATAAAAGTACCCAAAAACTCATCTTTCGGAAATTCTGAATGAATAAAAAACTACATTATAGCTGTAAAGTTTTAAAATAAATGAAAGAAAGAGTATATTTAAAAAAAAAAGTTGTAGGTACTTTAAATACAAAAATTGCAATTTAATAAATGTTATGTTAGGTACGAAGCTCTCTATAACCAATAAGATATTGATAATCAACATACATATAACGCTTTTACGCCCATTTAAATTTTTAAGTCTAAAAGTTGCATTTTATTGCCATTGATCAAAGTTAAAAGTTGCTTATGCTTATAAGTGTTTATTACAACTTGTAAATAAAATGCAGTTCATTTACAATATTTTAAGCTAAAATTCATACTACTATAAACCATAACGAATAGTTTTAAAGAAAGTATAATTTCCTTTTGCCCAAAACTGCTACAAAATATATGTAAGTTAATCTCAAATAAAAATTTAAGTCATTTTCAAGAAATTTAGTGATAACGTTTTATTTGTTTTGTCGCATTTTTTAAATAACGAATACATATAAAGTTTCTTTGACTCATGTTTGATTGAGTTTCGTTAAATTTCTAACAAGTTCAATAGTACAGTGGTTTTTGCAGAGTTTTTTGATATTTTGAAGAAGTGTAGATAAAAATGTGGAATATGTGTACCAAAAAATAAACCGTTGTTTTAATAATGGTACTTTTCGAAAATAAAGGCTAATATCAATATTTAAAAAAAACTTTTATATTTTGAAATACATATTATTAAAATTGAACTTCATTTGTCTTTATATATACATATATATGTATGTATATAAACACAAAACTAGCTAAACAAAAGTTTCTTGCCCGGTACGAGGTCATAATGTTGCAGAGCATTTGCGGGGGTAATCTTTTCACTACAATAACCAAATTTATATTTGTCTTTTCATTTATTTACTTAAGAAAAATTTTGTTCTAATTTACGTAGAACGCATCTATATACGTATGTATCTACATGTAAATTAATCGATGATAATATTAAACTCCAAAAACCATCAAATTCTCCTCATATTTGCTTTGGATAATTTTTTAAAGTAAGTGAAAGTGATTTTTTTCGTTTTTTCTTTTCCTGACGTTTACGTATATTAAAATATAATACAATTTTAAATTTATTCAATTATAATTGAACAACAAATAAAAAAAATATCAATTTCACATTATACATGTACATGAAATATGTATTACATATGTACATTTGTATGAACGTATATATATGTTAATTTCGTAAGTAAGGTATATATACATATATACATACTCATAATACATTTTTGCAATATTTATGTAAACTTGTATCTAACAAATAAAATAATTTACAACCAAAATGGAATTATAGCAATCATACTGTTGCAACAAAATGATGTACGCATAAAATTTTAAAATTTTTACCACCTTACCAACAATAAGATAGTAAGATGAGAAAATAGATAATAATATAAATATTATCAATTAAAACAATAATAAAAACAAAATATTTTGTATTTCTTGCTATATTAATTATATATAGTGTTAGTAAAAATATCACGCCATTTATTTCAATGAGTATATTTACCTCTGAAATAATATGTTTATAAGAACATTAATACGATAGTAATGGATGGAAGGGAAATATTTTTGATTTCTCGAATAGAAACAAATAAAATTTTATACTGATTATGTGTATGAAATAAATTAATTTGTTATGTAGGTATATAAAAATTGATTGAAACAAGGGACAATACAGAAATTACGTTATTTCAATAAAACATTATTTTAATATGCATACATTCATATATATTATTATGTACCTATGTGCATAGTTCGAATAAAAAAAATTTAATTAAAATTTTTAATTCTACACGCATAAACATATACATATTTATATATGTGCACAACATATAAAACTATATCGAATAAAAATAAATTACAATCGCAAAACCTTAATACTGAACATATATCAATTACATTTAAAATATTAAAAAAAAAGGTATTGCAGTGTAAGTATAAAACTTTTCACAACATTGGATGCAAATGTGAAACACTTTTTTTTTAATTGTTAAAATGGCAAACGCTAAAAAATGAAATAAATTATAAAATATAATGTGGTCAAAAAAATAAAGAAGAAGGAACTATCATAAACTATTATGATGTCACAAAGTATGAAACCATTATCTTGAACCAAATTTTCGCTACAATCTGCTTAATTTGTCTTATTTCTAAAGAAAAAAAAAAATATTTCTATAAATTTCGAATTTCGTACTACTTCAAAAATATAGACTTTTTGAAAGCAGTACTAATATCCCATTTTCTTTATTATTTTATAGATATACATATGCGCATATCCAAAATTTATATATTCTAATTTAAAATTTAAAAGAATGAAAAAAAAAAATAAATTAAATCCGAACAAAGCTATAAATAAATAAATAACTAAATATTTTTTAACGTTATTTTAAAACAACCTGTTGCACGAGTTCTCTTCTCTTTATAACAAAAGTAAGTATGTAAAAAGTATTCATTTACATTTTGTCGAGTAAAGTGGCAAATAAATGAAAAGAAAAAAAAATACATACATAAAGATTGTTCTGATCTAACAAAAGCTTTTATTTTTAACGTCTTCAGTTTGAATAAATACATACATCATGCTAGAACATCGTACGGTTAAACAGCTATAATTAAAGAAAGAAAAAAAATATTCTGTGTTTTCGCCGCGTTAAAAGTGTATTATATCATTTTTATTGTTATTTTCTCATTTTATCCTATATTAATATTATTTTTATAAATTGCATATTGCATGTTACAAAAAAAGAGAAATTAAAGAAAAACCATTGTTAATGTGCAATTTTTTTTTATCATTATTAAATGATAATAATTATATATATAAGAAAATATTTTATTTTATACATACTCATAAGTGTGTATATATATACTCGTTTATAGGTGTATAAATACGATACAAATATTATCGTATGAAAATAATAACATACGTATATATTTTTAATAAAGTAATTTAACATTAAAAAGTTTCTTATTGATTATAAACAGTGGAAATTGAAAAATTATTATGATTTCTAAATAAAAGCAATTATTATAATATTACAAATTCAATAACGTATAATAAAATAACGTGTAATAATAAAAAAATTTGAAAAATTTTTTAGTGAAATTAAGAAGAAATTAATCTACAATATTATATTTATAACATTTTTGTATAACATTATATCATTATGTAGAAATTCATAATGATCATATAGTATAAAAATATTGAGACTAAAATAATTAAATCATATTGAAAATAATTTGCGCTATTAATCAATTTTATAGTGTCATTTAATGATTATTTATTATTATTTTAATATTGATAATTAATTATGAGTGTATCACTAATTTTGTTTTACATTTACATACATACATAAACAGATTAAAATGAGATTATATTCATTTAAAAATTATTGTTATAACAATTTAATAAGAAATTAATTTAAATAACATAATTATTTTTTAACTAAATATGCCATACTCAGATGTTGTATGAGGAACAAATTCATAATTATCATTTTATCATTTTTATAAACGTTCTTTCTTAACATATAACAAAATTAAGTAATATTAATTTGTGTTTCTTATATTTTTTATTGACAATGACAAAGCCGGTTTGTATTTCGAATGATGAAATAAAATAAATGATTAAATTAAAAACAATCTGTTTCAAATAATATTAAAATTAAATTAATTCGTTTTACATTAAGTTATAATTTAATTACAATATAATTTATGGTCGAACAATTTTATCAATTTGTAAAAAATGAATATTTAGGTATACAAAATAATTTCTTTCCACTTTAAACAATTAAGGTATAATATCTTAGTGCATACAAGAATAAATCTGCTTTTCGTATAAATGTCTACACGTTGTATACTTTTTAAAATTTTTTATGCCTATACACATAAATGCTTATGCTAAATCTGAATTAATATACATTACTACTTACTCAGTGTTTTCTGATTTTTTTCATTTTTCTTTATAATATTGCAAATTTTTTTCAAAGAAAATAAATACATGTATACGTTAATAATAAATTTTAATTGCATAGTACAGTGGTTTCTACATTTTTATACGTGCGACCCATCAAATATTTCAAAAGTTCTTTTTTGCCCCTTTCGTTTTTTAACTACCAAATTTTATAAAATATATTAGTAATATGTATTTGTTAATTTGGTTATATTTAATAGATATTTCTTAATATTTTGTTACATGCCATTATTTTGAGTTATATATACGAGTACCAACTAAATAAACATTTCGTTTTATATTTTACACTTATTATTTTTTTCGAATATAATTACTAAGGAATTTACCAATCACTATTTTAACACCTATGTACATATTAACATTCATTTATACTTGGCAAATAATATATAAAATAAGAAACATAAAAATATTTATATAGAAAAAAAAAAAATATTTTAAATTTGGAAAAAACCGTCAATGAAATTTCTGGTATTGAATATTTACTAGCCGCCTATATAAATAAACCAACAGACAGATAATGTCGAATCGTATAATGTTTTATATTCGTACGCGTAACATAATTAAAGACACACTACTATTATTCTAATAAAATAGTTTTTCAAAACATAAAAAAATAATTGAATGTGAATTGAGTAAAATAAATTACGTAAAAGTAAATCAAAACATTGGAAACTTCTTCGGCTTTTCACCAATTTTAATTTTTTTAAGTAAAAAATATGTAATAAGAAATTTTTACATGTTTTAATGAATTTACAGTTTATAATTATAAACTTTAATTTACTGTGAAAACAGAATCAAAACGGTGAGTTGCAACAGCGGACGATTTCCGTTGTTAACCCAGAACAAGAGCGGAACGGAAAAGTCTATTGAACAGTATTTTGCATATAATGTCACAAAACATAAATACAGATAATGTCGAAAAAAACTATCAGCGCTGGATTTCAGGCTACTTCACCTCTGAGGGGAAATTCGAGGTTCTTTTTTCGCTTGTTTCTGGGTAATCCCATTTAAATCTGTGTATTCTATATGAATTCTGACATTTCGCTTGTTCTGTTTATGGCCTTCTGAGGAAGCTCTTAAAGCTTGAAATGGGGACACGGACGACTGGTTAAGGATCACTGGCTAACAGACAAATTAGCTTTTATATAGTTTTTGCTCTATTAGTATATTTTACTGATATGTAAAATAATTTTAAAATATTAATTTAATATAATATTATGTACTCCTTTATATATTTTAAGTAATATGTTAATTGAATATCAATATAGATTGCTTTTTTTATTGTGTCGCTTGGAATTAATATATGACGTTTATAGTTTAGACTATTCAATATGTTGTCGGTTCGTCTTTATTTTATAACCTTTTCTCTTCAAAATGAGAAAGGGTATAAAATGAAGAAAAGTGACTTTCACTATGTAATATGTATGCTAAAGATGAAGGTGAAACAAGCATAAAGTTGAATAGCCTGAAAATTATGTAATAAATACATAAAGTATAAAACTTCTACTCAACAAGATTTATTCTATAAATCAAATTATTTTAAATTTCGTTCATAGAATATGAAACAAATTACATTTATTTACCATGATTTTTGTTTAAGTTATTGAACACAGTATACAAAAGAAAATTTATTTCTATTACAATATTAAAAAACGATTGAAATTTTAGAAATTAATAATTGAATAATGAGATAAATAATTAATTTTACTATTTTGTTTTCAATCTATAAGGATTAATATTGTTATTCATGTATTCTTTTAAGTTTTAAATATATTAAAGTTAAAATAATTCAAAAAAGTTTTTGGTAACATTTTAATTAATGAATAAAAGTGTTTTTAGAACAAATTCAGTAAACCTGTAATTATCTTAATTATAATCTTTTTTATGATTTAAATGCATTTAATTTCATTATTTTATATAAAAAGAAAACAACTTTAAGATAAGAATGTTTCTAATAAAATAAGGAAAAACTCTGAAATTCATAACAAAAAGTAACATGTAGTAAAGTTTTTAAAATATAAAAAAACCAAATACAATATAAAAATATAATTTAAAGTATTATATCGACATTGTGTAAACTTTTAAACTCAAAAATACAAATAAAATTTGTTTTGTTTGACGGCATTAAAAAAGAAAGAAAAATAAGAATGGAGTGGTCTGATTCATATATTGGAGGTTTTATAAATTTTTGTCTTGGATTTTCTTTACTTGGATTTATAGAAGCAATTTTTGTTGCGTTAATTATCTACTATATTTGTACTAAAACTAGGTAAGTTATTAATTTTCAATTTTAACCGTTTATATTAGCACGTATTTTCTATCATATTGAAAAGTAATGGTGAATTTCGAAAAAAAATTGTTATTTTATAAGTTAGGTATCAATTGTTTCTAAAAAAGAATCATGTAATCGTTATCATAATTTTGTAGTCCATTTCACATAAAACATATTTCAATCTTACATTTCACCTTTAGTCGACCTTGAAAGTTTAAATAGTTTAATAACTATATATATAAGCTTTTAAACAGAGAGTGCAAAACTTTTACTTTTATTCTGTTGATTAATAAAGAATATAAGTATGTACTTACAATCAAAAATAAAATTCACGTTTTTTTTTATATTTCGATTAAATAAACACAACTGTTTATTTTTATCTAAGATTAACTTTGTTATATAAATACGGATAATAATAATGGACAACGCTTATCAACGACTTTGAATGTTATAAGTATTATAATAATTTTGTTTTCAATAATATTTTCGTTTTTCTCACAAAATAAAAGTTTAAAGTTCACACTTTTGATTCTATTCTTAATTAATATATTAATTTAATTACAGGTCATTGTGCAAATGTACATATAGTTTTATATTGCCAATTAATACCTTTGACCAAAGATGTTAAAAAGGATCAAAGTTTATTCAAACTTTATGATAAAGATAATACTAATCATTTTTATGACACAAAACAAAAGATAAAAATTGTTTTATTTTGTTATATTGAAAAAGAAACTTTAATTACTGTGTATTGAAATTTAAAAATAATGTTTTATGATAATAATGCAAGCTTGATTATTAAATTATAATAACAGATCAGGTTAAAGATAACAATGATTTTATTTTTTAAAAACTATATATCATTATTGTGGTTCTTCTCCATGAAAACAATTTTCTGCCCCTGGCACGCATTTATTTTATTACTCATATTTATGCATTTCATATATAATGTAATTTCACATATTTACTGCTAGTAATTTTACTAATACAGTAAAAGTAAAATAAACTTCGCAAATTTATTATTTTAATTTGAACTAACACATTTTTGGCACAAATAAAAAATTTAGAAAAAATGTGCCCATTTATTCTACTTCGCCCGCCAATAGAATGTGTTCTTTACCATTTTCAAAGAATCAGACATACTCATATATAAGGTGCAGAAAAAAAATGTCGTCATCATTTTCTCAATGTCTTAAAATTTTTTTCAAATTTCGTGGTACAATTTAGTGTTTTGAAATCTTTTTACATTATAAAACTGTCAAAACGTATTTATATTTTCTTGATTATGTCAGAAGGCTTTATTTTTCTGAATAAAATTGCAACAATTGAATTTAAAATTTGTTCTTTGCTCGACGGATTTGTTTTTTCTAAATTTCACACTTTTCCGTGTAACTAAACGGTATTTGTTTATGTTTGATAAATATTTTGAAATTTGACGTTTACTACCTATTTTATAAAGTTTTTAAAAGTTTTTCAAACTTTCCCGTCTGGCTTATTTTTTTTAAGTGAGAATTTTTTTTCTCTTTGCGACCGGTGACGTTACTATTTTCTTTTTTTTTAAGTTTTTCAAGTTTTATACCAGATGTATTATCGTAAAACTTGAAAAACTGCAAAAGAACGAACATCAACCAATAAAAAATAAAAGTCAATAAATTTTAGTATATTTATTCACAAATAAAAATATTATTTATAAACATTTTAAAAAGTCATTCTTTATCTTTTTTGAACAATAATAGTAAAATTTTATATCCGCAATAGGCGTATATATATATGAGTTTTTCTTTCATTGATTACTTTGTAAGCCGAATAAGCCCAAAAGATATTAACTATCAAATAGGAAAATGTTTAGTATGTAGTTTCTTTCGAGGTATACTGTGTACACGCTGCATCTATGTCCTTACTAAATATACATCTCTAATGCACTGAGTGTACTTGTTTATTGAAAATATTTGACCATTTAAAAGTTTAAATATACTGGACACAGTAAAAAATTAATTTACCATTGATTCCGCTTTTGTAAACGACGCAATAATTTTTTTAATTGAATTACAAAATAAACAAAATATTGTCTGTAATAATTTATAGTAACAATATGCATGTATGTATGTACATTATGTATTCGCATAGATAAAAATCATAAAAATTTGCATATGAAATGAATATAATTAAGTCATGCATATGTATGTATGCATGTGTATACAGAGTGAATTGCCTAAGGTAGCAAATATTTTCAGGAATGATTCTTTGATCAATTTTCAGCAGAAAATTTTATGTGTGCGGGGTACAGATATTCTCGTTATCGAGCTACAGCCTGTTGAAAAAAAGGTACCAGATTTGCCTGCATGTAAATAAATGCCTATAACTTCGGAACCAATAAGAACTATAATTGATTGCTCTTTACTTTTGGTCTAGCAATTAATTTGATCTGAGTCAAAATTTTTGAGATAAAGTTCGCCAAAGTCAGATTTTTTTTTTATTTTTTTTTTTACCGAAAGTAAGCCCATATAACATTTTCCCTTATCTCTTATAGTTTTGCAATAAAACATGTTAAACGTGTTCTGGTACCTTGTTTTTTCAACAGAATGTAGCTCGAAAAAGAGTATATTTACACCCTCTCGCTCCGTTTATTTACGGAAAATTGATCAAAGAATCATCTCTGAAACTATTTGCCACCTTATGCGAAACACCTTGTATACATATAAATTTTTGAATTTTCCTATACGATCTTGTAGGTGCATTTGAACTTAAACTATAAAGCTTAACGAAAGCTAAACAAAATTGTTATTGTAAATTATAAATAACTTTTTTTTGCCTTACTTTTGTTTGAAAACTGTTCAGAAAGGTACATACATACACTCGTACGAAAAAATAATAGGCAAGTGTTTGTTCATGATGAGAATCATAGCTACAAATCAAAACAGACAGAGTATGTGCATATATGAAAGATAATATGAAAGTATGTGTATGAAACGAAGCATGTACACATACATACATATGTTTGTTAAGGAACCAAATATGTAATGTCTCCGCGTTGTAGTTTTTTTTAAATTTAATTAGTTTAATAAAAAAATTCAAATCAAACCAATGTTATGAAATCTAGCACTCCTGAACAAGTGAAAGTCATATTTTATTATCCCAATTATTTTCATTAATAATCTGCATATTTCAAAATTATCTTAGTCATTGTAAAGAAAATGTAACATAAAAATTGCTCTTAAAACTCTCAAAATGAGAAAAGTAGATAAAATTTTCAAACGAAGGGAAACGAAGAGAAAGTGAAACAAATACTTAATCTCTTTTTTTAAAAAAATTTGTACAAGTGCTAATAAAAAGACTTTTTTTCGCACAAAAAATGTAAAAATACGCACTTGCGAAAAGACTTTTTTTCGCAATGTTGTGCTACAAATAAAAATCAAAAATTTTGTAAGTTGGCCCGGCCCGATTATAACATCTCAATACTTTAATTTTTATATTTTTTAGTGATGACTTATACAATTTTTTAGTGATGACGTTTCAATGACATACCTTTCCTTATGAATGAAACTTTAAATAATATCATTTTGCTCATTGCATATGAATATACATACATACATACATACATATATTTTGTGCATATGTACATAATATGGATGTATTTTTGATGAATACACATTTAGAATTTTTATTTTTCTTTTTAATATTCAATAATACTTCCACTAATAAACTATGTTTATTTGGTAAGGTGATCATCATTAACAAAAAATTAAATAACTTATTTGGTCGTTGAACTTATTTTAATAAAGAAAAAAGAAATAAATTATTTAATATTTGTAACAAATAACAGAAAAAAGAATTGAATGACTAGAAGTAGTATCATTGTATATTTTTAAAAAGATTAGTTAGTTTTTTATGTACATAATATGTAAATACAATAAAAAATTTTTTGAGTTATTTTTATTGCATTAAAATTTACTGGCATAATGAGAAATTTTTTCATTAAAGTATTAAACAAATTGCATCTGCTTTGAAGAATACCTAAGTTAACATTGGTGCATATATAGGCTTAGCTTGGAATTAATAAATACTTTGCAACTCTTTAGCTGATTGTTGGCTACATCTAGGCACAATTCAAACTATTTTAAGCTAAGTGACTTTAACTGTCACTTACACTCTTTTCCGTTACGTACTTTTTCTGACGATTCATTGAAACAACTACTTAATATACCTATGTGTGAATATCCGTAATCATTATTGTTTGACTTAGTTTAATTTAAACTTTTTCGTGATTCCAAAATCTTTTTAATTTGCTTTTTTAATAACTAATTTTTTTAAATTTTTAAATAACTCATTTTTAAGTGTATTTTGACGATGAAGCTGAAAATTAAAAAAACTTTTAATTATCTGACCTATTGAAAATTTGATCAGCATTGAAATCTTCAAGCAAAATTCAAGTTTTTTCTTTGTAAAAATTATTTTATACAGAATTAAAAACTTTAGCACATCTATAGGAATTATTGGGTGCAATTATTCGTTTCAATTAACTCGGAGTCATCTACAAATACATAAGAAAAATTAAATTAAATTATTCAAAATTTTTAATACAACTATAAAAAAAATGTTTGTCTAACAATGTTTGCAACTTTATACTTTTCGTAGAATGTAAATAGTATTGCTATTTAGGCCCAAATAGGCATTTGTTTTTTTTTTTTAATTATTATGACCGCAGGACTCATTATTTTTGAGTGTTTATAATCTTATTTGTTCTATTTTTTCAATCATAAGACAAAGTCCATTTTTCCTTTTTTCAAAAATAAATTTTGATTATGATTAAATGTCACCGCAAAATTAAGTTATAAGATTATTTTAACCTTTAATATCGGCCATTTCTACATTAAATTTATTTCTTCTCTTTAATATTGAATACTGCAATAAGGAAAAAATCTGACTAATTCAAAAGGACGAAATTTATTTAAATAAAAAATTCTATTGCGATAAGGAATAAAGTGCCAGAAGAATAACAAAATTTATTGTAGATTCTTCTTTTTCCTTCTGATTTTCATGCTCAATTTTATTAGAAATAAAGAAAACGATAGAGTGTATTAAGTTAATAAGCTTAAGGTAAAAAATAAAATAGGGACCAACCCGCGAAATAAGTTTTACTGCACTAAGATGAATAGGCTATGGGTTGCATTTTCTGAATAAATAAGGGTATTAGTTTGAAATATGTTATAGTTTCAATTATAGTTTTAAAATTAATTTTAATTTGTTATATACTAAATACATAATCGTATATTCTAACTAAAATATGAACATATACATATATCTATATTGTATATGTTGTGTAATGACAAATTTAAAATTATTATTCGTTTTCATGAAAATCAATATAAAAATGAAATTGATATTTTCAAAAGCAAAAAACTTTAAAGTTTCTTACTAATTACACTAACTATATTTTGCATATATGCAATGTACATCACATATACATACATTTATAAGTAGTTAACTTGAAATATGCATAAACATGATTTAAATTGCCATTAATATTTTCAATTATCAACTATATGTATATAAGTTAATTTTAAACAATGATTTAAAATTCGTAATACGTATTTATAATGATGGTTACATAAGCATATATATGAATGTGTGTGGTATGAAAAATGAATTTGAGTGATAATTGCTTTTTTTTCTAGTTTTCGACCTGATTTTTTACATACACACATACACATGTACGTATGTAAGAATAGAATAATTTTGCTGTGAGAGATTAATATTATCAGTGGCAGAAAAATATGCCACTAATAATCAAAGACTTTAATAGATTCCAAATATATTTATACTATCTCAGAATAAATTGGCCATGTGCCAATGTCCGAATATTGTAATACTTATGATTCTATTATAATGAATAAGCATTTTTTATTATTATTTGATAAAAGTCCTTTATTATTTTAGTCATAAGTATATTATAGTTGCTAGTAATGTAGCTATATATATTTTTATATAGTTAAAAGCTTTTTCTAATCAAATATTATATTCGTTAATTATAATTTTTTCAGCTAGTATAAACTTCTTCTTAATATAGCTAATATAATTTTAAAAAGTAGAAGAGTCAAAGAGTCAATAGAATTTAGGATCTATCAAAGACGATTTTTCAAATTGTTATAACTTAAAGCTATTGGTTATATTATTGATATGTGCTTGATATAAAATTATAAAATACTAAACATTCCAATTAATAATATATTTAATAGTCTCACTTCATTTTATAAAATAGGCTAAAAAATAATTATTATTCAAAACGCATATATTTCGTTTTTATGATCATATATATAGGAGTTCTTATTAGGTATACATAGATAACAGAATTTTTTTTGCACTTTTTATTTCTACAGTCTTCAAGACAAAACTGAAAATTCGTATGTAAATTAAGCAATTTAAAAATTGTAGGTTCCTGAGACAAAATATTTCTAACTATACCCTAATACCAATCTTTCGAATCAGCAAATCGGCAAAAAATGTTGATAATTTATTTCTTCCATAGACTTCATCACATCATATAGACAAACTTCATAATATTGAAGGAACCCCTTAATTTAAACAGTTTTTCGTTAATTTTCAAAGTGATTTATCTATAAACAGCTTCTAGATGTTATACTTAGAATAAATTAAATAGTTTATTTTATTAGAACATAATTCCTTTAAAATCCCTTTTTCTTCCACTTTTAACCCTATTTACATATTTCATTGAACCTTCATAAAAACAAGGATGTAGCATTTATCTTCTTAGCAATAAAATTCAATATTGCATTGCAAAATTTTCAAAATTATTTTGAATACCTGACAATAACACGATTATTACAATAGAATTATTTGAGCCATAGCTCTAGCTAGAACTATATGTTTTATATACATAAATATTAGTTTTTTACTTAAGGCTGCTTAATGTAGTTAATTTCCACATTGAAAGAAAAAAAAGATTTTAGTTAAAAAATTTCATATTGTATATCGAAGCTATCTACAATGTCACAATAATATAATAATCGGGATTTTGATACGCGATAGAAATGCAAACGTTGCAGTTTAAAAAATTTCAGTGCTTTTTACAAAATTTTTTTTAAAAAACTTTGTGAAAAATGTGTATTGATACACATTTATCACAATAATCACAACATTACACTCAATGAGTGTAAAACGAAAATGAACAATGGGTTTAATACAAAGTTCACAAACAATGGGTTTAATACAAAAACAAAACTTTGGAATGTGACTTAAAATATCAAAACTGATTATAATTTAACTGTTAAGATTAAGTTATTTTTTTAAATTTTTCATACAATAAGTTTTGTATTTAAATTTTATTATTGCATATAATTAGTACGAATATTATTGTAACTGTTTATTGACTTCAATTCACATTTATCAATTTATAATATTGTAAATGAATTTATTTTTTAGTATTTTGACCGTGACCTTGTCACTTATATTGTACAAAATCAATTAATATACCCACATACAATTACAATAAGTGACGATATGTGACTAAAATTATGAATAAAAGCTTAAAAGTAATCAATGCATAATTAAGATTAGGTTTATATACGTATGTATGTAAAATGCTGATAATTGAAGGAAATTTTTTTGTGCATGCCAAGTACGTGTGTACACATTTCTAACTTTTTACAGGGTCTAATTATATAGTTAATTTATTTAATATACAAAAAAATATTAAGATCTTGAGAAATCATTAAAAAATTTTATTGATATTTATTTTATTGAAAGCTCCTGAAATTTCCTCTATAAGACAACTTCGTAGTGATAATGGTTGGTTTTTATACGTAAGACCGCAATCAATTTCCCCTGTAAAACGAGAATGGAAGAAAACGTGTTAAATCAGAAAACATGTTTTACATATAAAAAATTTTATCAAGGTGGAAGATTATTAACACATACCTCTGACTATTAATAAATGAGCATTTCTTTTTTCATATAAGATATTCTTTTAGGAACAGGTCTATTGAACTTAAATTAAACTGCACCAATGTATGTCTAGCCTTATTTTTACTATTAACACAATTGCTAAGTACAGTTTTGCAATTCGTATTGATTGCAGTTTTTCTTAAAATTAAATACCTTATAAGTTTCTTACATTCGCAAATAAATTTTCTGAAAAGATGTCAGCTCTGAAAATTAAAACTTTTCAAACTTATTTCGATGTATTAAACATATTGCTATTAATGTTATTGAGTTAATTTAATTGTACAAAAAAATAAAAATCTATCACTAAAGTACGAAAGGAACTTTTTTATAATTATGTTATACTCGTTTATACCTACATATAACAATTTTAAAATTCTCTTTATAATTTTTTTATAGAATTAGCCAGATTAATTGAAATTAAACTGTAATACACCATCCGAATATTCGGATTCTAATATTTCTATATTGAATACAATCTTACAAATATTTTGCATAATTATATTAATTTACTTTACAGAATTATTACAGTAAAGTAAATTAAAGTGGATCATGTGATTGTGGTGCGTAATTTACCAGCTTTAGCAATGCATGTATGTACATACATATATACATGTTCATACATGTACACATACATATAATTGTAGTTATAATGTGATAAACCTTCCATAACTTGGCTGCGTTTATTCAATATTGATTTTACCAACATACATATACATATATAATTAATTTGTATCAATGGGCAATAGTAAAATTTATTCAAACTAAACAATTAAGGTTTTTATTAACAATTTAACAATTAAGGTTTATTAAATGAGTTCTTTCTAGATAGTATAAACAAAACACATACCTATTTACTTACAGCTTTAAACGAGCTTCAGTTTAAAACTAATTTTGTTTCTATACTAGCTATTACACATGTTCATACTTAATTTAGGTACATGATATGTATGAACCATGAAGGCATAAATTTTGCTGTGTAAAAAAAAATTTTTTTGTTTATTTAACAAGGAGGCATTATATGTATGTATAAAAGAACCTTTGCATATGATGCTAATGTTCTTTTATAAATATAAAAGACACAATAAACCATTAATAAAAATTATTAGAAAATTAATTTAACAAAAATTATAGTTACTAAACCCTGAGATCTTCTTAAATCAAATATTTTTAATTAAAAATATTTAAGTATGTATGTGCATATGTACTTATGTATGAATGCACGCAATATCGTTGGCAAATCAAGAAAAAGTCTCTATTCCCTATTTTAAGTAAAAGATTTTTAAAATAAAAATTTTTATGTAGGGACACTGTGTTTTAATAATATATATATAAAAATATAGTTGAATAACAAATTTTATTATTTTTTAGGGCATCCACATTGATAGAAGCTTTATTTCCCGCATTAGGATTAAATTGGCCATCAATGTCAAGTTTTGATGTATTCAGTTCTTTTGGGATTTCTGAAAGAAAGGTATAAAAAATTTTTTATTACATTGGTTTACAACAAAAAAATTATATAAAAAAATGATATAAAAATAAAAAAAAAATAATACAATTTTTCAAACATATGTATACATACCTGTTTATTCATACACACATATATATATAATATCGTATCGATATGTGATTGAATATTCTTAAATGGGAATTTAATGTTTTACTAATTTACTTAATAATATGTGAGTTTAAATGAAAAAAGTTTTCTCTCAATTGCTCTTATTCATACATAATTATGTGTGTACATATACAATTAGTTGAGGACATAGTATGAGTAACCGTATCGTGGCTGTGGATATCCGCTTTAAAAAAAAATGTTTAAAAAAATTGATGCCCATAATATTTACTATTATGCACATTATAATGTGTATATAAAATAATTTAATATGTATATAAAATAATTATTATTCATCTGTCAAAAAATTTTTAAATTTTAAAAAACTATCAATGCCGTTATCAAATAGGTAAATTCTCAAATTAACACAAATATATCGATGAAATTTGTATGAGAGCATGTATAAAAATTAGTTATAATGTAATTCCAAATGCTATATCAATGTTATTCCATAAATTCTAATTTATTAATTGAGTTCCGATTGTTATTTAATATTTATAATAACAATAATTATGACCTTATTTTTATAAAGTCATATTATTCTTGGAAATTTTATTTTTTTGTGTAACAAATGCTTTTTTTCTCAAGCCGATGATGCGTAGTATAATTAAAAAAATTATTAGTAATTTAGGATAAATTGTTGGTTTTTTGGGTGGAAACAGTAATCAATAACCATTTTATTAAAACGTAATAAAAAATTTTTACTTTCTAAAATTTATTAAAATAGAAACAAAAAAGAGAGTAAAGATCCTTGATTCTCAAGGTTTACGTAAAATTAATTCTTTTCGAATACAAAACCAACAACACCAAATTTTAGTATGTAACTAAAGTAAATTTTTAGGTTCTACTCAAAAATTTTTTAATTCGAAAAAGAAAATAGAAAACGCCGAAACTAGAAATTTAGTTTATCAGAAAACGGAATGAAAGCTAGTGAAAACACTAACAAAATCTAATGTGATCATTACATAACCGACCACAATGTGTATTGTCTAGTTGCAGAAGTTATAAAAATGCGTTTTAAACACTTCCTCTTAATTTTAAGAAAGTTAGTAAGCTTTTAGTTAACATACTTAGCTAACATACTTTGTAAATTTGGCTCTTAATAGAATTTCGCCACCTGAATTCTCTGAAAAGTTCGACAGTTAGTTTCGGTAACAACTAGAACTTAAATATCGAATTCCAAGAAATTCCATTAATCAGTTCAGTGGATATTGTAGATAATTGGCTCCTAGTTCGGTTACCAAGCTCTGATCGCTCAAATAGGATCGCTATATAGGACGACATCTCTTTAAAAATAGTTTATTTATGCTTCCCTACCATTCAGAAGTGCGTTGTCGTCGAAAACACGACATCCGAAATTTTTAGGCATCACATAACCTTATTGTATGCAATGCGGTTGGTAATAAAAACATGATTAGTGTCTAAATTGATTGATTGAACACAATATGTTAAAATTTTCGACTCACACAAATACAGGATGAAGACTGAGAGAATGAAAAAACAAGAAAGGCAAAAAAAGGCGAGAAGAAGACTCTTGCCTATTATTATTCTTTGTATAATAATAATTTAATGTAGGTACAATGCAAACTTTTTGTTTGAAAAATAGATATTTTTATTCAAAAAAATACATAATGTAAGTATTCATTAAATGAATTAAGTTAAAAAAAAAATATAATGAAACTTCAAATTAATTCAATTGAAGGCCGAAAACTTTCTTAACGAGAGAAATTTTAAATCAAAATGATCAACACTGATGCGTTTACTATTATTATAACTATTATTTTAATCACTCCTTATTCCTTTTATTTTTTTTATTATATTTCACGATTATTTTCTTTTTTGCTTTCTATTTTCATATCCTTAGTACTTTTTTCTTTAACCTATTTTTTTTTTTGGAAAAATTTTTTAAAATTTATAAGACACAAAATAAACTATTAAAAAAAAATATGTTTGTACATAAATGTATTGTTAATGAGACAAATATGATGTACTTTTGTTTGGTACTTTTTAGACTTAAATGATCTAACCGCTTTTAAAGGTATCTCATTATAATTCTTAAAATTGTTTACGTATTATATTAAAATTATATATTACAAGCGTCAAATCTTTAACGGTATTATACTTAATTTATTCTGGTCATTCAACCATTGTTTATTTATTAAGAAGGCTAAATGTTTTTTCCTAGCTAATGTGAAAGTAAACATTTGCACTTCAAACTGTACGAAATATAATTAATAATAGCAATAATAAGGATGACTATATTGTTGATCATTGAATTATTGCGGTCTATATAAAACTTTAACACACTAAGGTGCCTCTTACATATCAAATTTATTCTACGATTAACTCTGAATCTGATGAAAATTTGTATGTGTACTCGAAGTCTGACATCAGATAAAATGTGATGAAAAAAGTAGAACCATACTTGATTATCATCAGATTTTCTGTCAGATATTTAAAAATAGCATGGCGGTAAATAAAATTTTGACGTAATCATTTGTTTTTTTTTCCATAATTGTGTTAGCAGTTTATAGTCCCGACATATATTCTCAACTGTACCGCGAAAAGATAGTCAGAAAAAGCAGGTAGGAAAATTTACGCAAATAGTTCTGTTGTTTCAATCGTAAAATAAACGTCAACCGAATTCTCAGCATTTATCCGTTATACTGACTTAAAAAAAATTAAGACAAAAAATGATGTAGCGTATAACATGTTTTCATTGTTTGTCAAAATTTCCAAAAAATAAATTTGAAACGTTGTCCAAACCTTAAAAATATTTAAGATAATCTTATGTCATCGAATCATGATCCTGCCAAAATACGAAACCAATTTTAAAATAATTGAAGTATAATCTAATAAAATAATCAAAATAAAACTAAATATCTACGAAAGTGCCGCCGAAAGGTTAATGGCAAACAAAAATAACTTAGGAATAGTTTGGTGCAACTGTTTCTTTTTATTTATTTGACAATATCTTACTAGTTTGTAATTTTTTTGTTGCAAGTGGATATAACTACTTTTTTTTAGTTCTACCGCAGTATGTAGAACTAAATGTACAATCATGTACATATATTTATATATATCTACTTCTATATTTATATATATGTATATATATATATATATATATATATATATATATATATATTCTGAAAAAATATAAAAATATATATATGACCATATAAATGTGCAAAATGATTGTCCGTTCATAATTACAAAAGGTCGTTTCCACAACTTTAAAGTTTTTGTCAAAAAATTAAATAATTTATGGTAAAAAAAAAAACATATTCACGAAAATTTATTTTCTAATGAGCTAACAGGTTTAAAATTTAATTCTGTTTCATGAAAGAGCTTATTGACGCACTTACATATGCGATTACAATAGTTTTCAAATCAATGCGATCTCAATAGTTTTCAAATTTTAAAAAAATTTAAGGTTTGAAAGTATTTCAATAAAAATAAAATTATATTATAATATATTAATATTAATGTACATACATAATTTATTCAAAAAAAAATATCCAGCATTGCTATTCCTGTGGTGCTTTTAACAAAAATCGTTGGCCGCCGCCGTTAAGCGCTTCTGTTGTGTTTTGGCAGTAATGCATTGCAAATATCGATGTGTTACTGTAGAAAAATGACAGATAACTCAATATGGCTACAATAACTGCGACATACACATAACATAAGCTAAATATAAATATGTAAATTGAACAAAATGTGTGTACCAATTTGTGTACTAGAATACTACGTAGTTTTAAAGCATATTGGGTAAAATTATTTTCATCTGTACACAATCTGAAAGTTTAGACAAAATATTTTGTTCAAAAGGAAAGATTTCTGTTAAGTTTGTAACATAAACCTTGTTCAAATTAAGAAAACAGAAATTAGCTTGGTCAACCGCTCTTTATTTTAAATATGTTTTTTGGAAATTCTTGCATTTAGATAATAAAACAATGTTGGAACAGGTTCTAAAAATTGGTCGTGGTTGGGTATGCTTTAATTTTAAATTTTTTGATCTATTTTAAGATAACGTTGCATTTTATCCAAAAAGGACGGAATGGTTTTAATAAAGTTAGAAATAAGTCCGTATAACCTAGAATTCTATGTTGTATTCATATATGTACATATGCATGCATAGTATATAGTTTCTCTAGGAGCCGGCAATATATACACATGTACCTACATAAATTGAAACTGAAATTTATATCTATACAAATAATTAATTATAAAGAAAATTAATACATACAATATGTACTTATATAGGATTCGAAAGCTAGTTACGTGCAAAACAATCAAGCATATGGAGCTCAAAATTTGCTGCGAGTGACTCCTCATGCTGGTCGTAAGCCATATAGTTCAATGTTTGATTATGGTATATATTTTCCTGATTTAGCCCAATGCTTAAGATTCAAAAAACATCCGTATCCTCAAGTATGTAAATTTATTTTATTAATTTTTTTAATATGCAGCAATTGTTTATTTTTAAAGGTTTCAGGATATGTTCTCAAGGATTCTGCTATCGATCATGCCGTAAAAAAAGCAGCAGAAGACATTTTCAAGGACCACAAAATAAAAGAATACAAAATATCTGATAATTTAAAAGAGTATAATATTGAAGATGAACCATCAGCAGAGGATGTTGAAACATCATTGTACCAAAAAATAATCAAAAATCAGAAAAAACGAAAAAATCGTTTGCTATTGGAAATGAGTTCGAAATTGTCAGATGTGGTATTACGTTTAGCAGCATGGGTATTATATAAACTTTTTCCATGCTTTTTATCTGGGATTATTTCCCATACAAAACAAATTGAAATGCTGAAAAAGGCTGCTGAAAAAACTCCTGGTGTACCACTAATATTTTTACCATTACATCGAAGTCATCTAGATTATATAATGGTAACTTTCATTCTTGTAAACTACGATATACGAGCTCCACTAGTTGCTGCAGGAAATAATTTGCAAATACCTTTCTTTGGGGGACTACTCCGTGGGTTAGGAGCGTTTTTCATTAAGCGTAGAATGGATCCTGTTGAAGGCAGGAAAGATACATTATATAGAGCAATATTGCATTTATATTTACAAAACGCACTTAAATTGGGGCACAATATTGAGTTTTTTATTGAAGGTGGAAGAACAAGAACTGGAAAGCCTTGCATGCCAAAGGTATTGTTTAATAAAAATATAATTTGCTAATATAATAAATATTTTAATTCGGCTTTTAATAGAATGGCGTTTTATCAGTAATTGTGAATGCTTTTATGGATGGGATTATCAAAGATGCTTTACTAGTTCCCGTCTCTGTAAATTATGAACGTTTGATTGATGGAAACTTCATTGCTGAGCAGTTGGGACAGAAGAAAAAACCAGAAACATTCCGTTCAGCCATATCAGGTATATGGAAGGTATGTCGTTATTGGTTTAACATTTATTGACAGATTTTCTTACAATTCAAGTTAATTCAAAAATTTGTTCAAATTACTTAAATATTATTTTTTATTTTTATTATATGTACATATGTACTTACCTAAAAAATATTGACATGTACATCATTTCAAATGAAAGACTTTGACATCAAACTATGGAATGATGCGTATTGATTTTAATGAACCATACTCAATAAGGGAATTAGTTACATCATTCAATAAAATTGCAAGAGAAGATGGGACTAATTTGGTGTATACGCCTAATGAAAAGTAAGCATACATAAATTATTTTCAAGAAATTTTTTTTAAATATTGTTTATGTTAGAAAACTGCGGCATATGCAATCAACTTCTTCTTTATATGGCACTGATGTTGTGAAAGAAGAACATCGAACACTGGTAGACAGCATATCTAGGCAAGTTGTTTTTGATTGTGCTGCTGCTACTTCAGTTATGTCAACAAACGCAATTGCATTTCTCTTGTTAACACGTTTCCGTAATGGCGTATCAGAACAACATTTAGCTGAAGAATTAGACAATTTAAGAGATTCACTACAAGGGAAACGAGATTTATGTTTTTCTGGAAAATCTTTACATATAATTAAGTACGCTTGTGATTTATTAGGCGAAGGTAATTGCTTTCTAAACTTTTTGTTTGAAATGCGTTTGAAATAATAAATACGTAATTTCAGATATGGTTTCTTGCACATACAAAGATTCTGAGGTTTTTATTAAACCAAAAATAGATATCCCCAATGTGATTGAATTAGCTTATTACTCAAATGCAGTCGTTCCACATTTTGCTTTACAATCTATTGTTATGGTGGCTGCTTATAATTCGTTAGTCAATCAACCAAAAGTAAAAAAAAAAACGCAATTTTTTTTTTTTTTAAGTCTTTTTTTTTTTAGCACACCAAAATATCCCGAACAAGACTGATAGAAATATGCAAAGATCATTGTAGTATTTTACGTTATGAATTTATACTCAGTAAACCTACACAAAATTTGGATCAAATATTAGACGATGTAATTGATGATTTTATTCAAAGAGAAATCTTGTGTTCAACAAAGGTATGTTTACAAAAAACCAAAAGAAAATACATATCTGCATATATGTATTTAATTAAAATAATGTACAATGTATTTTTATGTGCTTACATAATATGTAAATTTTAAAACTTAAATTTTCACTTAATTTTGTACTGTATAATATATTATTATAATGTATGTATAATGCTCTGGTATATATTGATCTTTGATAGTAATAAAAACTTTTCCTTTGACTGGTTTCATCAATCAATACTTATACATAAGTATGTAATTAAAATGGCAAAAAAAATATGATTTCTTATACAATTTTTTTTCATTCAATTGACCATTAAGATTTCTATGAAAATTTAAAATACCTTGGATGATTTAAGGAAAAATATGGAAAGAACAGACAGTAAATAATTCTTGCTATTTTAATTCTTGAAATTAAAGTTCTTACTTAATACTTTTTTGACTAGTATTGAATGAATGAATGAAAGAAAAAATAACTTTGTTGTTTTATAAATTTAGTCGATATCCCGCAAATTATTTGCTGTATTGTTCCATAAAATAGCCCTATAAAGTCTACTATTTATTGTTATCGATTATACATATGTACATATATATTATAACAATGAAACTAATGGCAACAATATTCGTAATTCAATTTCCGTAATTATTATTTCTATGTTAGGATTTTTTTCAAAATTGCAAAATTTTTGTGGAGTTAGAGTCAGTTACTAGGTTTGAAAAATAATGCATATTTGCGTTCATATGTATTTTACATTTTAGACTCAAATCGAATCAGAATCGACTGCAAATACTCTTCGTTTAGCAAACGCAATAGCAGCTGACCTTGATGATGCATACAGTGATGAAGAATCAATTTATAATTATAATTTTGAAGATCTTGAAATTTCTTTATCAGAGAGTAAAAATGAAGATCAAAATGCATTAATGTCTGTATTAGCTCCATTTAGTTACTCTTATTTAGCAGTAGCTAAAAACTTGGAATTAATTTATAAAAAGGAATCAATACTTGAGCCAGAATTCATTAAACATGTTATAAAGGACCTCACAAACAAATACGAAAATGGAGAATGTCCGTACGGTAAGAAAGTTATTAAAATTATCTAAAATATATAAAAATAAAACTTATTCATAAACTTGAAAATGAATCCAGGAAATAAGTAAATTATTAAATTTTCATTTTTAGGTGAGAGTATATCTACCGAGTCAATAAAGAATTGTTTAAAGCTTTTTGAAAAGAATTCAATTGTTGAGCTTAGTGCAATAAACGGCATTCGATTACTATCATTAAATGACGTAAGTAATTCACTAGAAGCAATTAACGGATGCATTGAACAAATTGAAAGATGTGTACCAAAAATTAGTAATAATAATATTGAAAAAAATGTTTAATATGTAAAAAAAATAAGATTAAAATAATTAAAAATAAGTTTGAAAAATTTTGTGAACCAAAAAAAAAAGGAAAAACAAGAAATTACTTGTATTTTCCATTCAAATTTTTTTATATTGCAAATACGATTTGCAAATTTAAGTTTTACTATAAAAAAAAACTTTTTTAAATAAAGTTCTTATGATTTTTATACATACACGCATAAATTGCTCATTATGGAGCACAAAAAATATCATAATTGACTGAACACTTTAGGACAATAAAATTGTTTGAATGTACAATCTATAATTCGAAATAGTTATATTCTTATACCTATATAATAATAAAATCAAATATATATATATATATATGTGTCAATAATGTTTTTGTGTTTTCTTAGTTAACATACCGACTTTTTAATTTCATGATTCTTTCGACCAAATTCAAATAAACAGTTTTTATCTTTTATCTTTTATGAAAGCAATTCATTTATTTTTTATAGTTATTTTCTTTATGAAAATGCCTTTTTCATAAAAAATAGAAATGCATACTCCATTTTAATTTCGAAAATAGTCATCTAAATTAAATTTAAAAATTTCAAAAAATATATGTACATACATATGTATGTAAGGAGATGAACACTTAATTTAATTTAAAAGGATTAAGTTCGGTCATCAGTAGATATTTCAAAAAACTTTTCGTTATAAAAAATCTGCTAATATTATAAAGAATTAATTTTTAAAATAGTTTTAAAATTTGTCAGTATTTTCTATTTGTTTTTATTGAGTACAAATACATATATTAATGAACAAACATTGGTTTACAATAAATTTCTACAAAAAATCAAATTTTAATAAGTTTATATAGCAGAGTTTTAGAATCTGCATGAGCATTTTCTCCATCAAACGAAGATAAAAACTAAGTCAAACAATACGAAGTAGAATATTAAAATAATTTTTTTTATAAATTAGATTTTACTTCAGCCAAAAATATTTAGTGTACCAACTTTAATTGATATTGGATTGCACTAGATACGTGCTTTTATTTTATCAAATATTGTACTTTGTTTGTAATGGCAACTAAAACTTCAGATCACGCTGTAAGGAAATCTTACTGCTTTTAATTTTTATTTTTGATAATATTCATTACATATTTTTGCATTCAAAATTTCAGTAAACAATCAATTTGTTTTATATAAGCCTTTTGAAATTTTATAATCATAAGCTTGTTTTTCTTAAATCGAGGTTCTTTACAAAAAAAAACGGCTTTGAACAAATATAAGTATAATTAATATTGTCTAAAAATTACAGTAAGATAAGAAAATCTTCCCCCATTTTAACAATTTATTCCATTAATACTATCTTTTTGTGAATTGTGCTCACATTAAAAAACCAGTCTTACATAGTATTTTGCTACTTTATTTTTGCAGTATAGGTGAGTACGATAGCTTTTTTTTATAGTGGTATTATGTTTTATAAATTTGTAGCATAAAAGAAAATTCTAAAATGCGACACTTGAAATAACTAATGTAAATTGTGATATAGTATATAAAATAAAAATCTGTAATGAAATTAAATATTGCTTTGGATAAATAAATGCTAGGAAAATTTAATTAATTATACAATTATTCAAAAGTTGATGTGATAGCAAATTTAATATAAACTTATTAAAACTGAAGTTACAAAATTTTTAAGGCAAAATTTAAATTAATTATTTTCTATTACATTCTACAAATTTTCTAACATTACATTTTATTTTAAACACCATTATTTTCTAGTTGAAGAAAATAATACATTTACGTTATTTTATTTGTTAAAACAAAAAAAGAGAGAATTAAGTTTTTCTCTATTTATTGTATCCCATTACATAACAAGAGTTTACTTTCTTAATTTAATATAAAAGGAGAAATATAGACTTTTGAATTTAATATATCATAATATACTTTTTTGTTTAATTTTTCAAATTCTAATAAAAATTTCTTTCTAGCCTAAACTTTAATGAGCAAATAAAAAAGAAACTAACAATTTTGATAGATTTTAACTTTAAATTCAAAATACAAAATCAAAAAGGGAGAAAAAAAACATTTTTTTCTAAATTTTATAAATACATAATAAATATAAAATAAATTGAATTATAAATTACAAAACATTTAAAAACTAAAATTTCATCTATTATTTTTCTTGAACTTGTTTAATTTTTACTGTTTTTGATGACATGATTTTAGGAGGTATAACTTTATTATCTTTTTCTTGGGATGAAATCCTTACTTCATTCTAAAAAAAACAAAAAAAAAAAAAAAATCCGATCATCATTGTTTAATTTAAAGGTGCATAAATGTAATGTAGCTATATGATATCGAAATGACACTCCTAATTTATAATTTTATAACTTTTTTCTTATATTAATTAATTATAGAATTCACTGCCGAAGAAATACGATGTTAATGATTTAAATACAATGTCAATCACAAAATGGCTCTCCACTTTTAAAAGTGTTTACTTTAAATAAATATAAAATATTCATTCATAAAATTGTGTTTATTTAGATATTCGTAGATATTTTATTTATTACTTTTTTATGATTTACTACCTACCGATTTCTTGTTATATATTCCACCAATAAAACCAGAACAGTTTTCAGCCCCACAATGGCATAAAATTTTATTATCTCCAATACATTCAAAATTATAATGAAAGGTGAGTTCAGTTTCCTTAAAAATACTTTGTTAGAATAGGCAATTAATAGAGCCTTACAAAAACATTTACCTCTTTTATGTCATATTTTGCAAATAATCCGATTCTTTTTACACCATTCACAGTCCACATTTGTGGCTCACAATTTGGTTCACAAGAATGGTTCATGAAACGTGCTAAATTACCTTTTGGACCAGCATCGATAGTTAAATTTGACTCTATACTAAAAAAGTAATAGTGTGAATCCTTTTCTTTTTGTTTCTCTTCTATCCTTCTTTTCAACTCTTCGTCGTCAATAAGTTCTCCAACATATTCTATAATAAAGGCACCTTCTGCTATAGGCGCTGTACATACAAGACCGAAACCTTTACCAGTGGTTTTACGTATTGCGACAGGAGCATACTGCCTTTTTTCAAACATTTGGTTTTCACAATTCAATTTTGCCGGACATATTTTTGGGTTACATTCAATCATTAATACCCTATTTAAACATTGGGAATTAAAGCCACACGGAGAATTATCATCAGGCAAACAATTGCAAGGATTTAATTCGCTAATATTGTATTCCAATTTAACTGGTGGTACTGGTAAATTATTTTTAATTTTTTTATAAGGTAGAGGAGTTGAGTCATCTTCAATACCGAATCTTTTTGGTTTATTTATTTCAAAATAATCCCAAGCCATTTTCGCTTCGTCTATTGCTTTTTGTAAAATCTTATCTCTTTTGCGATCTGGAGAATAATCATCTTCTTGATAAAGATACACCCGATGCCGACCAGTCCAACCATAATCATTTGTGCCTGAAAATAATGATAAGAAAGCAAAATTAGAAATACAATATGCATATGGTATTTGTAAATGCCGTACCTAAAAATCTAACACAAAATCCTAAATTTAAGTGAGGTTTATTAGAAATATTTTTTGGTATTATGGGCGGAGGAATAATAACACTTGGCCACCATTTATAACTGCTAAATTTGCACCACACTAAATCTCCATATAAAGGTAAACATCCATTTCGACATAACTCACATAAAAATTTATCCTTTGGCGCTTGAGTTAATTTCAAACAACTTAAATGGAAAGACGAAGGACATGTGTCACAACATATTAAATCACCATTTTGAGAACATAAAAAACACCAATCTGTATTTGTTGGTTTTATCTTTTCATCATGACGTGGGCAAACTATAATATTGGCAGTAAGAAATTGTGTTCCAGCTGGTATGCATTTGGAATGAGAATGGTAGGTGGCGGGACATTTAACACATTTGATAATATTATTTTTTCCCAGTTGAATATGGTGTGGATCCTCCGATACACAAGTATGACATGTATGACTCGGACACAATAAATCAATTTTTTCAACGTAAGAATTTCCTTTATTTGTTGAATCTTTTGTTTTTGTAATATAAGTTTGTGGCCATAACTTCAAGCAAGGCAAATGATAATACCTGTTACAGGTATTTAATTTGCATTTCAGTAATATTTTATCGCTATGATCCAATAATTCAGAATTCGAACTTTCATGCAGAGTTGAATCATGGTCGTGATCACATGCTTTGCATATGGCACAAAATGGCTTAATGTACGTTAAACATTGTTTACATGTAACCTTTTCCGGGATGGTATGTGTTTCTACAGTAATTGAATCTAGTTGATTTTCACCATCGTCAAGTTCTTGCTTTTTGGTACTAATATATTTTATATCTTCATCCCCAGTAATATGAACACAGTGGGTTTCATCATCTTTCTCTATAAAAAAAAAATTGATACAAAATTTAATGAATACAAATATATTTGAAGTAACAATACGTTGAAATGAATTACTCTTTGTGGACATTTTTTTCGCGCGTTTTCTTCTATTTTCCAACTTCACTTTCCCTAAATATTCTTCAGGTGTAAAATTACAACATTCTTTGTGAATCCAGGAATCACAGTAGCCTGAACACTTAAATAAACTATTCGGTTTTAAACATACTTTACACACCGCTACTTTTTTTAAATTTCTAAATAAATATTGTTTATCATTTAATAAATCTACAATATCTCTTAATACGGCCTGAATTGGTGGTACGTTCAAAACCGCTCGTTTTTGTTTTATTTTTTCAATATTTTGACTTGGATTCGAAAAAATTTGAGCATAATGTTTTTTTAATCTACTCATTAGATTTTTTCTCAATAATCGATTTGGATGTTTTTTTACGTTTGCGTTTTTATAATATTCTTCATTAATGGAATCTTTCGCAATACGAAATAATTCAATACAGCAGTTTTCAAAACGTTGAAAAGATTCTTCTTCCTCTGTTGTTTTTAGTGCATAATCTGCCATCACATCAATTAATTCTTTTGGAAACAAATATTTATTACTATTTGTATTTATAGCGTTCAAATTTCCACGCTGAATAAAATCTTCAGACTCAAATTCGTTTTTATGTCTTTTCGCTAAATTTTCGTATAAAGAGGATGACCGCCTTCTTTTCGATACCGTACTAAGCGATGAACTGATTCCTGAAGTATTTAACAAATCTTCATTGGAATCATTTATTGAAAGAAGCTCTTCATTAATTAATGAAGAACTTCTTTCAATAGATAATGACAATCGTCTTTGTTGTTTATGCATTTTAAGGAGCTCCCTGTAAAATAATATATGTATAATTAGATGTTGTTAAAGAATTTGTGAAAATTACATCGATTCTTTTAAAATTTCATTGAATTTTTCCGGTCTTTTTTCTATATGTACAGCTAAAATTTTATCAGCTTCTTTAACAGCTTGGTCCCATATTGGAAGCTTTGCGCGACTTACTACAAAACATTTTTTAAAAAGGCTGCTTTTCATTTTCAACGACTGCTCCTTGGATCTTCTCTCAAAATCTTCGCGACCATTATACGCAATTAAATTGTCTTTATATATCCAACTTCTCTGACCGTTATCTGCAAAGAATTTTACGTGATAACTAATGTATTGTTTGTGACTATGTTTTTCAATCCGAACTGTTTTCCCCTCAGGATCCGGCCATATCAAACAAGGCCAATAAGGAAAATTTCCTTTCCTTCCCCAAAATATTTCGCAATGTTTAGGATGATAGTTAGTTTCGACATCAATAGAGGATCCGTGAGCGCTATCCATTGACATTGGAGATTTTAATGAAGTAACACGGTTATGTAAAGCTGGATAATGGAATGCTTCATTATTTTGAAGAGGATTCAAATTTTCTTGTAGTTCAAAATTACAAGAGGGCATTTCGTTTTGTTTTTGTTCAAATAAATTTTCATCACAGTTATCGTCACTCATTCCTAATTTATTTTTTGTGATGACTCCAGAACTGTCTACATCATTAACATCCAAACAATTATCATTATTGCTTTTTTCATTTTCTGTAGCTCCAGCATTAGATTTTGCGATGAATATCATTGAATTACCATTTTTTTCAACATTGGAAATATTTCTCGAAAATAACGATTTCGATCGAACACGAATTGGCTTTTTTGACTTTTGTAAAAAGTACAAGGGGTCGGTTACTTCTTCAACGGTTGGTGTATCTGGAGAGGGTGTACTCACAATTCCAAGACTTACAGATGTAGGAGATCTTGTCGCAGGAAAATCAGATTTTTCACTTTCAGTTTCAAGAACATTTTCCATATTATAATGCTCTTCTTCAATGAAATATTGTAAAGAGCTCTCTGCTGTACCAGATTCCTTTACTTTATTTTTTCTCTTAGCATTCTCATCTGACAGTACTGACTTGCCTGTTCTGCGAGTTATAAGTTTTTTATTTGAACAATTTTCACCCATTATCATTGAAGTTCCAGGTATATCAACACTGGAATCTTCGGCACTTCTTAAACCATTTTTTTTAGAATGGGTTTCCGTTAGATCTTTTTGTTTTAAATTTATAACAGGGGATGTACAATTTGCTGATTCTGAAATATTTTTTTTTCTTTGCTTTGATAATTTTGGAGATTCCGATTCACTGGAGGATGGAGGTGTTTCAAACGACATTGATGGTGAGCTTTGCTTGTTGCGCTCCTTTAATTTTCGTCTAGGTTTTATTGGGCTATATAACGGACTGGGAATTTGCGGACTGCGCTTTACTTTCGAAAGTAATATGCTCCTTGGAGTGCTAGCATCTTCACTTCGACTAGGGGAAACTTGCAAATCTCTCTTCCAACGAAGTTTAGTATCCATTGTCACGTTATCGCTAATATATTTTTTATTAAAATCTGAATGAAGTTGTTTTAGTAAACCTAAATTTTTAAATAAAATTTTAATTTTAATATACAAAAACAATGAGTAATGTTTCAAACAAAAGCTTACTTGAATATGAATTATCACTTTGGCTACTTAACAAATCATTATCTGCAGCACTTATTGAATCAACACTGTTATTTTTAATATTTTTGGGGTCTCTTACAATATTGCTTTTTTGTGGTGATAAAGATTTTGCTGATCTTTCTGATCGAAAGTAGCCTTAAACATAAATAAAGTTAGATCCAACAAAAAAAATGTTTTGACTTACTTTTTTTTACTTTTCGTCTATTGAAATTGCTTTTAACAGGCATCTTATCTCTGATGAAAAATTTGAAGCCCTATAACTATTTTCGATGTTTCTGAAAACAATATTCAGTACTTAGTCTTCCACATGCAGACGTCTTGCCTTTTAAATTGTCAACCTGTATCATAAAGTTTCCCGCCAATTTTATGTTATCTAATCAAAACAATTCATATTCAGTATTCTATTTCAACTTTCTTGTGAATCTCCTTAATATACATGTCTTAATGTTATTTATAAAACATATATCATATTCATTTGTACATAAAATGCTTTCTTGTAATTGAACTCAATTTGCAATATCAAATCAAATTACTTTTTATTTTTAAATTTTATTTTAACTACGTACTAATAATTTTATATAACACAATGCTAAATATTTATTTTTCTCTTTCTTTATAACAAAATTAAATAAACACTTTAAATAATTTTAATATTTAAAGCTTATCATTGATGGTATGAAATAAATTAATATAGAAATAAAAAAAGGTGCAAGCAAACAGCCAATAAGAAAAATTACATGACATTTAAATCAGGGATGGCTAGAAACTTCTCAAGGTAAAAAGATAGCACTATGCAAAACTGATTGCTGCAAATGACTAAACATGGATTTCCACTTTATGTGCGGAATAAAGTTTATCAACATTGAAAACCTTTATACGCAATGTTTTTAAAAATTTTATTATTTCAAATTTTTGGAAAATATTTAACATAAAAATTCAATTTATTAAAGAAAGAAACTAATAAGCAAAGATTTGAACACATGCAATGCAGGATTTTCGATGGTCCATTTTTGGAAGCATTGTTTTAATTTTTGACGATGTTTTGTTTCTATTTTTCTGGTACAGACGTTATTTATTCCATATATCAAAATGACAGAATATAAAAGAAAAGTAAAGGTACTCCTGGCTTACGAGTACTTCTACAATGAGTTTTCGATATAACGCTGTTTAAAATATATCGGTTTTAGTTAATAATTCGAAATTGAAAATATGGATTGACATGCTGTCAGTCCATATTTTACGCCTTTATCCATGTAACTTACGCCTTTGTATATTTATTTTTTAAGGTTTAACAACCAATTTAAAGTACGGGAGAGGTGGTACAGTACTTTTCGCTGCATGATTTTTTTTGTTCGAATATTTGGCAAAAAGTTCATAATCTTTAGAGATAAAAAATCTGACACAAAGAATTTTAGTGGCATTTTATGTAAGTCCAATATATGATCCCACTTTTAACTTCGCACTTAATGAAGAATAATGAAATTTGTTGAAGAATAATATATATTATTTTTTGTTTATTTTTGTTATTTGTTCAAATGTACTACTCTAATTTAATACATTATTTTGAGGAAACTATTGGCTAGAGTTGACTTGATTTTCCATTCTCGAAAGTAATGATCTCGTTCGGACACTCTTTTACAATTTTGACTTATCTATTATGTATATCTAAATGATCGAAGTATTTTCTAATACTATTTCCTGCCAGTTTGTTAAAAGAATAGTACTCTCTTGAAAGGAATCAAATATACAACTTTAAATAAGTCGGTTTTTTATCATTCCCAAATAAGGAAATTCCCATAAAAGAATGTGTTCCATTAACAATATTTTCAAATACTTTTGAGTTTTTCTTTTAAAGAGACCGTATTAAACATATCAATTAAAACGTTATATTTAAAATAATAAATTATGTCCGAATTGATATAGTATGTAAGTATTATATAATTAAAAAGTTTCTTTCCACTAATTATTTTTCGAGTAGTGTATATGATGATAACAATTCAATAAGAAATAAATTATTTATGTTGACCAATCCATTTGCACCCCTTTTGTTGATTCTGTATAATTTACATCGCTGATACTACTAAAACAAAAAAATTAAAATAAATTAATACCGACAATTTTAGTTTGACAACTAATTCAGAAGTTTAAAACACGGCTAAATAATTTTTCATATAAGCGTCGAAGGAGTTTTCTCCACGATTTTATGTCGAATTTACGGTTTGTTGCTGCCGAAAAAAATTGTTTCAATGTTTCAATCAACATGAAAAATGCCGTGCGGCAACAACATCTTTGAATTTCTCATTCCAATTCTGTAGTTTTGAAACTAAAACTTCATTTTCATTTTTTTTTTATATCCAAACCTCATATAAACAGCGTATAAACATCAATCATATTTTTATAATAATCAATACATAATAATATCAATTGGTAAAAAGTTCGTTTTGCCGTATCGGCAAAAGTTTTACCAATAAGTTACATTGACATAACAGATCAATGTATAATATTAAAAAGTTCACAAATATATTTATGCACTATACATAGCGCTACCGTAGATAGAAAGGTTTACAAATTTTGACGTTTTTTACATTTTGTTTTAAGTTAACACTTAATTTCATATTTCACCTCGAAAATATAAAACTTTTTTTTTAGTACTAACTAAATTAGTTAAACAATAATGAAATTTAAAAAATAAGTATAGTGAGTATTTAATATATTTCGAAATTTTAGGTAATATTAATGTTATATGTACAATCATTTAAGTTTAAACCATTAAAAAAGTGTATATAAATCGAACAGTTCATTAAATATCTAAATATTTATTTTATATCGCAGATAATGTATCCTATGGCAAAATATTTTAATTCAACAATTTACAGTTTTTAAAAACTTAACTCAAAACAGTAGATATAATTTGACTTGTAGCTTTTCAAATGCATACAAACATACAAGTGTTTATAAGCAACAGTACGTAAGCCAAGAAAAAATGATCGCATCGCTTTTGTGTAGGTAAACAATACACACACGATAATACACCGTTAAATAATAATAATTAAAACTCAGATTTGAATTAAGCTTTTAAATTGGTGATTAATTTAATTTTTGATTTCTCTATATCGGTAACTTAGTTTACTTGTAAATTTTAAATAATTTTAAAATTAGTTTCTCGCGAATCTTCCAACTGACTGGTTGTACAAAATTAAAAAATCGTATTATTTATTTTTTTTTATAATTACTCAAAAATTATTTGCGCAAGCTCAACTCGCCAAAGAAATGTAAGGATTATGTAATTTTTTTTTAGTTTTATTATAATTTTCAACGTTATACAAATTACATGTTATATTTGAGCAATATAGATGTGTTTTTAATAAAATTTAATTAACGAATTTTGTTTTTTAATTATTATATGACATAAAATCAGAAGGATAATTTGAAAAGATAAAAAAATATTAATATCGTATTGAAGATAATTGTGTTAATAATACAAAAAAGGATTTCTTATACGTTAATAAAAATTTTTTTAATTATAAATAAGTAATAAAATTTATTAAAATATCAAGTGCTCAAAATCTTAATATTTATAATTGTTAGATAAAATTACAAAAGGAATTTGAAATAGTCTTTGAAACTTTTGGAAAAATAATAATTTTATTTTAAATTGAGTAAGTAATAAAAGAAATCATTATAATTTATATATTAATATTTAAATATTAATTACTTATAATTGAAATTTTGAGTCAAATTTCGAATCAAATTTTAAAGGCCAAATTAAATCAAATTAAATTTGACCGGATTTATAAGTTAATATTTTTGTTCTTAAAATGAATTTTACACTTTTCCTATATAATACATAAATAATATCTAAAAAATTAGTGCTGCATTTTTCAATTAATATTTCACCTTTCTTCAATTACTATTTAACTTTTATAAAATTATTTTTTAAATTGCTTATAAATAGATCGTGAGCGTCTTCTTTTTCTTTATAATATGAAAATATTTTTAATTTTGAAAAATTTTGTTTTGATAGTATAAAACGAGACTGTTTGAGCTTGAATGTTTCTTAATTTTCTTATATTAAAATTTGGAAAAAAAAATAAATTCGAATTATTTAAATTGTGTATTTGTCCAAAAGCAAAAATATATTGTATAAGAACTTTTTAATATTAATTATAATTTACACACGTGCATACATATATGCTTTAAAAATATAGTGCTAATTATATTTATATATATGAAAGGTAAATTTACTTTATGTTCTTAATATTTATATGTGATTTACACTCGAATATTATAAGTAAATATAATGTAGGTACAAAGTTCTGTTATTTAAATTGAAATTAAATTTTAGTTTTTATTTCTAAAATTTTTTTTGTCAATAAAGGCAAAATAACTTTTTCCTTCAAAATAATATTTTTGTATATGTATGCTTTGTGATCTATCTGCCCTAAAATTATAAAAATCTGAATACAAAAATTTAAATGTTACTTACTAATATACTAAGGAGGTTAACAAAAAGTACCACCACTTTTGATTTTATCTTAAATGGGAATAATTTTTTTTTAATTAAAAATATATTATAGTACTGCAATATATTACAATTAAATAATTATAAACTATGAATAAATCTGTTTTGCATAATAATTGAAATAACAAATTTAAATATACATAGTATATTTGAGTACCGTTGTATTCCAATTGTACTTTATGCTTTTGTTTGTTTAAATTACGTTCATACCTAAATAATGCACGTAATTAAAGTTAAAGTGCAAAAATTTTAACTATTTAATAAATTTTGATATACATACAAATTTTGATATATATATATATATGTGTGAATTTGTATTTACGCAAATATATGTATATACTCGTAGGTACACAAATCGTATTGCAAATTTATTTTATACGTAATTTTTTAAGAGTTTTTTTTTATTGCTTTTTAGTTTATTTTATTTTTGCTTAGAGTGGATTTTTTTAGGGTATTGCTTTATTTCACCAATAATAATAAAGTATATTGTTGAATTCAAAAATGAAAAAAACCAAAAAAAAAATGGTTATAAATAATATTTATTATTTACTAACATTTTGATTAAATATTGATCTAGTTTTTAATGTTAATTATTTTAATTCTTGTTGTTATAATGTTGTGAAAATAGCTTGTAGTATCTATTAATTTTTCGGAATTTTACCATAACACTACTATTAATCTTTAACATGTCCAGCACTGGTGACCTAATATGCTTTTTTTTTCATTGTGACTAAAACCGTTTACAAATCAAAATTATAATTTAGTAGGGTTTTAAGAATAATATACATATATTGTTTTTTTTTTTTTGCTGAGCAAAATAAAATTTAAGACCTTTAAAAGTATTCACATGCACATATATAATTGTATATACTTACGTATATCTTGCATATTTATTTGTATGTTTGTATGTATATATTTGTATGTTTGTATGCTTCAAATGTACTTACAGTGAATTGTAAAAATAATTTATAAACGAATTTTTAATTATTTTTAATGTTAATTACTAATAATTAAATAATTGTATTTAATAATTAATTTTAAATTAATTGTAAACATATTAATTAATTAAGTTAATAATGTCAATATAAGATAAAATTAATTTTAATCAATATTAACATCAATCAATTTTAAAATCAATATCTTTAAGTATGTGGAGTTTGAATCACATTTTCACAAATCATGAAAAATTGACAAAAACATATAAAGATTATACGTATACACAAAATAAATATGCAACAAGCAAAATCACTTTAAAATTGATTGTATAATGTATTACAATGTATGTTCATCCTGTGTATAATATTTGCTTTGAAAATGGCTTAATCTATGAATTCTATTCGAATATTTAGTTATACGTATTACATATTTATATTATATAATTTGTCCTATATACATTTAACATTAAATCTAAAATAATGTGTTTGAAAATAATGTGAAATTAACATATTTACTAATATTTATTTAAATTTAAATTTATTCTTATAATTTTGTATTTACATAATATTTTGTATGGACATATTATTATATTGTTTTTATTATGCAAATTAAGTATGTTTGTGAACTTATATATAGTTTTAAAATTATATATACATACTAACATGTCAATACAGTAATTCATTACTTAAGTCGTTTTTAGGCCCAAAAATTTACAAGTTTAAGTAAAATGACTTATGTTTTTATATAAAAAAAATTAAGTCCCCAATTTTATTGGATTACTTATAAAAAAAAAAAACAAAATAACTTTTAGCAACGTTTCAATAACGACTTAAAAGTTTTAAAGATTTACATAGAATATATCGAATATTGAGGTTTGTTTATGCAAAATTACTTATACGTATCCTTTATAGTTTATAGGAGTTACATATTTGATTAAAACAATTAATTTTTAACATTTATCTGCTTTAACAATTAGTAACATTTATCTGCTTTCTGGTGTTTGTTCAAAGTAATTTTGTATGTTTGACAAAAATGAAGAGCTAAACCACAAATTTTTGATTTTAAATATTAATCAGAAAATTGAAAGAAATTTAAATAAAAAATATCAATTCAGAGAGGCTCAATATTTCAAGTGTCTGATATGAAAAATTACATACTGTGCTTATTTGTGCACTGTAAGAAAATATTTGAGAAAATTATAAATGTATTTGTATGTATGTATGTACATACAAATTCTGATATTATATTTTTTGGTTTATTATTTTATATTTTGCCAAAACCATATTTAAAATTATAACAGCTTGCTTTATATCGCGGCTTTTTAAATACTTTCTTTAATAATTTTTTTTTGCTTTTGTCCGAAATTTGATAAAATTTTTCAGTTATTTTTAGAAAAAATTTTTATTTGAACTGACAAAAATTTTTTTTTTTGTTGTTTTTTTATACCTACATTTTTCTTCTTTCATTTTTTTTTATATTATTAATGGTGACAATTTTTTTTTCGCGGTTTCAACATCTACAATATAATATAGCTGATATTTTCTGTGTAATATGCTTTGTAATGTTTGTAGCTAAATAAAAATATATTTTAAAATGTTAAGATACCTTTAGGTATACATATGTATGTTTATATATGTATGTATGTAATTTTCGTGGTGTTTATTTTGTGTATGCAAGTATTATTTATTCATCATCATCTCAGAGAAAGAAAGAGATAAAATTGCATAATTATTTATTTTTCCACTAGTTTTTTTTCTTTTTTTTTCATTTAACCTTGACTAAATTTTTGAAGTGTTTTTCGACCATGCTGTAATAGTAAGAGATTAACGTAATAAAAGTTAACTGCGAGGGGAAAAATAAGAAAAAAAAAACAAATGTTATACGCAAATAAATAAAATAGTTATAAATAAAAAAGAAAAAGATAATAATAATAAAAAGAGGGTAAGAAAGGTATTTTTGTTGTACAATAATATGTCATGAGTATAGATAAATTGATTAACAATAGCTAGGTTTTTTTTTTGGATGGGATTACTACATTACAATAGTATAAATTGAATTAAAAAAATATGATTTTATGTGTGATAAATTGATTTTTATTTTATGATGGACACACAATTTTAATATTATGTGAATAAGGAAAAGATTTTATCTATTGGTTTTTTTTTTTTGTTTTGGAATTGTGCTCCAATGTACAATATTCAATTGTGCTCAACGCTTGTTTTAATAGTACCTATACTTTGTAGATTTGTAGATTTGTACAACGGGGGCAACAGTGCACCGCAACCATATATAAGGATCTATTGTGCGCCCCCATCCGAGTGCGGGGCATACTCTACAACACACACTCGAGACCTACCCCCAGCACCTCCCTCCTCCTATGAGCAAGAGTATCACACTCCTCCAGGAGGTGCACCGAGGTCTCCCCATACTTCCCGCAGAATCTGCAAGTATCCTCATTTTCCAGGCCCAGCCGACTGGGGTGTCCCCTAAGCCTGCAGTGACCCGTCAAAATACGGTGAGGACTCTCACCTGGTTCTTGCCCATCCCTATAATTTTCTTAAATCGCTTCTGGTTATAATCTCCCAGGAGATCCTTGGCTTGCCGCAGCCCCGGAAGACTTTTCCAGCGCTACGACCGCCTTCATTCTGATTCCTTCCTTTATTCCCAACGAATAGTATGTGGTCCGATTCCACAGAAGGGCTCCGGCCCAAGAAGAGGTGTGTTTGCCCCCTTCCTTGCAAGTTCTTCCCGGTTGCATCTGCCCAACTCATTGAGCTTCTCAAGACAGCTTCAAACTGCCGCGGAGGATACTGAAAACGAGTTCAGTGCTCTGATCGCAGCGCGGCTATCCGATAATGATTTATGTCGGATAGTAGCTATACTTAATAATATGTATTTTAAGTTTTCTAATGATGAAATTTACATTCAAACACATGATGAACATACATACGTTTATATAAAAAGGAGCTCAATAAAACGATAGTTCGTACATAGTGTATATTTGCACATTTTGTTATTTCAATTCATCATTGCTAGCATCTGGTTCTAAATTTCTATAGGAATTTGCATTTCTCGTTCTATGTTGGTGTCACATTCTTCCCTGTACATTTAAATTTTAGATATATACATATATGTATGTATAGTCCGTTTTAGATTTTGTATATAAATATGTTCTATTTGTGCAATATTTGTAATTGTAGT